CAAAACGCGCCTTTAAAAAAATATTGTCAATTATAATCAATTTCATCCTTAACCTCTCTGATATCTAAAATCTGCTATTTCCAACGATGGATTGTAATGCCAAATTGTAATCGTCGTTTTGATGCCCTTTTTTCGCTTGTAAACTGTGCTTGTTTATGGACGAATCTACCGAAGTCGACACATTATCGAGTGATATTAAGATTTTCAGTTTTGCGAGACTACCAAGACTCGAAAGCGCCGCCCTTGATTTCATTGTGCCGAATGTCTGTTTTCAGTTCTTGACTTTCCAGTGATAAAAAAAAAAACGAAGATCAAGGTTCAAATGAAATAATATTGAAAAACGTTTGTGACGAGACCGGCGAAAGGAGTACAATACTACCCAACTCAGTTCTGGCGGGCAAGACTTTTAAGTGCTCCTCGTTTGCCTGAAAGTGGAAGAGAGATTCATACCCACGTCTCTCCGTCATTATTCAATGATATAACTAGAACCAATTTACTCATGCGTCTAATCATTGCTGTTAGTGCAGCAAGGAGGGGTTCATGTAGTTTGTGCTGCCGCTCTGCCACGGCGGCCTGGTTGTATTGTGCCTACCAAATCCAAATTAGGGCCGGTTATTTTACACGAGGTCTAACCCAAACTGCGTTTTTACGCAAGTAGTAGGCCTAGGAATTTCTCTATAAGAGGGTTGATTTAATGTAATAAATTCCCCTCCACTATTAGCTTTCGGTCCCCTTGACACTGTTCACAAAAATAAATGTTCAGATAAAAGGTTCGGCTAAATTGAAGATGGCAATTTTGTTAAGCAACAGTTAAACTTTGCCTAAATAACCGACCTTAATCCTCACTGAAAACCAATGCAGGACGGTTACAGCCTTGAGAGCGAACCTTACTCCTGAACAGAATCGGTTTCCAAAGAATTGACGCTCTTTAGAATGGAAATCGCCAATAGGTGCAATTTTCCTCCACAACCGTACCATTTTAGCTGGAAAGGTGAAAGTGAAAACTTCAAGAAAAGCCATTCAATCTGTGACATTTGCAATAGCTGAAATTATTTTTAAGTGCTAGAGAAGACAACTTTGAGCAATCCAAAGTGAAAAGCGTCTATCAACGTTATTAACTGATGATTTCTATATTGGAAACTGTTACGAGTCGCTTCAGCACATACTCAGTCTATTATGTTATTTTTCATTCGGTAGAAGTCGCAGCCAAGTTTCATGAAATTCAGACTCAAGTGCCGTGTGCTACAGTGATGCAATTTCGGGCTGAGTTGGTGCGGCTGTTGACATCTCGTAGACAAAGTACAAACATTCCCTTTCACACAAAAACCAAATCAGAAGGGAGACAATGAAATTTAAGGGGATCAGGAATAGCGCAGAGGTTGGAGCGCTTGCCTCCTATCTCTGAAACACGAGTTCAATTCCCAAACTGAACAGTGGCAAAAACCTTAGAATAAAATCGATTTGCTTGCCTGTCAGGCTAATATGCCTTGCAATAAACTCAACAGTAGCATTACCTCGTAACACCTCACTGGGTGTTATCGACTCGCTTTTTTCAGTTACCACACTGTTCTCGTTAGATCAACACCAAGGCAAGAGCACCACTTTTTCTTTCATTTTTTATCGATATTTTTTCTGGCAATCCAAATTGTTCCCTTATGTCAGCTTTAAACTAAACAAAAGCATGGACAGACCGTGTCCTAAAATATATTTTAATTTAACGGTTAAGTTTCTCAAGGGAATTGTCTCAATTCGGGATCCATTACGCATCTTAGATTTAAATCTTCACTTTCCACGCTCGTAAGCCTCAACTTTTTGTTTTCGTAAGAGAAGACACTTATCGTAATCATGGTATGATTTATTTGTCTTCTTGATCAACTTGCTGTTTTTAAGAAAACCACAAATTGTTGCACTACTTGACTCAATGATTTGAGAGTAAAGAAATATATCAGTTTTTCTTCTTCTTCACGCTGTTCGTTACAAATTCGTGTCTTAAAAAGTTTTCTGGATATTTTGTCTAGGTTTGTTGACACTTCATATCAATTTGAGATTTGAGAGTAAACAATGACTCATACTCCAACCAACATGAAAATTCGCAGACTCTACCTAGTGTACGTGGCCAAGTTCAAGTCACTCAATAAAGAGCGCATCTGTCTGACAAAATTTAATCTCTGCGGCATCGAAGCTCCTCGCAAGAAAACCTCCTGACCTAGAGAGTCTAGAGATATCTGCTGCTGGAAAACACAAGTTTGCAAATTTCTTTGTAAGTATGCTTTTATCTCCTATAGGCAAACTTTTAAGATATAAATTTGTTTTGACTTTCTTTTTTCTTTTCTTTCAGATCTGTTCAAAGAAAAGGCATTCCTCTCCGTAATGTTTCGATACCTCTCACTGTTCCTCCTCCAGTTTATTCTACTTCTGGTAAGGTTTAAGGCTTTTAGTTATCAAACACAACCGAATCATGATTTCCTTCGATTTATTGCCTTTTTATTTTCAAAGGGAGTCTGTAAACAATCTCGATAGCTCGTTCAGACTATATAGTTATTACACAAGACAATTTTGTTACGCCATTTCTTCTTTATAATTTTAGAGACTTGAGTGAGTTAGTGTGTGTAACGAGGTTTTGTAAACAGCAATTCATTCAGCCCTTTCAGATATGGACATCTGGTGTTTCGAGGCTCTCTGGCGCAAGAAATAACAAGTTTACTCGAAGTCTTAATATTTCTTTAAGTTTCTTCGAGCTCCCAGTATGGCTTTTGGTTTCGCGCTTTACATTTACTAAGTACCATGTTCCTGCTCTAGGGCGATGGACTCGGTAAATCTGCGGTGAATACGCGGATGAAACGCGGCTTATCTTCCCACCACCATCACTCGTCGAAGTTATCAATAAAAGACCTTGCTCTTGAGTTGGCAAAGAAACACGTAAGTAGTTTGAGTAAATAATTGTATCTTCTAAATGTATGGTTAATACCGCCACTAAGAGATTATAAACTAATCTCCTGTTGTCACTCAAGTCTGTTACCACCAAAACAAACCACCAATGTAAAGGTTCTACCGCATAACGAAAATTGTTTATTTTTCTCTTTACAATTCTGGATTTTTGAAAATCTCTTTTGCCCGTACTGTATCATCAGCTTTAGGTACGATAGTAAACGTAAGTGTCACGACCATTTACAAGAAAAATTCCCGTCAGCAAACTAAAGAACCGTGTCAATAGGGTTTAGCGCATTACTAAGATGGCTTTTTCTGTTTGTAGTTGCTCAAGATGATAGTTGATGAGCAACATGACTTAGATAAAGCAAAAGAGAATGTTTACATCCTGGAAAGAGGTTTGTTAAAAATGTTAACCACTTGGGTTTTGGAGACTAGGATTAAATTGGTTTTAATTTGTTTTAACACAGCTACGAAGATTTAAAGAAAATTTTGCAATTTCTTTTGCAGTTTTTGTCAAATGATATGCAAAGAATACAAAAGACAAATTGGATTAGAAAATGTATGAAAAATAATAAGAGTGTGATTGGAAAGTAAAAAATATATTCTAGAGATTTATGGAGGGCCTAAACGAAAACAAAACCATATTTGCAAAAAATCTCTGGATTGCGAAAACTTTAAAAAAAAATCGCAAAAGCGATGACGAAAATCGAGAAATTCATCGTAGAGGGAAAAAAAAGACCCAAAAGAAATTCATGAAAATCGCAGATGCTCGCAGGAAACAAAATTTGAAAAGGAAATACACAAGAGTCGAATGTTTGCAAAACAAAAGAAAATTAAAGAAACATGGCTAGATTGCAGAAACCATGGAAAATTGTCTAAACGTGTGTCTACGTACGAACATCACCAAAAGGGTTAAGGGAGGCTCCAACTCCAGCCAAATTTACGCCAAAAAAATCACAAAAAACCGTTTAGTTTGAAAAAAAATGCAATAAAAACTGATGCTACTTCTGTAAAATCCAAGAACAGGCTCAATTTAAGTGGTTGGCTTAACACCCAAGAAGCGGAAGCTTTAATTGACATGAAACTGTAGAAAATCGCAAAATGTGCTGAGAATTAAGAACATTAAATTAGAGGAAAAACAACACTGGTTTCTGCCGCATTACGAATTGACATAAGTATAGGTGATCAGAAGACTTTTTAATCAAATATTTCTATGAAAAGAAGGAAAATCTGATCAACTAATATTAAACTTTATCTTTGACTGAAACTTCTTCAGACAGGTGCACAAACATCAAATCTGTTGGAAAACCTATCACTCACAGCACTCGGTCTTATACACAAGGAGCTTGGATGAAAGACCCACTAGGAATCGTGGGTGCTGAGACCATATTTACCATGGAAAATCATTACGCAAATGTCATCCAAGCGTTTGAAAACATGGAAAAGTTCAAGGCTGGTGTGGTGCACAAGACTTATTCTCTGCCTTATTACTCTGATGGAAATGGAGCAGTAGTGTACGGACCATACCTCTACTACAACAGGTGAAATATTTCATGGTTTCCAACTTTATCTAACTTACAATTATAAAAGAGACTTTTGACTTGTTTTACAGATAGATAGATTCAAAACACGTGTTTTAAAGATAGATTTTTGTTTACAGGGGGGTTTCTTCTCATTATCATGAAAATTGAAACATTCTGCAGTATGAGACTTTAAGTAGAAATTAGTCCCATCTGATAAATCATTTGTTATTTATCTTTTGATGACAGAGCCAACTCAGCTTATATCATCAAGTACAATCTTCTCACAGAGCGTGTGGAGGCTCAAATTAGTTTAAGCGGCTTTTCAGCGCGAAAGAACAGCTATCGATGGGGTGGATATGGTGGAATGGACTTAGCAGTTGACGAGCAAGGACTGTGGGTTCTTTGGGGAGATAATGGAAACAGCTATCGTTTGCACGCATCAAAAATAGATGTGCGTAAAAATACAGTCACCCACACATGGAGCTTGAGTACAGGTAAGTATGCAACATGAAGCTATGTTAACAGAGACGAAACCATAAAATAAAAGAGAACGAGTTAATGAGGTGGGGATATTTTACGTAGATCTCAGTTAAGAGCGATTAAAGAATAAGCGATAGAATGACTGACCCCACTCCAAGCACAGGGCAGCAACTGAATTAAGGACACTTAGTTGAAAAAGGCCCTAGCTTTCTAATTGAGCATAAAAGACACAAATAAATTAAATTAATCGTAAATGATCAATAAATGATGACAAAAAAGAAATTTTCCTCACAGATGAGGAGCAAGTAAAGAAACTGTAGATAAAGAAGCTTAAAGTAAGTCAAGCCTTGACAGAACTCAAACCGTTGCCTTCCTAGTTGACTTTACACACACGTGAGCTATGGTATTTGATCACAAACAAAAGAAGTATTCTTTCCACAAGTCAGGAAATAAAGTAAGATATTAAGCCAATGCACATCTTTGCCAAATGAATTTTGTCGATTTTGTATTTAATTTTGACTCTTCTTTTCCCCGCGCAGAGAGGATGTCCTATATGGGAAATGCTTTTGTGGCCTGTGGAGTGATTTACTGTATTGACGAATACAGCAGCAAAACCACTACCATCAACTTTGCTTATGACACCAAGACAGGGAAACAGTGGATTCCCAACATTAAGTTCACAAACCAGTATGGGTACAACTCCATGGTGGATTACAACCCCACAGAAAGAGTGCTGTACGCTTGGGACAACAAACGTCTTGTTACCTACCCTCTCACCTTTGAGGAACAGTAGATTGGTGCAAAATTTAAAAAGAGAATAATCCAAGTGATATGTGAAACTTTTTGATTAATTTACTGCTTTTTAGATGCACTTGCGAACGAAATAAGCTAACATTACAATTGGCATTTTTACATGTTGATTTAGTCTTACAGACACAAAACCTTAACTCAGCTGTTTTGTCTCCTGATGGCTCGAGCGCAGATCTTTTGATGGAAGATATTTTTCAACTTGCTTCAATCATTTCAGCTGCGATTGTAAGACTTTAATCAAGGGTTTTAAATTCTGAAAAAGTGCTCTTTGTAATCAAAAGTTGTGAAAATGCAGAAGAGTCTCAATCTTTGAATTGACTAAACTTTCTATCTCTTTTGGTTTTGAAAAATAAAATGTGGGAAATGGCATAATAGTTGTGATTGTCTCATTTATTTGCAGTACAAATTTCAAAATCGACTTAATTTTTGTTCACTACATTTTACTTACCTTGAAGACCAGTTGTTATCATAAATGGCAGAGAACAGAGGGATAGCTTGTTAGAAACAACAATTTGGAAGTTACAAGAAAAAAAATCAGTCCTTAATGTCAAGCAGTGTTGTGTCAGTTCAAGTGGAGATCATATCCTTGTGTAAAAATTTACAAAAATTCAAACAGTTTTCTTTCTTTTTCCAAGAACAAGGTTACTCTATTGTACCTTGCGCGAGATTGTGGCTTTGGAAAGTATATTTTTACTTATGAAGGAAATGATAGTCGATAATTTCATTTCTTATTAAAAATACCAAGCTTCATTGGAATAATACTAGTTTTCCTTTTCACGAGATATGTTCCTTGGTGACCTGAAAACTTTGCGATTAGCCTTCTAGCACCTCTTAGGACTCGTAGGTACTAACAAAGCTTCATTGACTCCCCTGAATAGTCATTTTGTTCATAAACTCAAGTGAAATGATGACATTCAGCAGAGGGTTGTGCATTGATTTATGATATTTTTTTTCAAATATGACTCTCAAGCGTTAAAATTTGTGAGGCCTCAGTTTCATATGGCTGAGAGCTTTTACATGTCTTTAAAGTCTGAGAGATCATACTCACAATTTAAATATGTCCAAAATGAACCAGAAATAATTTAGGTAGCAAATAGGAATTGTAAGAACACAAGATTCAATGCAGGGTATCTGACTGCATCAAAGCATTCTACATTAAATTTTCTTACACTTCCACTGCCAGTTCTTATTGCAATGTAATTTAATGCAATTTCTATTATAATTTTAGGGCCTAGCTAGCCATGGAAGATTTCAAAATCATGTCCCTAACCTAACCCTAAACTCTAAATCATGTCTGACAAACCCCAACAAGTCTCCACAAAAACAAATGAGCTTTAAAACCATTACATTTAATGTGGCTTATAATAATCACATATCGCGTACAAATGACATATTACACAAAATGTGTTAACATTTACATGTATCAAATGCAAAAATTGCACAATTTCATTATCATTTCACATGGCATTTCGAGGCTAAATTCACTAAATTATACCTCTACGGATTCCAACAGTAGAGTCCGAATGATCTAATTGCATACAAGCTCACTAATTAACTGCTAAAACATCAACACCTGCTGCCGTAGTAAAGTACGTGACAATGCAGCGCTTCCACCATTTCCAATTCTAGTAATCGCGAAGACAAGAAATACATGATGCGATAGCTCTGTGATCGCCTTCAACGCATTCTATCGAACAGTGACTGTTTCTAGTTGTTCAATTCTAGATCGTTTCATCGAAAATAATGGTGTAAAACGCTCAAGCTAGTCCACAGTTCACCAATTCGACCTCCATTATACTTTGCTTTACAGAGCAGTCGTTCCTACCTGTGTATTCACTGATTCAACACAAAATGATTATGTCACCTATTCCTTGATGATAAAACCCAAGTCATGTCGCAAAAGTACTCTGGAGAGCTTAAAAGAACTGAATATTTCACACGACAGCAATACGCCATGCGAGGAAATCAAGTGTAATACGCCTTAGAGGGGACTCAATTGATTAAAACGGTTTGTTCAGAACGCCTGCAAGGAAACCAAGTAGTTTTATTTAGGGATTGCATAAGTGTCCAGTGTTTTCGTGCTCTCTTTGAGGGAGTGCTTCATGCGCAAAGTGTAGAATCACGTGTAGAGTTATGTAAAGCGATCCATTTTCTTCACAGAAGTTCGATCCTAAAACCAAAAAAACAAATTAAGCTGTAGAGAGTTTAGAATGTGCTTTCGGGAGACATCGTCCCCGTGAAGCAATCAAACAAAGGACGCACGCGCGCGTAACACCTAACGTTAGCGCTGAAACGCGCGCCATAGTCTAATTTTAATTCAGTCTTGTTGGCAACTACACATTACGACGTACTATTTTCGCCTTGTATTTTTAGAAATTGATCTCAAGTAACTCACAGGAGTAATTGCTTCTCTGTTAAGCTATTTAGCTGAGTTATAAATTGACCATCGTTTAGAGATTATAAAGCTGACATTTCGAGTGTTAACGCTTCGTTGGAGCGAATAATAGACATATAATATAAACGAACTTCAACTTCAGTTGAATTGTGAAAATGAGAAGGAGAAGTGCGAGCGACGAAGCACTTTCAGCAAACCTTTCGCGTATTTTTCGGTATTGTGTGAGACAAAACCTTTCAATTTTCTTTTCAACTTGCTTACCACTAAGGCCCTACGGCCACATCAGTTTGTAAAAGACTTGAACATGTTACTTTTGCAAGAAGCATATTTTAATTTATCAACGTCAGTTAACACAAGACTCAATGCTTTACTCAATAGAGGTTGTCAGCTTAGTGACACTTGTTTACGAGGGTTTCATCTATTTGTTATAGTGGTTTATTTCTGTCATTGTCATTATTTTGTAATCGTGGAAGACACAAGGACCATAAGACAGCTGGCAAACATTGTAAAGTTGCTTACTCTAGGTCATCATTGCATGACAATAAAAATATTCAAATTCCGTGTCTCTAGCGCTAATTCTGAAGGCAAAATTTCACAAACTGTCTACTTTTGTGATCTCTGTTTAGCTGTTTTGTCCCACAGATTGTAAATTGTCTAAGGCAAATTACAGAAATGCGAACTTTCGCATAAGGTTGTAGAAACTTGATTATCTCCTAAAGAGCCACGACTTCAGTTTTTCGAGAAAATTTTGAATGCCTTGTTTAATGCAGTTTTATATATAATGTATGCATGTCAAAGATGTTGTCACTAAGAGTAGCACACACTTTATCTATGTGGACACTGCTTGCCTTTACTCAAGAGGAACTAGCAACTTTCGTTGAGGCCAAATCTAAAGCAATGCTTTCTCTTTCGGCGTGTCGAGAAATTCAGGCCAATTCACAAACAGAAATCAAAACACTGGAAAATATAAAATGTCAATTTTTTAAGCAATTTTGTATTTTTAAGTTTACTTCTTATTTTCTTTCTTTATTTCGTTTGGTTTAAAAGCTCTCTAAAATTTTAAAACGCGCCCTTAAAAAAACATTTTCAATTATAGTCAATTTCATCCTTAACCTCTCTGATATCTAATAACTGCTATTTTCCAACGATGGATTGTATTTCCAAATTGTAATCGCCGTTTTAATGCCTTCTTTTCGCTTGCAAACCGTGCTTGTTTATGGACGAATCTACCGAAGTCATTACATTATCGAGTGATGTTAAGATTCTCAGTTTTGCGAGACTACCAAGAAAGCGCTGCTGTAGATTTCATTGTGCCGAATTTCTATTTTCAGTTCTTTACCTTCTACTGATAAAAAATGCAGACCAAGGTTCAAATGAAATGATGATTAAAAACTTTTGTGACGAGACCGGCGAAAGGAGTGCTATACAACCGAACTCAGTTCTGATGTAGAAGCCCCTGGTAGGACTTTTTAAGTGCTTTCGTTTGCCTTAAGGAAGTTGAAGAGAGATTCATTCGCACATCTCTCCGTCATTATGCGTCTAATCATTGCTGTTAGTGCAGCGAGGAGGTGTTAATGTAGTTTGTGCTGCCGCTCCGCCGCGGCGGCCTGGTTGAATTGTGCATATCAAATCCAAATTTGTTCGGAGTCAAACGTTTAGGGCCGTTTATTTTACACGAGGTCTAACCCAAACCGCGGTTTTACGCAAGTAGTAGGCCCCTCTTTAAAAGGGTTGATTTAATATGATAAATGTCCTTCCACCAGTAGCTTTCGGCCCCTTTGACACTGTTCGCAGAATAAACGTTCAGGTAAAAGCTTCGGCTAAATTGAAGATGGCGATTCTGTTAAACAGCGGCTAACCTTTGTCTATATAACCGGCCCTCGATGTTCAAAACTAATGCAGGACAGTTACAGCCTTGAGAGCAGAGTAGAATCGGTTTCTAAGTAGGAATTGACGCCCTTTAGAATGGAAATCGCCAATAGTTGGAATTTTGCTCCACAACCGTACCATTTCAGCTTGAAAGATGAAAGCGAAAACTACAAGAAAAGCCATTCAATTTGTGCAATGAATGAGACTATTTTTGAGTGTTAGAGATGACAACTTTAAGCAATCTAAAGTGAAAAGCGTCTATCAACGTTCTTAGGTGATGATTTCTATATTGGCAACTGCTGAGTCGCATCAGCATATATTCAGTCGATTACCGTATTTAATTACTTATAAGCCGAGCTTGGCTACAAGCCGAGACCCCAGACTTATGATACACAATAATGGGCGTAAGCTTTCGAAAATAAAATTGGAAAAGTCCCGACCATGAGCCGAGACCTAAGTTTCACAACAGAGTTTAATTGAGTGTACACTCAAAAGTCATATAAGAAAGCGCTCCACTCATGAAACATGTCGAAAGTTATTGTGTCAAATGAATAAGCATGAAAAGTCAAACAAGAAAATCATATCTTTTAGAAACAATGAAATGCACTTTGTTTATTGTAAACATTTAGTGAACCAGTGAGATCGTGAATACTAATTAATCCAAACTGAACCATAGAGTAACTCATAGCCACAAACAACCGCTTACCAAAGTCAATAATCAATGGATTTCGTATTAAATTCATCATGCCAAAGACACACCATTCATCTTACAATATGATTTTCTAGCTCAAAGTTGATACTGAAGCAGAAGCTGTCGAAAACAACTCGGAGAACACTCGCGAGTATGGACTGATTGATTGAGTCCACGGTCCGTCGCAGGCGTAACGATCAAGACAAACTTTTCAACGGCGAACTGAAGATACCCAGAAGTATCCTGAGCTGGACCAGCTGATATTAGAGCGGTTTACCGAGCAAAGACATCAAGGTGAGCAAATGATTTGTCGCTCTACCAACACAGACGTTATCAGGTTATTTGTAATTGAAAAGTTGTAGGCTCGAGTGAACACGCACGTGAGTTTAATTTTTAATTCTCATTCCTCGCTAATATTCGCTTGAATTGTATGCATTTATGCAAATTAAACTCACTGTTTGCTTTGAGTTTCTTGAATTTTAATCATTTACACAAAGTAAACAAACTCTTCTTTTAACTTTATTTACTTACGCACAGCAATCTAACTCTTCGCTTTGAGTAGCTTAAATTCTATTTATTTACATGGTTTTCATTTATTTTTCATAGGTTTTGCCATAAGTGGACTACTGTTGCGCCTGATAACTAAAGAATTGTCAACAGATCCAGCATTCGAGGCTTCTCTTGGCTCGTACCAAAACTGGAAACGGCGTCGCTCTGTTTGCTTCCGCGCCAAGACAATGCTAGCCCGGCTACTGCCAGATGGCATGGAAGAGAAAGTTGTGCAGTTCCACCGCTTCATCATAGCAGCCAGGCAGCGAGCTGGATATCCTTTACCTAGAATCTACGATATAGATGAGACGCTGATGCGCTTCGAGCTTCTATCAACGCTTTTACTGAAGTTCAGCAACAGTTAAAGCCTGCAGAGCAGGAAAGCGAAGCTTTTCTGTCGCACTTGCCTTCGCTGCAGATGGGACCAAACTACCACCTAAGGTCATCTTTTAAGGCGTGCGGGCTCCGAGAGACCTCGACGTTCCGAATCCCTTCTGTGTTTCTCTTCACAAGAAAGGATGGATAGACGAGTTAGGTGTGAAAGAATGGATTCCTCAATGCTTGCCAACGACCCCTCGTAACGAACAGTCACTCTTAGTGTGGGACTCATTCCGAGCTCACTTGACCGATGATGTAAAAGCAGTTCTCAAATAGCGGAACATTGATGTAGCATTCATCCCTGGAGGCCTGACCCCTGTTTTGCAGACGCTTGGCAAGTGCTTGAACAAGCCATTTTAAGACAACGTCCGAAGACAGTACCTGGCGTGGATGATCAGCTTCTCGTTTGAGTACACTCCGATCTTGTTCTTCGATGGATGCATGAAGCATGGCGAGAGATCCCGGCAGGGATGGTGATGAAGTCCTTCAAGACCTGTGGCTTTTCGAATGCTTTGGACGGGACTGAAGACGATGAGCTTTTCACTGAAGAGGCGGAAAAAGAAATCGAAGACGACGAAGCTGAAGACAACGATTTTGGAACTAACAGCGTGGACGACAGCGATGCTGATGGCGAGTAAGCTGTTTATCAGTTGAAAGCTCTTCAATAAACGGTTCCTTTAGGAGCCACCAATTCTATTAAAGTTTATTGACCAACAATTTCATCTTGTATTTGTTGTGTTTTATTAATTCTGACTTGGCTACAAGCCGATCACAGAATTTGCGTGACATTTCCTTTGATTTTGACACTCGATAGAGAAAAAAAATTATTTAACTCTTGGCTATAAGCTGACCCCTCTGTTCGAAATTTTTTTGGCAGATTCAAGTCTTAATTTTTGAAGAAATAGGTCGGCCTATAAGTAAATAAATACGGTACGTCGTTTCTCATTCGGCAGAAGTAGCAGCTTGTATGATTTTCTGATTCAAGTGCCACGTGGTTCAGTAATATAATTTCAGACTGAGTTGGTGCGGCTGTTAACATCTCGTAGAGAAAGCACAAACATTCCCTTTCATACCAAAACCAAATCTGAATGGAGACACAGTGAAGTTTAAGGGGATCAGGAATAGCGTAGAGCTTGGAGCGCTTGCCTCCCATCTCGGAAGCACGGCCGGATTCAATTCCCAAACTGAACAGTGGCAAAAACCTTCGAATAACATTGATTTGTTTGCCAGTCAGGTTAATCGACTCGCTATTTCCAGCTACCTCACTAACTCTTATCGTAAGATCATCACCAAGGCAAGTGCAGCACATTTTCTTTTATTTTTTATCGATATTTTTTCTGGTAATCCAAATTGTTCCCTTTTTGTCAGCTTTTAACGAAACAAAAGCATGGACAGACAGTGTCCTAAAATATATTTTAATTTGAGGGTTAAGTTTCTTAAGTGAATTGTTATAATTCGGGTTCCATTACGCATTTTAGATCTAAATCTTCACATCCACGCTCGTAAGCGTCAACTTTTTGTTTTTGTAAGATAAGACACTTTTCGTTATCATGATAATATTTATTTGCCTCCTTGATCAACTTGCTGTTTTAAGAAAACCACAAATTGCTGCACTACTTGACTCAATGATTTGAGAGTCAAGAAATGTATTTTTTTTCTTCTTCCCCCTGTTTGTTAGAAAATCGTGTCTCAAAAAGTTTTATGGATGTTTTGTCTAGGTTTGTTGACGCTTCACCTCAATTGATGTCATAATAACGGTAAACAATGACTCATACTCTAACCAACATGAAAATTTGCAGACAGACTCTACCTAGTGTACGTGGCCAAGTTCAAGTCACTCAATAAAGAACGCATCTGTCTGAAAAAATTTAATCTCTGCGGCATCGTAGCCCCTCGCGTGAAAACCCCCTGGACTAGAGAGTCTAGACATATCTGCTGCTGGGAAACGTAAGTTTGGAAATTTATTTGTAGGTATGTTCATATCTTTTAATTTATTATCCTATGGGCAAACTTACGATATAAATTTGATTTGATTTTCTTTTAGATCTGTTCAAGGCGAAGGCATTCCTCTTCCATAATGTTTCGATACCTCTCACTGTTCCTCCTCCAGTTTATTCTACTTCTGGTAAGGTTTGAGGCTTTTAGTTATCAAACACAACCGAACCATGATTTCCTTCGATTCATTGCTTTTTCATTTTTTCAGGGAGTCTGTAAACAATCTCCATAGCTTGCTCAGAGTACATAATCATTGCACAGGAAAATTCTGTTACACCATTTCTTCTTCATAATTTTAAGAACTTGAGTGTTTAGTGTGGGTAACGAGGTTTTGTAAACAGCAATTCATTCAGCCCTTCAGATAAAGACATCTGGTGTTTCATGAAAAATGTTCTTTGTTAATCTTCTTCTTTTAAATGCAAAGCAAACTACGGAAAAGGAGCATCTAGATTTAAAACTGAATGAATTGACGTTTGTATGGGGACCAATTCAGTCAGTTGTTAATATAACCATCCAAAGGATTTTTATACCTTAAACAACTTATTCGTGTGAGAAACATGTTTTACGAGGCTCTCGCAAGAAATGATGACAAGTCTATTAGAAGTTTTAATATTTCTTTAAGTTTCCTCGAGCTCCCAGTATGGCTTTTAGTTTAGCGCTTTAGATTTCCTAAATATCACTTTCTTGCTCCAGGGCGATGGACTCGGTAAATCTGCGGTGAATACGCGGATGAAACGCGGCTTATCTTCCCACCACCATCACTCGTCGAAGTTATCAATAAAAGACCTTGCTCTCGAGTTGGCAAAGAAGCACGTAAGTAGTTTGAAGTAAATAATTGTATCTTCTAAATGTATGGTTACTACCGCCACTAAGAGATTATAAACTAATCTCTTGTCGCCACTCAAGTCTGTTGCCACCAAAACAAACCACCAATGAAAAAGGTTCTGCCGCATAACGAAAATTGCTTATTTTTCTCTTACTTTACAATTCTGGATTTTTTAAAATCTCTTTTGCTCGCACTGTGTCATCAGCTTTAGGTCAGATAGTAAACGCAAGTGTCACGACCATTCGCTAGAAAAATTCCCGTCAGCAAACTAAAGAAACGTGTTACTCGGGTTTAGCGCATTACTGAGATAGCTTTTTCTGTTTGTAGTTGCTCAAGATGATCCTTGATGAACAACATGATTTAGATAAAGCAAAAGAGAATGTTTACATCCTGGAAAGAGGTTTGTTAAAAATGATAACCACTTGGGTTTTAGAGACTAGGACTAAATTGTTTCTAATTTGTTTTAACACAGTTACGAAGATTTACGGCAAATTTTCCAGTTTCTTCTGCAGTTTTTGTCAAATGGTATGCAAAGAATCCAAAAAACAAATTAGATTGGAAATATGAAAAATAATAAAAGTGTGATTGAAAAGTACAAAATATATTCCAGAAATTTATGGAAAGCATAAACGAAAACAAAACCATATTTGCAAAAAATCTCTGAATTGCGAAAACTACTAAGAAATTCGCAAAAGCGACGACGAAAATCGAGAAATTCATCGTAGAGGGCAAAGAGAGACCCAAAAAAATTCATGAAAATCGCGGAAGCTCGCAAATGGAAAATTATGAAAAAAAATATACGCAAGAGTTGAATGTTAGAAAAATAAACGAAAATTAAAGAAATAGTGCTAGATTGCAGAAACAGTATAAAGTTGTCTAGACGAGTGTCTAAATCAACAAATGTGTGCTGAAGGGTTAAGGAAGGTTCCAACCAGCCAAAATTAACGCAAATTATCACAAATTTTACTTAGACGTGCCAAAAAAACGGTCTAGTTTGCCAAAAATGCATTAAAAAAATAATGTTACCTCTGTAAAATCCAAGAACAGGCTCAGTTTAGGCGGTTGGCTTAATACTCAAGAAGCGGAAGCTGTAATTGACATGGAACTGTAGAAAATCGCAAATGTCGCAAAATGTGCAAAGAAAAATATTCAGTTAGAGAAAAAAACAACACTGATTCTGCATTACGAACTGACATAATTGTAAGTAATCAGAATGCTTTCCAATCAAATATGTCCATGAAAAGAAGGAAAATCTGATCAAATAATAATCGACTTTATCTTTGACTGAAACTTCTTCAGACAGGTGCACAAACATCAAATCTGTTGGAAAACCTATCACTCACAACACTCGGTCCAACCTTTATGGAGCTTGGATGAAAGACCCACTAGGAATCATGGGTGCTGAGACCATATTTACCATGGAACGTTATTACGCAAATGTCATCCAAGCGTTTGAGAACATGGAAAAGTTCAAGGCTGGTGTGGTTCACAAGACTTATTCTCTGCCTTATTACTTTGATGGAACTGGAGCAGTAGTGTACGGACCATACCTCTACTACAACAGGTGAGATATTTTATGGTTTCCAGCTTTATCTACTTACTATTAAAAAAAGAGACTTCTGACTTGTTTTACAGATAGATAGATTCAAAACACGTGTTTGAAAGATAAATTTTTGTTTTGTTTTTCACGAAAATTGAAACATTTAGCAGTATGAGAATTTAAGCAGAAATTAGTCCGATCTGATGAATCATTTGTTTTTTATCTATTGATTACAGAGCCAATTCAGTTTATATCATCAAGTACAATCTTCTCACAGAGCGTATGGAGGCTCAAATTAGTGTAAGCGGCTTTTCAGCGCGAAAGAACCACTATCGATCGAGCGGCTACAGTGGAATGGACTTAGCAGTTGACGAGCAAGGATTGTGGGTTCTTTGGGGAGATGATGGAAACAGCTATCGTTTGCACGCATCAAAAATAGATGTGCGTAAAAACGCAGTCACCCGCACCTGGAGCTTGAGTACAGGTAAGTATGCAACATGAAGCTATGTAAACGGAGACGAAACTGTAAAATAAAAGAGAACGAGTTAATGAGGTGAGGATATTTTACGTAGATCTCAGTTAAGGGCGATTAAAGAATAAGCGACAGAATCAATAGACCTACTCCAAGCACAGGGTAGCAACTGAATTAAGAACACTTACTTAAAAAAGGCCCTTAGTCTACTTGAGCAAAAAGACACAAATAAATGAAATAAATCCTGAAATGACCAATAAATGAAGACAAAAAAGAAATTATCCTCACAGACGAGGAGCAAGTGAAGAAACTGTAGATAGGGAAGCTCAAAGTAATTCAAGCCTTGACAGAACTCGAACCATTGCCTTCATAGATGGCTTTACAACCACCTGAGCTATGGTATCTTATCACAAACAAAAGAAGTGTTTTTTCCACGAGTCAGGAAATAAAGTAAAATATCAAGACAGTGCACATCTTTGCCAAATGAGTATTTTTGATTTAATATTTAATTTTGACTCTTCTTTTCTCCGCGCAGAGAAGATGTCCCATATGGGAAATGCTTTTGTAGCTTGTGGAGTGATTTACTGTATTGACGAATACAACAGCAAAACCACCACCATAAACTTTGCTTATGACACCAAGACAGGAAAACAGTGGATTCCCAACATACAGTTCACAAACCAGTATGGTTTCAATTCCATGGTGGACTATAACCCCAGGGAAAGAGTGCTGTACGCTTGGGACTACAGACGTCTTGTCACTTACCCTCTCACCTTTGAGGAACAGTAAATTGGTGCAAAATTTAAAGGGAAAACAAAACCAAGCGATGGATGTGAAACTTTTTGATTGATTTACTGCTTTGTAGATGCACTTGCGAACGAAATAAGCTAACATTACAATTGGCATTTTTACATATTGATTCAGTCTTACAGACACAAAACCTTAACTCAGCCGTTTTGTCTCCTGATGGCTCGAGCGCAGATTTTTTAACCGAGGTTATTTTTCAATTTGCTTCAATCATTTCAGCTGCGATTGTAAGACTTTAATCAAGGGTTTTGAATTCTGAAAAAGTGCTCTTTGTAATCAAAAGTTGTTAAAAAGGAAGAGTTGGATTGACTAAACTTTCTGTCACTTTTGATTCAACTTTAAAATTGCTGTTAGTGCTTGAAAAATAAAATGTGGGAAATAGAATAATAGACGTGATTGTCTCATTTATTTGAAGTACAAATTTCAAACTCGATTTAATTGTTTTCACCAGCAGAGGCGTTGGTGATGATACTGGTCTTTGAGTCATTTTTTATTTTTATGACTAGACGCATATTTGCGTTCACCCGGGCTTTCCGTTGGAAATAAACTCTGTTTTTTGTGCTTACATTTGCCTAAGTTTTTTTATGCAATTATTGGTGTATCCTGTAACTGTTTTCTTCCCTTGGTATGCCAGAGATGTAGGTTTCTCACATATGTATACAGATACCGGCGCCCCTATACCAATTGTACCCTTGAGTCAACCCTGTCCCGTATCTTTTTATTTTTAGAACTGAGATATGTTGGGGTTCATTAATTTCCCGTGAAAACAAGTTGACGTTCCCATAAACTTTCCGCGCTTTTTGCAATTATTGAAATACTTTCGCACGGCCTACATTTGACGTAACAATAGAGGACCACAGCTTTCTTATGATTGGTTATTATGTAAACACCCGCGAAAACCCTGTGGGAGGTGCTTAATTCTAAAAATTAAAAAGATACAGGACAGGGTTGACTCAGAGGGTAAGTATGGAAGATGGAAGCTCGGGTAATGGGCTCCTGCTTTTGATTATGAACAGCCCCAAGTGCTAGTGCGATGACAAAGAGTCACTACCAGAGATTATTACTAGATGAACTATAAATTTTATGGGGTTGTTGGAGTGGTTCTCATGAATGAAATATACTTTAGCATATTTTGTACTATTACATCCGATTTGTTTGTTTCCATTTGGAGTTACTGGGCTAGCCTGAAACAATGTTAAATATCGACTTGCACGATATTTTACCTTTCCTATACTTTGACGAATTCTTTCATGACAGTTAAACTTAAACGTCCTTTTATTTAACAGTTTTTAGCATCAGCAGTACAAGGTAGATGACATGGGGATACATGAGAGAATACGTACATAGACAAATTTTCTAATCTTTTGTTCCTTAACCGAAAAATTTATCATTATGAAGAAACATTGACTCAGGGGGACTTCCCGTAACTTTGTATCTTTGCACGCGAATGAAGATGAATGAAACTTCATTAAAGTAAAATAAAATATGGGGTAGGTTATTTTAGCGACGAATGGCACTTTTGCTTCTCTCGCGTGTAAGGCAAACTTGCAGCGGCTTGCTGTAAATGATAAGCAGTAAATTTCTTTGTACTTGCGAAAATGAACGTGGAAAGTGATCAAAGTTGTCAACTTAAAAATTGTCACAGTTAGAAACAATCTAGGTGTTAATATCACCTAGATCGAGGTTAAAATTTTATGGTGATCGTCCTTTTTCGATCTGCGTCCCTAAACTTTGGAATAATCTTCCAGAGCATATAATATGTAGTTTAAATTTCACATCTTTTAAGAGCAACCTTAAAACTTATCTTTTTAAGCGTTATTTTAATTTGCAGTTTTGTTCTAGTATTTTTCGAATTTATTATTCACAAAGTTACTGCTTTAAACATTTTATTGTGAAGCGCCTTAGAACTCTAGAATAGAGTGCTATAGAAATTTTTGTATTATTATTATTATTATTATTATTATTATTATAAGTTACTAGCAAACATCAGTCCTTAATGTCGAGCAGTGTTATGTCGGTTCAAGTAGAGATCATGTCCTTGTACTGACAAAAATTTCCAAAAATCCAACAGTTTTCTTCCATTTTCCAAGAATAAGGTTACTCTCTTGTACCTAGCGCGATATTGTGGCTTTAGAAAATATATTTTACTTGTGAAGGAAATGATAGTCGACAATTTCATTTCTAATTAAAATATCAAGCTTCATTTAAATAATACTAGTTTTCCTTTTCACAAGATATGTTCCTTAGTGACCTGAAAACTTTGCGATTAGCCTTCTGGCACCTCTTAGGACTCATAGGCGCTGACAAAGCTCCATTGACTATTTTGAATAGTCATTTGGTCAATACACCAAAGTGAAATGGTTACATTCAGTCGAGGGTTTGTGCAGTGAGTTATGATTTGTAACTATAGAGAAGTAGTAATATAATGTATTGTTTTCTTCAATTCCTGTTTATTTTTGAAACCCAGCAGTAGTGTTAGTGACGATACAGGTCGTTAAAGCATTTCTTTATTTTTATGAATATTTTTATCTTTTTCTTAGAATTCTAATGCATGTAACGAATGTTGGACACACCTCTGTACGAATTAAGTTGCCAGAGTAACGGTGCTCACTGCGCTTTTCCCACAGAGTTCTCACTGATACAACACTTGAGAATGAAACCCAAAATCTTAAATTTAGGCACAACAAGACAATCATGAAAATCAGCTCCGGCAACTTGAGAGCTTTTAGACAACACGAAAAGCTTGAAAAAACTAGCAAATGAACGTGGGATTACCCAATTTGCTGGCCTTGGGGTTTTTTTTTCTTTTAATACCTCCTTGATGATCCACTTTGCCTTTCCCAAACTCGTATCCATGAACGATGAATATCAAAGCTGTTTTCGTAAAAGGGAAGATAAACCCATTCAAGTATTGAGATAAAATCTTAGCGTGACTGAAAAGCAAAGAACGTTCTACGCGATTACAAAGTGCAGTGAAGTGAAAAGGTGAGCAGTGGGTTATCTAGGGCTGCGTTAGCCGTTAGGCCCAAAAAACTACATATTTGAACTGTTAGTCGTTAAAAAAGTTAGCCATAAAACATCTTACTGAATGCTTGAGAATCCACTCTAAATTCTGCGAAACCTTTCAAAGCCATCAAAAGAATGTTAATGAGTTTGCAGATTACGTAACATATCTATTTACACATGTCACGGAGGCTTTCTAAACATCATTAATGTTTACGAGAATACAGGGAAATTTTTTTCATTAAAAGATATTTTGAAGAAAAGTTCCTGTGTTCTACGAAATGTCTTCGATTGAACCTTAACATGACGAAGTTACAATCTGATTTCATGTCAAAGTATGTTCTTGATAAATCTGCTTGCGTGTTTCGTAGCTTTGCGTGCTTTGTATTTGTTAGGTAAATAAAGCAAATTCGAGTAAATAAGACAAAAAATTAATACCCCACCTGAACCTACAACTTCCACTCATATTCTAACGAACTTTGCAAAAGTAAGCTGAGCTGTTAATGAGGATTGTAGTAGTATTTTAAGCAACAGGGAAACATCAGTCGTGCAAGAAAAGCACATTTTGGAAGTTACTAATTGCGCGCAATGCTACTAAGTAAAAAGGGTCATTTAGCTAAAGAAACGTCTTTTTTTTATCATACTAGTCAATGCTATACGGACAACTATACCCACAAGAAATATTACAGAAGCCGTAGAATCTAATTTGCATTAATTTGCAAGCTTTCTAATACGTTTCACAGGAATTCCTTAACTTTTGCTGTAAATTTTTATAGTTAGAAGATACATGTTACAGAACGTCCTTGATCAAACCTTTACAGGATAACTACAGAATCGGTATTTTAGCGTTAAAATTTACTTTGTGGGAATTTGTTAGTCCGTGGTTGGGTGTTCGGCAGATAAAATGATTCGTATTCGATGGCGAAATACAATTACACTTAGTTCAAATAAACAAAATTTCAAATTCCCAGCTGTGTATACAAATAATAGTTTTTCCCACCCACATACAGAATTTATTGGGCATTTAAGCGTGAAGGTTCACAGAGTTTGGTCACCAAAAGAAAAGGAATAGAACAAAGACGAGCAAGTATCAAGAAGCCAGGTAAATTACTCAGAAAAAAAGTGTTTAAACTGAAGTTATTCGTCCGAAAGTTTCGCTTCCAGACCTTCTTTGACTCTGTAAATAGCGGATGGAAGTTAAAAAATCCTTACAACTTTAAAGAAAATATTTCAAAGGTAGATTCCTCTTAGTGCAAGCGTTTAGACCTCCTTGATGAGAAAGGGACACTGGACCACTATTAATATCACTGCAAAAGATACAATGAAATAATTTTTCGTGTAAAATTTATATCTGTTTACTCTTGTTTCCTCGGTTCCCTCCAAGACTACCAACCAAATGCAGGAACGGAAAACGGAGCCCCATTGGAAGATTTTTCAATTATACCCAGACTTATTCTGAGGCGTCCGGTCCTGAAAAGACCAAAAATTACCCATCTATGCATATTACACCTCGAATAATTTTTCCAACATATCGCAAACTTAAGCAGAGCAATTGAATTCACTGCAAATTTAACTTTGTGTTTCTACACTCATAACTACGATAAACTCGGTAATCATGTTTTTTCTCGAGATTAAATGTCAATGACAACTTAACTTGAGTTGAATGAAGTGATCAGAATTTCAAAAACATGCTCTTGAACATTCTAAGGCAGCTCTTTAAACAAACTTTATAGGAGCGTACTTCACCAGTTAAAACCCGACAAAATTTTTTGTTTCTCGCAACTTCTTTTGTATGGGGAGCAATGTCGTGATTGTAGCTGCTGTGTCTTAGTAACTTAAATTCTGTATTCTGTATGTTTTATCTCAAAAAGCTTCTCTATGATCTTTTGGTTCGATAAGTTAAATAATCATAGCCCTTGATTTGTTCAGTTGCGAAACTCACGTTTGGTAAAGGAACGTCGTCAATGACAATCAATGTTGGCTATGAATCGTGAGGTAAGCCACCAAACGTTCTTTGATCTACTTTACAGTTCAGTCTGTGGAAGTCTCTAGGATAATTCTAAATATCGTTTCATTTAAAACTTTCTTGTCAGATCAGTTACATCCTGTTATGATGGCCTCGATCTCCTTTATTTGCTTTCTCTTCCTCCTCGGACTCACTGGTGCACACCCAGTAGCCGATGAAAGTAGGTCATATTTATTTTCATTTTTTACCAGAAATAAAAAATTCCGTTTAGGTAAATAGTTACTTACTTTTGAAGGATTTTTTCAACTTGAAGGCATGAAGTCGAGGAATCTAGTCAATGGTCAAGAAAATGAACCAAGAATGCAGTATGATTCAATTAAAGCATTACCTCCTGTAAACGGCATGGAGGATGAGCCAGTCAGGGATCTTATGAACGCACGACCGCGTGGTGCACACCCAGTAGCCGATGAAAGTAGGTCATATTTATTTTCATTTTTTACCAGAAATAAAAAATTCCGTTTAGGTAAATAGTTACTTACTTTTGAAGGATTTTTTCAACTTGAAGGCATGAAGTCGAGGAATCTAGTCAGTGGTCAAGAAAATGAACCAAGAATGCAGTATGATTCAATTAAAGCATTACCTCCTGTAAACGGCATGGAGGATGAGCCAGTCAGGGATCTTATGAACGCACCACCGCCGCCACCGCGGCCGCTGCAAGGTAAGTCACGTTCATTTTCTCTTCATATTTCCTGCTTCTGTGTGTATGTGTCAAGATGTAGCTGGCTACAACACATTTATTCACCGAAGTCAGGGAGATAGATGGCAGACTGAACTCTTTACTCTCATATAACTTTTCTCCGCCCAAAAGGTGAAAACGGTAACAGCGAAGGACCACAAAAACGCGACGAAAAGCTGAGGGTAACCTGTAGTATATAAGCATTTCATCTGAGGGGAGGAGAGGGGAGAGGAGGGACGGCTTATACTCTTTGTCGCTTCACACCTCAAAACTTGAGAGCAATTGAGTTCTTGTTCGTTTCCTTTCATTAGGAACACTGTACAGTTGGCTTTTAAAACCCCAAGGATGAAGTCGTTACTTAACAAAATAAATGAAGCCGGTTTATTTTATACAGAAAGTTGTCCAGAGAAACCTGCAGCGAGCCTACTAACCCTGATTTCTAAATTTGGGCTATTACTGTATCACGGTTATTTCCGACGTGATGAGGTATTAAGCTGATGAAGGTTCCTCTTCCTTCATGATTCAGTACCTCTAAGACTGTTTTTGTGAAATGAAAAGATGTTGCTAAGATACGAATGGCAAAGCACATTAAGCGATCTATAACCATCAAAGCATGTCTGATATTCTGAGTATGCCTTTTCAGTGTGGACCAAATACTCTTCAGACACTACTTGGTGCACAGTCAACGGAAGATCTCTTCTATACTCATCCACGACTGATCCAATCGACAAGGTACAATGTCAGCAGCTATGTGTGGAATCGAACTCAAGGTGCTCAGCTGTTGAATTCTGGGAGGAATACAATTACGCATGCTTCGAGTGTACGGATTTGTCATTGGCGGAACCCTACACCAATGAAAATGACCTGGCTTACCCAGTCTATGTCTGGGTTCGAAGTGAGTACAAGAGATTTATATTTACTATGAGTTTATGGGCAATGGTGGAAAACTCATGTTCTCTTGTCAAGTTAAGTTTAGGCGAATTAAAAAGAAGAGGAACAAAAACACCAGCTTCCTTCCTACATTTCTATGTTTCTGACTTAAGATCTTCACTAATTTAACCCTGCCGACCCTTATAGCTTGATTATAGTGCTATGAACTCGGCGAAGACAAACCTCACCTCATTCATTATCATGATATCTTTCCCTTGCAGAACAGCGGAACTGAGATCCAGCCCTTTGTAAAGTTGTCGGCCATCACCTGAATTATTGGGTCTGAACGGGATCATTCATATACTTCCTTGGTTATATTATCGTTGGGTAAATATATCTGCGGTTGACCAAATACCGTATGTACTTTACGATCAAAGATGTCAATAAAGAAGGGCTCCAATCACTTTGGTCTAATTCACTCTCCTTTTATCTAGTGATCAAACATAGTCCGGTAGGAACTCGTAACTACTTGCTTCAGGAAAAGAACACCGTGTCTTCATACGGCAACCATACTTATACCCAGGACAAAGACCACTCTTGAATGAAAAAATACATCTAGAGGGTTTTCGAGTTCAAAAGTGGCTGTTCTTTGCAAAGTTTGCGTTTCCTATTGTACATAATTGCTTTTGACTAAGATATTTCCTTAGCTTCGTTATTCGCAAAACGAGATAGCCTATTGAGTCCATTGGCAAATAAGCTACTTTTATATCGAGTACATATCAGCTTCACGAAAAAGACTTTAAAATTACGTTGACATGACAAAATGGTTGCATAGGTCATGACTTGTAAATAAAAATTGACGCGCTGCCTGTGTGACCTAATGTTATCCAATGAAAAATAAAAAAAAGATTATTAAAAAAGTTTTCATACAGAAAAGTGAAAACGGGTCAGTTAAAGATGGGGTCAGATAGATCCAAATCAAATGCACTCCCTTGACAGAGTAACTCTGATAGGTCATTTAGATTACCCAACAGCTGGACTGATGATTATTTAAACAGCTCTTCTAGCTAATCAACCTTGAAATTAAAATGGATTCAATCGTTGTCTTTCAATTTCGTATGCTAATATTTATCACTTTGTTCAGTCAGTGGGGAGTCAAAGTGAAAAATTTATCATGAAGAAAAAAAAAATTTATCATGAAATTTACACATGAAGAAACATTGACTCAGGGTGACTTTCCGTAACTCTGCGTCCTTGCACGCTAATAAAGATGAATGAAACTTCATTGAAGTGAAATAAAATCTGCAATAGGTTATTTTAGCGATGAATGGCATATTTGCTCCTCTCGCATGTAGAATAAAAAAAATTGCTGCTTCATGAATCATGATATCTTTCTCATTTCATAAAATAGTCCTCGGTGTGTCAGGAAACTACAGGTGAAGAGGATATCACACTTGCTGATTGAATTAATTTTTTGTATTTGTATTTGAATGAAACTTGCAGCGGCTTGCTGTAAATGGTAAGCAGTCAGTTTCTTTGTATTTGCGAAAATGAACGTGGAAAGTGATCAAAGTCGTCAACTTAAAAATTATCACATTTAATATTTTAATGTCCTTTTGTCCCGATAGGTAGAGGTGTCGGTAGTCTATGCGCGCTGAAAGCTGTAATTAAGCGTTCGTGTAAGGCTGGTCAATGAGGAAAGTTGCGCTTTTATGCGATATTTGGTGTTACGTTTCGCAGGTAAACACAAAATGAAAATGGAAAATAGAAACAGTACAATAGAGGTACCATGGATATGAGCTGTTTGATTTTATTGAAACTGAATCCAGCAACCTTATCTCCCAACATCTATTAATCGACAATTTTCAGAATTTAGAGAGGCACTCTACCTTTTGCTTCTCTGTTTTAATTTTTTCTGTGCGGAAAGTAGTATGAGGTTAAAGGCAATTAATGCTAAATGTGATGATCTTTTCTTTTTCAGGGAAACGCCATTCAGTCAAAATTACAAGCTGTATGGCCTGAAAGCATCATGAATCGATAAATGACTAATATCAAGAAGTAACACTTATGCATTGACACTCACGCACTGTAAACTGTTTGGAACATTTTATTAACTTTTCACAAAATCGATCTTCTCTAAGAATAAAGAACCCCTGTAAATACTACTTGACTGTTTTAAGCTGCGGAGGAGAATTTCCAAATTAGCCGTGAACGATAAATAACTAAAATATATTAAAGTTCACACGGCAACCAGGTGGACAATCAGACATGGTTTGATGCTTCTCTGGTTTACAGATTTAATAAATGTAACCGAAGAAGTTACAATTCATAGACCCAACGTTTCGACACTCCTGTCTAGTGCCTGAAAAAGGCACTATTTACACATTTCACAGCAGCTTTTTAAAGATCATTTAGTGTTAACGAGTTTCTCGGGAAATGTTCATGATATAGGATATTAAAAGAAAAGACCTTTTTAGCGTATTACGAAATTCCTTTGATTAAAGCTTTATTTGATGATGTTAGCATCAACTTTCTTCGCAAAGTGTGCACTTGGTAAATCTGATTGCTTCTTGCGTAAATTTGAATACTTTGTATTCGTAAGGTAACTCTAATAACCTCGTTTGAATAAGAAAAAGTTGAAATTTACAAGCTCACAGAATAGGACAAAGAAAGAACAGGAGAAAAAAATCGCAAACTCACATCAAACCAAGTAAAGAACACAAAAAACACTTTTTTATTGTTCGTGCGTGTTTCGCACGCAAAGCGAAATGCAAGTGACATTTCAAGAAAATGGCAAAGAACATTTATGCTAATGTTGAAACACTTTTTAAAATTTATAATTAGATGTCATCTCTACTCATCCTAGACTCAACGGGAATTTAAAACCTCTGCAAATTTCTAAATCCGTTTCTCTAAAGTTTAAGGAGACACTGTAGTTCTTCCTCGTATGTCTTTATTTACAGTACAGGAAGCTGCATTGCAAAAAGGGGTCATTCTATTAATTTCAGTCACGACAATTCAAGGCAAATAGTAGAGCTTCATTTCTCAGTTATGCAAGTCAATGCTATTAGAATAATTAGACCCACGTATCATCTTGAATGCACGGCTAGGAGTTCAGCAAAGACAAACCTCACACACTGATTTGATTTCTTTTCCTTTGTCTGAACCTACCGAACGAGTAATTATGACAAACCACAAATAGGAACGCATTTATAAGAATAAAAACCAAACAATTTCTGAAAGTGGCATAAAACACGTCTAATTTCCAAATTTTACTTAAAGGATTCAGAGCTGGATTGGGTCTTTATATATGTATGTTGGATAAGTAAATTGGCAACAGTAACGGGATTTTAAACCTGACGTTTCGAACGTTAGCCCTTCGTCAGAGCGAAGAATTTGGATTTTTTCTGACGAATGGCCAACGCTTCAAACGTCAGCATTTGAATCTCTTCACTTTGGCCAACTCACATTATCAACACAGTTCATAAAACCAAATTGTCCTCTTTCAATTAGGACCTTTGTGCAGTACTGCACTCGTAATAACACCGGTACTTCAACTAATCAAACAATGTTAGAGGTGAGAAAAAAAACCCAAACCGTTAAACATGTAATGTTATTACAATATAAAAACGGAAAGCCAAGGTAACAAAATGGCCGCATTAAACGATCCCAAGTTTGATTTGTTTAAGTCCTTCTGTACGTATCAGATGTTTACAGCTTGTCGTTGAGATGTAACTGTGCAAATCATCTTAAGAATTTTTTTCAACAACGATTCTAAAATGTTTCCACATGAACTGAATTTTAGAAAATACACCTGAAGCTTTCTCTTTCAATTCTACCTCTAATAAATGTCATATCATGAGCACGACTCCTCTCATTTTCTCATACAGAGCCCATACTTTCCGCTTGATGATGATTGTTTCCCATTTATCTGTCACCATTGACATCTCATCTTCCAACAAAATGACACATTGGTGGAAATCCTTTGGAATAAATATATCAAAATGTAACAATGACAGAGGGTGGCCAATCAAATGACAATTTACAAGCTGGCTGAAGAATTTCATTATTACAATTTTTTAAAGTTTTTTCATTTTTTATCTTTTATTTTATTTTGCCATTTTGTAATTATGATACACTAGTAGAAATAAAAAAGAATTATATATACATTAATATGATATAGCAGAAGATTTAGTAAGAGGCGAGGAAACCCGTAGGGAAACCCAGGGGCTTATATGAGCTACAGGCACCTCATATTTTACAGAAGTGTGGCATCAGTTCTATGGCATGATTAAGGTACAAAATATTTAAGGTTAAAAAGGAAAGGACACACACACATAAAACAACAACAACAATTGCAGGCTCTCAAACAAACATATACTTAAGCAGCGTGAGAAAAGTAAGAAAAAAATCAGGAAGATGGCCTATCTTGAACAAAAACATGATCTTTCCTATTTGAAATCAATACATATTGTATAGATTAAGAATTTTCAACTGCTTAAATATAGGTTCAGTATGAGGGTTAAAAGTACTTACTTGATATAATTTGTACCACCCTTTTCTGGATGGATGAGTTGAGCCCCATACCGTAATGCAATAAAGTGAGTAGGGATAAACAAGACTATAGTACAGGGTACATAAAGTTGAAGTAGGTAGGCAGAGACCATAGCTTTATAGATTATACCAGTGGATTTTGAAACTTTCCTAGCAATATGAGCAATGTGCAGTTTCCATGACAAATTTTTGTCAAGAATAACACCTAAAAACATAGACTCTTTAACTCGGTCAATAGTATATTGGTTAATTACAAAAGTAATAGAAGGCAAAATGTTACCTGTAGTTTTTTCAACTGTTTCTGTACATCATATGCTTGCATTTGACTCCTACTGGTCCTATGTGTGATAACAGGCTAATAAAAAAAATGTATCACATTACTATTTTCATTACCAACAACATTTTGTTGTTGCTGTTTCTGTTATAATTATTATCGTCATTATATTTCGTATCATTGGAGCTGTAACTATCATTCTATTACTATTATTAAAGAAACCCATCAAATTTATGTCTAATTAGAACACTCATTAAGGAAAGTTTGCTGAACTTTGTTCATTGCCCTCTGTATTAGTTTACCTTCAATCTTGTTAATATGGCTCCATGAAGATGACACAGCAAGCGCACATGTGTACAGTGTAATTCAACTTCAAAAGGAGAACCATTGGTGGATTTTTCCATTCCACTTACAGGTTTAATGTTTATGGATGCATGACCACCATTCACACTCAGCAGATTTATGTGAGAACATTCCACATCAATTTGTTGGTGAGCAATGCTTGAGTCCATGAAGATGAAGTGAAAGAATGTAGCTTGCGGCAAAAGAGATTCTGTTTGAAGAGTTTCCTTCAGAGCAAGGTCATTTTTAATAGTTGTGGTCATGAAATTTATGGCATCTTGAGAAACAATGAAAGCTGCTGAGTAGTTTCTAATTTCTGTGGGTTCCTCTGCAATCTCTTCTGTATCCTGACCAAATATACTCCTACTTACTACATTGCTGATTGTTGAATTAAGTCTCTCTATAGTTTGAAAAACCATTTCATTTGAATCTGAAATGGTGCAGTTTGTTTGAGCTTGTGGCCCTGATTGAGTCATTTGCATCAAATGAAGGATGTCAAAAACTTTCTTTCCAACTGGTATCACAATGTTCTTAGTTGGTATCTGAAAGAAATGCATTGGATCTGTTCCATTTCTGAGATCAGCAAGCAAGGAATTCAAATCACAATACAGGTACCCTTCTACAATAATGTGACCTGATGAAGGGAAAGACTTGTTAAGAGGAATGTTCATCTCTGTGACTTCCCCTGGATGAGTGGTTCTCATTGGCATTGATTGGCCCATAAAACAAGCTGCTGGAGAGGTACAACTCTGCCAAGGTTCCTTTCCTTGTATGCGAACCATTAGTGACCAGGAAGGTGACAACACTAGATTGCCCTGGTTAATAACTTTGCAGTGCAGTGACAATGAAGTATGCCCACAAGAGCTCTGGCACACAACACCAGGTGTAAAACAACACAATAAAGGGAACATAGTGTCTCCTGCCTTCTTGGTAACCTGACTAACAATGTGGATAATTTTATTAAGCTCTTTCAAAGTACTGTTTGCACTTTCTCTGCTTTCATTAATTCTTACCAGCTCTGCAGTCTGAGTTTCAATCTCTTTTAAGTAACTCTTCACTTTTTCACCAGCCATTTGTGGTGAGACATTAGACCCAATAAGTTGTTCTCCATCTTGCAATTCTGGCAACAGAAGCAAAACAAGTTTTCCTGTGACAGTAAGAGCATACACCTGCCTCTTTGTGCCATTTCCCTTCCTTTTCTTATTTACACAACAAAGCACAGACACATTTGGTACCTGTACAGTCAGCTTGCTTGAGGATAACATTGCTGCTGACCTTGCTGCATTCATCTCACAGTTGAGGCTCAACTTAGTGACAAAGATTTCGTTACCTGTTGAATGTACCAGTGTGTCATGGCTGCTGCTCAAGCAGGAACATAGAACAGGGCCAACAATTGTGTGCCATGTAAAATTAATTTTCTTTACTTCTTCTGACTTCTCTGACAGATGTTCTTCATCAGATACAATTATAATCTTGTCACAACCTCCAACAAAAACTAAGGCATTGCAGCAGTCACCAGATTCTTGCTTGTGTTTGCAATTCCTCACTTCTGTTTCATTTGCAGTTGATGGACATATTGATGAATCCTCTGGATAATGAAGCCTTGCTGCATATATCGCTACCACTCTTTGTTCCATATGGTATATCAGCTGAGGTGAAAATTGATGTTCACTGACATTAGCCTCAGAGTTTGCATTTGTAAGAGCAAAACTGTTCACAGGCCAAAATAACACTTGCCCATCTTCACAACCAAAGATAATGACTGGGGTATCCAAAAGAGATGCATCACAGAGAAAAAGTTTGCTAAATAAAGACCGTTTTATGGTAAGACATGATGACAGACATGAAACATTGCCATTGGCTTGAACACAACACAGCTGAGGAACATAATTCCACAAACAACTGCATGTATTTTGTGACTCTGATTCCACTGTTATTATCCCTTTGAATACTGGAAGTGGTGCATACGCCATCTTACCAAGATCATTTTGCTGTGAAGTAGGACAAAACACAGACAACAAATAGCCTTGCTCCAGTGCTCTGCAACACACAATATTTTCTTCAATGGTAATAAATGTTCTTAACTTTGGTTCATATAGGACTGCACTTTCCACATCAACAAATGTTATACATTTATTAGCTCTGACTGATTGTTTATTCACTGTTTCTGTAACATCAATATTTGCACCAGCAAGTAGTTCTCCAAAGATATCACAATCACCACATTTCTTTTGTTTTGCCATCTCACTAGTAACATCTGGAGTAGGATCAGCAAATGTCTTTAACCTTAAATTTAAAGTTTGCAGAAAAAGCTACTGAGTGAAAATGAATTCTAAATATAAAACTTGAACCACACATAAAATTGAATCACAACATACAAGTAATTTGGAGACATTGTATCAATACAGTCAGTGTGTAGGATTCTGGATCAAGTTTTCTGGTTTTCAGGCCTAATCACAGTCACCTCAGATGTGAGCCAGATATAAGTTGGAGAGGCTGAAAATACAGGAGTTGACGGGCAGTTGTATCACACACAAAAACCTAAACACTTAAGTCATGTACGGTTCCTAACTTCCACTAAGGGACCACAGCTTTTCCTAAGGCGTTAACCTAATTCAGTGTAGTGTCTAAGTGCACTGAAGTTTAGATGATAAATATCACAGACAGATACTGACTCTGTACACGAGTTTAAGCAGAGCAGTTGGCTGACAGTTCCTGTTGACTGTCAGCCTACGAGTTTTTTCAGGGAGTTGTTCCTCACAATTACCCCAAAATGTAGTTTGACTGTCACTGGCTGAAACAGTACCAGATGAATATCTCACCTGCTGCTTTTGGTCAGATCTTCTGGTAAGAAGACCGCAAAAATATGGCCATCCACTGTCCCAACTAATATCTGTGTTTTTCCAGCAGCGTTACGTTCCTGAATACGAACAGTGGTCACCAGACTGGGAAAACGAAAAGTGTGCTACAAAAGAAAGAAAAAATTTCACATTGTTATGTTCCCCGTTTGACTCGAGGTTCTATTTAATGGAAAGTCTCATTCATAGGCCTGAGAAATGACGTTTCGAGTAATCCACTGTCTAAATGTAGATTTGTTTAAAATATATACTTACTGCTACGCTATCGTCCACTACAATATAAAGAAAATGACTGCCATTTGACAGCAGAACTATGTCACTACGTTTAGAAACCGTATAGATTATTATTACGGGAGTAGCACTTGGTTTTAAAGGGGCAAATCTTTGCATGGTTTTTACCCCGTAGTCCGCCATTTTGAGCATTCGAACTAAGCGCTTGCAGAATGTTTCTATGTAACTACCGCTGACAGCCAGTCGGCTCGGTCAATAGCTGTCATCAAGGAAAATAAGGAAATCAATTATTGACAATTGAATATTTGTGAAGTTTTTACATTTCGACTAAGCGTACTGTATCCAAAACAGGGCGATTGCAAACTAGAAGCAGTACTACGGGACGTGAAGGATCTGTTATGTACGTAGGTAAACGCTGCTAAACTCAGCTGAGCTGAAAGTGGTCTGCAGAATGCTGCCTCTGAGCCAGATTTTCCTCTGTCTGCTGTCAACTTAGCTGGTGTGGTGCGACTCGGTGAAGCCGTTATGACTGCTGACAGTTAATGATGGTTTTGCCTTCTTTGATTTCTACATCCCGGCTGCATAAACTGACCTGCATGTGAACTCGATCGGACATCAATAACGGTGAATAGGTTTTAAAGATGCTCTCCAGTGGTGTGTTGCAGGTATTACTCATTGCGGGTGTTTTAATTCAACAAGGTGCTTCGCTCGCTTTTGCACAAACAAATTTCGCACTTTATCAAGAAGCGATTGTTTCGTCAAACGATACTTGTGGTTTGCAAGGAAATGATGAATTCTGTTTAGCTGTTGATCGTTTCCATCGTTGTCAGAAGTTTGATTATTGTGAAGCCGATTGTCCATTCGGGAGAAATGAACCAGTTAGCCTGGATATTGTTGCTACGGGAATGTTTCACGGCCAAGTAAGTGATAGATACTCTACTTAAAAATCCGAAAGTGTAAAATTTTGTAGATTTTGCGATAGGTATGCGAGACACAATCAAAACAATATTTTAGCATTGATTCATTGTAATACGTAAATTGTTTTAAATAAGCCATGTACTTTTTTGTTTGTTTATGCACACATTAGCTGTTTTTAGGTAGCCTGAAAGATTTGTCGGAATAATAACACTGATAATCGTCGGTGTGCTAGTTAACATGATTATATTCAAGCTTCATCTGCTCGCAACTGTAGTGGAAAGTTGAGTACTCATTCTCTTCAAAGTGAAATTGTTCACTTTGTGTAACTTCGTTAAATCGACTTAATTGAAAAATAAGTAAATAATTTTTTTTAATCCGGATGTACAGCTTGTGTGCTGGGCTCCTTCCCTCACCCCTCCACTACTAATTTTGCATTGGAATTACAACACTTTAGAACTCCATACCCTATTAAATTTGGTTTCAAGACATAAGGATCATTGCTAGGGCCTTAAGAAAGATGAAAAAAAAAATCTTAACACCAATTAACAACAATTGTTAACATTGTTCAAAGTGGTTTTGCTGTGCTTTCCTTGCAGGCTCAACATGATGTATTAAAATTGGTAATGGTTAACTCTCAGGAAACCTAATGCAGTTCAAGGGGGTGACTTGTTATGAATTTGTTATGCATCACATCAGCATCCCATCAAGGATGGGGTGGGGGGAGGGGGGGAAGGGTGTGAGATAATACTTCCAGTTACTTCATGATATAGGAAGTGGGGTAAGCTTTAGCTAGATGAGCCACTTGGCTCACCTGCTGACCCCAACCTGACTTACTGAAGGCTTTCCTTAACAGAAATATAAACTATGTTATTCCATAACATTTCTATTACAGGTAATGTTTACAAATCATACAAGTGGAGCTTGCCAGGGACAAGAATTGACAACTGTTCAGTTCAATGGCACCAATGGTTTTATTTCCAAGTCAACAGAGTTTTTGCTGATATTTGGGGAATCTGAAGGAATGACACTAACGATCCATCTGAGCCAATACCCAGGGGACCAAGGGTAAGTAGTTGACCACATTAATGCATTTGTCCATTTCAGCTATCATGTAATAAGTTAATGATCATATTGAGGCTGATGTGAAGTCATTTTACTCTCTTAGTCCCCAAATACCAAATTTATGAGTAACAGGAAACTCCATACAGAGGTTGTGAAAAAATCATAACACAAAGGTCACAATTTGTTCATGAAATGATTGTGCCTAATAGTTGGTGAAATTAAGGAATCTGAATAACAAAGCAGAAGTTAGTGAAAACAGATCAGGGCTTACTGGTAAATAAAACAGGCACTCTTTCTTGATAGCTAGCACTGTAATACCTCAAATTATTAACATCCAATTACAATCAATTCCTTTTTAGCAAAATCATAAGCAAAGAGGACAACAGTAGTATACTATTTGCAGTGTCAGCAGACAGCAAAACTGACCATGAGATAGTTCTAGAATATATGAATGCAAGTGGTTTAAGTAGCAGTTTGCACTTCAACAACAGTCTAGCAGATGGAAAATGTCATCACATTGCAGTGGTACTCTTTGGTTCTGTTATACAACTGTACATTAATAAAAGGCTTGTTGCTGAAGAGATCACTTATAAAAATATTTGGAACAGAAGTGGAATTATCCTCTTAGGGGGGAGAGCAAATGCTTCACAAGATGATTACTTTAAAGGTATGCAACATAAGTTACTAAAATTTTGCCATTAGAGAAATTTACAGATTAAATTTTCAAAGTGGATCATGCTTTCCATGCGCTGATCAGAAGAAAGGGTGGAGAGGTTGGTGGCAGAGGTGTCTTCAGGGTAGTTGATTGTGTCATGACAGAGTAGTTTGTGACAAACTGGGGAGGTCAGTGCTTGTAATTATGTTTAAGTTCACAAATTAACAGAATTCTGGCCCTTTTTGGTAGATGATTGTAGACAAATTTTGAATGGTAGTGAAGACTCTGCTTGTCAAGGAGATCTGATGGGGGATGCTAACTTTAATTTAAAATTGGTAAAGAAGATCAGACAGACTTTGTCAGTACATTACTGTTTTCCCCTCTATGTCACAGATGAGTCCTTTGTGTTTTAATTGGTAATTATTTACAAACTTGTTATGAGATTCACTTGGACACTGGGTTTTAGATCACCCCTGCCGCTTACAAACACAAACATCTGGCTCACATTGTGATAAACTCACACCATGCAGAGTTCCTACTGTAGGTGTAAAACAGATCTGTGAGTTCATAATTCCCATTCACAGGCTTAGTCCCCCCATCCCCTCCCTTCCATCCCCCTCCACCTCCCCTTAATTCAGTATTTCAGTTATTTAGTCATGATTCTTTTATAATATACTTGTCCTTCAGGAGAGCTTGGTTCTCGTCTTCATATGGGACCACTCCTTCCTTTAGAAATCAAGACAGATGCTTCACAGCAAACCCCACAGAAGCCCCGCCTAGCAGGACATTGTAGATGTAATGTAGACTACCCAATGGTGTCTTTGGACCCAGATGGTCTTCATTGTGTCAATCCGAAAAGCAACATTACAGTGAGGCGTGTAAGTAACCAGGCACACTTGGAAGGCATGGGTAATGATGGAAACCTTAGTACATGGTGGCAGTCCAAGAGAACAAGAGTTCCACTTAATTTTACAGTCAGCCTTAGTGGTGTGATACAAGTCTTAGTTGTGAAAATATCATTCAAATGGTGGCCACCAAGGGATATGGTTCTTTCTAAATCTGCCGACTATGGGGAAACATGGGTACCACTGCAATACTTTTCCCAAGACTGTCAATCAACTTTTAATATGGAAGCTGGAGGGAGACTGGACTCTCCCGACAGAGCTAATTGTGTCGAAAGATTTTCACACCCAGTCCCCGACGAGATTGTAACGTTTTATTTACTTCAGTCTTCAAGGCCAGCATCAAATAGTTTTGAAACAAATCTAACTCTTCAGGTTTTTTCATTTGCCACTCATGTTAGATTGACAATGATGTCATTTTTGGGAAATTCAGCAGAAAAAACAGATTATTTTGCGGTTTCTGAACTTGAAGTCTTTGGAAGAAATTGCTCTTGTCCTTTGCCGGTGAAAAGTTCCTGTGTTTGTGATGGCGCCATTACCAGACCGCCAAACTGCAGTGAAACTCTGATATTTGACAACCACTACTACATGAGGAGTATCTTTGATCAAACGCCACTTGGGGTACCAATACTGCAAGGTAAAGTTTTGCTATTTAACAGTGTCAGGTTTTATTCTATCGTACTCTGTTGAGATTAACCAACTGTAAAAACATCACTGAGAAATAAATCATTACCCGACTGCAGCTGGATTGTTTGAACTCCCTTTTTCCTTAAAAAAAAACGTACCGTAGTAATATAAAGGAGAAGTAACAAAAGTAAAAAGAAGTCTGTACCTCTTAAGAGAAACCTACCTTTTAGATTGTTCCAAAAATTCTTAAAGTTCTTCCTTCCTATCGCTTCAAACTCTTCCAGGCTTCTCCTTCTCTCTATGTCAGATATCTATTTCTTACGTGATTCTTTCCAGTCATTCAGTTTTATTGGGCATCATCCCATCTCATCCCCCACGTCACTTTTAACACCTCCCCCCCCAAATAATGTATATTTAATTGACGTTGCACGAGAACAATTATTAACCGCGTATCTTGATAGGTGACGTCAAGTTTTTTTTCAATACGAAGACTATATGATTCAGGCTTACATAAAGCCAATATTCTTAATCGAAGCTTTTGCGTTGATTGCCTTACAGTTCACGCCAGAAGTCCATGCTCGGGTTATCTTCCATTATCCTACTTCATAATAGAGAGAAATGACTCGCGGTTCTTTCAAATTGAAAACACAACAGGAGTTTTTAAACTTCAAACTTATGTTGCCTTGAACAGTACATTCCGCTTTCTTGTTGGAGCCCAACTTCAAGGCGGCGCGGAACATCTAGTCAACAGTTCGAAAACAACTGTTTTAATCAAAGTTATAACTCGCGCCACCTTAGACTCGCGGACTGTTGTGAATTTTGAAACACAAAAATTAGGTTATCTTCAAGGGAGGACGTCTAACCGCGCGCTGCAGCTTGGTTTCTTCTTAAATGGTTATCCAGGAGGTAAAGGAAGTGTTCGCGCTTTTGTTGGAAAAGTGAGTGCAGAAGCACATTATTCGACGACGCGAGAACCAGCGACTCATGTAAAGGCTATACTGGTCAGCGCGAATGTGTACTGGGACAGGCCTGTGGTGCGTGTTATTGCGCAGGTGCAGGACTCCTCATATAATGTTCGCACATTGGTGGATAAAAGTGAAGTTGTTGTCAAAGTCGAGCCCAGTGCTAAGCTGTTAGCCATCGATGGAAGCCCCTTACAAGTAAGTCTCTTTCATGTATGCTGATCTTCTTTTGCCGCGTCTGCTTACATTCAGAACCAGTAATATTTGCTCACCCTCACAGCCTGAAGTCACTTTGAGCCTACTTGAAGTAAGCCAATGTGGTATTCATGTTTGATCGCATGGCTTTAGTTTAGTTATATAATTGTAGTAGTGATCAATTGCTTAATTCTTTCTTCTGTTTTTACTGCAGTCGATGGCAAAGCCAAGTGGATCTACTGGAATTACCGAGATACAAGTTCCCTTACCTTCGAAATGGTTCTCAGACCCCTCTCTTCTTGATCCTGAAGTTCTTACCATCACGTACCGTCTGCGTAACTCTTCTGAGTCTCCCACGTTTCTTGGTAACGTCACAGTTCATCCGGGAAGCAAAACGCAGTTGTTTTCAAATGACGTATACGGTATACTTCCTTTTGACACGGTGTTAGTAGGCGGGGTATTCAGTTTTTCAATTTACTGTGACTCATCCTATGCTGTAGCCTCGTTTGGAGTAAGGATAGTGATTGGTACGTCACTTGTCATCACCGGAGCACAAGTTGATGGTCAGCGCTGGGCCCATGTCACTGTCAATCGCAGCTCTTTTGAATGGTTTGTGAGTGCCACATTAACTGATCCTGAGGCAGCTCCTCAGGGATTCGTCAAAAAAGCGAAACTTGTCAGCTTTGATGTTAAGGTACAGGACACAGCTGTTGTTAATACAAGCGCAACAGTCACTGCCGAGGTTAGTAATGACTGCTTTCCAATATGTATTCATTGCACATTCAAGCCATTTATTTGGAGGATCAAGTCGTATCGGTTACAAGACATTTGTCGCCTTCGTTTTGTTGTGCATCTGAAGTTTAACAAACTTAAGTGTTAATTTTTGCTCCATGAAATATCATCATAGTGAGTTCCATAATAAGTGTCTCTTTTATAAATTTGTAATTGTGGAGCAAAAAAGTAACAATGATTATAATATTGCACTTGAAACACAACCTAAATTCGATTGATGAAAGTTTTTTTTAAAGTTAAAAAAATCACTTCTCTGGACAATATTGTTATGTTTACATTGACACTGTGAATGTCGTGTTGAATAGCAGCAATGATGATGATGATGAGCAAATTGGGTCATTCCGTGTGGAAAATGAAACAACAAACCGACACAAAAAGATAATACCTCGACTAAACAATGTGGATTTTTTGTTCCTTTGGCAGCTGACTTACCTCAGTAATATCAACAACGAGGAAGTTCAGATCGATGGCCAACTACATCCAGTCATGGTGGCCATGCTCGATGGTTTCAACCAATCTCGACACACGACAGGGATGATACGACTTTCTGCTAATAGTGTCAAGGAACTAAGAGCATACTCTGAGTCCGCTGATTTAGTAAACACAGCTGTCATCGATGGACGGATCGTGACAGCGAATATCACAATTTTGGCTATTCAAAGATCGGGTGATGTCATCCTGCTTGCAGAAGCAAATTGCACGAGTTTATCAGAAGCTGTGCAAGTAACTAAGAACTGCTCAAACTTGTTTCTTAACGGTAGCGAGCCCAGAGGATCAGCAGAAGCACAAGTTAAAGTCCAATTTGGTCAAATAAACACCATCATATCAGTTCGTGTATGGTTCCCTGTTCTGCCACTGAAGCTGACTTTGCCTCACACAGAGCTCGCAGAAGTCTCTGGTTGGTTGGAATTCAATGCAAATAGCGGTAAATGTGATCAGCGATATCAATGGACTGGAGTCGAGTCTGAAGCCCAGTTTACTTACGATAAAGTCCACTTTGAAAACATATCGACGACAAGTTTAGTTCGTGATCTTCTCAAAAGTCTGAATGAGTCTGTAGCGACTGTGGATAACTTCGGAAACGTGTACGGAATGTCCACCGGTCAAACTGTTATCAGAGCCGTAAATCCACTGACCAGTAATTTCCTAGCAAGTACTGAAATCAAGGTGACCTCATCAAGGCGAGTCGCTGTTCAACTGATCGACATTGTCATGGTTACCAATCTAAGTGTCATCATTCCTGACCCGCCTTATCCGAGATTGTCAACACAAACGGCGGAGGCATTTGTTCACCAAGATCTGCGTCGTGATTACACAAGTGGTGCGCTCGTCGCTTGCGTCACTTTTAACGATGGTAGACGACAAAAACTGAACTCTGCACTCGGCCTTCAGTTCAAGTCACTTCAAATCCACGTACTCAGAATCACTGGCCAATCAGAAGCAGTGTCTGTCGGATCTGGGTCTGGAATTCTTCAAGCTGATTGGTTCTTGCCTCCCAGCCGTTGTTATCCAAATGGATTTAGCCTTGGAGTGGGCTATGAAGTGACCAATGTAAGTTTGTCACCTCCAGTGAGACTTGAAGTAAACGGCGTCAGTCCACAGATCACTTTCCCCGGAGACAAGTCCACTGTAGCAGGGATACCAACATCAAGTCCCATATCAGTGACCTTGGTGTTTGAGAACGATTATCGAGTGGACATGAGCTCTGACTCGAGGACTGTTTATGACTTGAGCAAGTCTGAAGGTTTTTTCAGTGTACAGCGTGGTCATAACAACACTCCTGTCATTACACCAAACTCACGAGGCAAGTCCGGTAAAAAGGATCTCGTAGTACGTTTTACTCATTTCTCAGTCACGAGTTCTGTTTCAATCAACATCGTGACCTACACAGCTCTGGTATTACATGCCAAGCCCTACCCACCCTATCCTGGAGCTCCTCACGTCAATTCGCTCAGCCGTATCGCTAATACAAACGCACACGAAATGGCGTCACTGAGCTTACTAATGGTTTTGAGTGATTCTTCAAACTATGACATCACAGGACACGAAGTGACGTCATTTTCATCCAGATCTTCAGACGTGATTGTCGGACAAAAGGCTGCAAACCGCGTAACAGTCAAGTCTGGCGCGACGTCAAGCTTTGCTGTTCTCGATGGAAACTTTGGTGATGTGGACGCTACAAATCTCGGCATATTTATTAAGAGCTCTTCAGTGACTGTGACAAACATTACTAACCTTGTGTTACTCCCTGATAACAACCAAACTTTGTCCGGAGTGGAGAATTCCCTTGTGGCACAAGTGCAGTTGTCATTGACATTTGACAATGGAAGACTCGTCCCGCAGTTTTATGACAGGGGCGTTGCTTTATTCTCAGGGTTAATATCTCTGACAAGTGAAAATGATAATATTTTCACTGTAGACTCTTTAACAGGTCAAATTACTCTTAGACGTAACTATCATCGAACACTCTCTCTGACTGCAACTGCCGCAGTTTCTCTGGTTACATCCAGCTTGATTATGGCTTGTAATCTTTTGCCGGCCGTTGGTGACGTCGATCTTGGTGAAGAAAGCGGATTGCCGTTACCCCCAAGATATGTCGGATCATCGGTTCAATTTCAAGTTCGTTTGAACGCTGGGGAAAGGCGTGGCGTCCAGAAGATCGATCTAACTCTCACTTATGACTACTCAAAGCTTGCTGTGATGTCTGTAAGAAAAGGAAGTGTATGGAATACCTGTGTATCTGACTTGGACACCTTGGGACAAATTTCCCTGGACTGTTTGAGTAACTCGCCCTTGAATGGCATTGTCAGGGTAGCGGACATTACTTTCAATGCCACCAGCTCGGGTTTGGCTTCAATTCTAGGCTCTGTAATCACGGATACCTATGGCTCGTCTTCACTTGTAGCTGGAACCGTCGATCAGGAAGTTATGGGAACCGGAAAAAGAAGACGACGTAGTGTTGGTGATCAGGAGAGGCAAGACCTGCTTGATGTTCGTAAAGAGCGCATGCGTAGAGCTGTTCCGTGTGCTGCTCCGACTTGCCAATGCGACAAGGTACTCCTCCCAGGTGATGTCAACAGAGATTGTCTGTTTGACCTCGGAGATGTCATCTTTGTTCTCAGATATTATTCTTTCTCCATTTTTAATTTCTCAGACGCAACAGGGATTATATTCCGCCAATCTCTGTCCTCCAATCAAACCCGTGATATTGATGTTGACAGGAACAGTGCCGTGAACCCGGCTGACGCGTTTTATCTTGTAAGAGCCTTTCTTGGTTTAGTTCGCTTTGTTTCCTCTGTAAGAGTAATACCTGTTCAGGTTCTTAGCTCTGATTGTCAGCTGTCACTCAGTGTCACTCTAACATCAAAGAATGGCCCCGCCTCAGATGCCAACACAGTTGTTTTCTTCGACATCACTTACAGAGGAAATGCTGTCAATTTCGCTGGGACTCGAGGAACTCAAAGAGGTGTAGGTATCCATGGAAATCTCATCCGGGGAGTTAGCAGAGGAAATGGAAGTTTTGGCGTCCAGGCTGCCTTTGGACTCGTTCAAAACAGTATTGGTTTTAGTGTTTTCCACGTAACCATTGACAACAGTAACCAAACAAGTTTAACGCGAACGGCCGTCTTGCTTGGTAATCCACACCCGCCATATTTTTTTCTTTTTAGATTGTCTGTAGACCTACCGGTTGGCAGTCAAACTATCAGCGTTAACACGAACAACAACTTCAATCCTTTTATCGTATTCGATAATACATTGACCTCGGCAGATTGCATGAACAACTTCGCGCCACAATTTGAAACAATCTTCTACCACGCCAATGTCTCGGAAAATGCAACTGTGAATGCCTCGTTTATTACCGTCAATGCCACAGATCTTGATCAAGGTAAAAGTGGCAGAGTCTTCTACAGCCTTGTCAGCGCTGAAGCGCTTCCTTTTATGATAAACTCGACCTCAGGCGTCCTTCGCGTTGCGTGTTGTCTGAACAGAGAAGAGAAAGCCTGGTACAATCTGACAGTTAGAGCTACAGACGGAGGGGGTGTGGGTCGGGAAAAATTTGCCGATGCGTTTGTGGTCGTTTTTATCATTGACGTGAATGACAACGCTCCGGTTGTCAATCAAATTGTACCGAGTCATGTGATCAAGATCTCTGAGAATGCTGTTTTAGGTGTTTCGCTGGCCAGAGTCGTTGGATCTGATGAAGACATTGGGGAAAACGCTCGAATAAGTTACAGTTTTATTGAGAACTCTTCTTCAAATCAAACCTTTCTCATTAATGCAACAACGGGTGTAATAACGTTAAAGAGTTCCTTGCAAGGAAAAGTTGGTCATATCTTAAAGATTTTAGTGCTCATTTCAGATCATGGTATTCCAGTGTTGACTACAAACACAACCGTGGAATTTCGTGTCACTTATGCTTCTGATGTGAAAATAGTTTTTGTTTCCCAATTATATGCGGTAAACTTGACAGAAAACAGCGCGATGAATTCGAGCGTTCTCGAAGTTAAGGCTTATATTCCCGGACTTCCCGATGCTGATATTTTTTATTTACTGAGCAGGAACGTCGCATTTAAAATCGATTCATCAAATGGTACGATATTGGTGAATTCCACAATTGATAGGGAAACTAATGAGGTTTTTTCACTGACTGTGACTGCGAAATATGGACACAATATCAGTACCAATGCCACGGTAAATATCACTATTTTAGATGAAAACGACAATCCTCCCGTAACAGATCCTGTCCCACTTCAGGTCATTCCTTACAATTTGCCAGTGGGTAACGAAATATGTCGGGTCAATGCATCGGACAGAGACAGAGGATATAATGCTGTTCTTAAATTCAGTCTTCTTGGAGACAACTTAAGTCTCTTCCTCATCGACGGAGAAAATGGCGTGATCTTCTTAAACTCTGCATTGACTGATCTCAAGGACAGTTTCATGCAACTGTTCGTTGAAATTTCAGATTCCGGCGAACCTTCACTTACAAGTAACTTGACAGTCAACATTTCAATCATGTTTCCACCTCTGTTTTCTCATAATGTCGTCAGCATTAATGTGTCTGAAGATATTTCAATAGGCGAGCAAGTGTACGCATTTGTCCCAATCAACATTACTGGGCAAGACTTCAGTACATATTTTATTATTGGAGATGGAAACTATGGACAAAAATTCTCCATTAGTAATGTCAGCGGAGAGATAGTTGTTCAAGACTATTTGGACAGGGAAGAAATATCTTTGTATGGTTTAGCCATTTATGCCTCAAACCGAGCGGTCGAATACTTCGCGGAAATAAAAGCAACAAATCTGCTACTCAATGTCACCGTTCTTGACATAAATGACAATGCGCCGTACTTAGAATCGATTCAGCCCATCGCAATAAGGAATACTGCCCATGTGGGATACACATTGTTGCGTGTGAACGCCACCGATCCTGACCAAGGCCTTAATGCGCAGCTGCAGTACAAAATCACTTCCGGTAACGAATTGAACAAATTTGTTATCAACCAGCTTGGTGTCCTTCAGCTCAACAGTTCCCTTCTCTATACTACTGTTCCTTTCTTCTCTCTTGTTGTGAATGTTTCCGATCATGGTTCTCCCATGCTGTTCAATACGACTGTAATAAGCGTGACAGTTGAAGATGACCGCGGTCCGCCTCATCTTAATCAAACGTTCTATAATGTCTCCTTGTATGAAGACAGGCCTCCTGGGAGTCAAGTCGTTTCTGGTTTTGCTACCGACCCAAATGGAGATAGAATTTTTTATAATATATCTTCAACATTCATGAACATTACTTCTGTCTTCAGGGTGAATTTATTCACAGGAATCATAACAACAGCGAGGGAGCTTGATAGAGAGGTCATGGACACTTACAAGTTTGAAATTATTGCTTATAAATACTCGCCGTTAACAGGGCAGCTATATACAGATAATGCTACAATATGTGTGCGCGTTATGGATGTTAATGACGTACGTCCTCACTTTTCAAAAGAAGTTTACACGTTGGAGTTTGACGAGGAAAACCCTCCCGGGGCGGTGTTGATGACAATCAATGCTAACGATAGTGATCAGGGAGTGAATTCTCGTCTGTCGTATAGCATTATTTCAGGAAACGATAGTATAATCAGCATAAACAGCTCTACTGGCGAGATGATCGTGTTGACATCTCTTGACTTCGAGAAAGTTCGGCAATTGAATTTAACCGTGCAAGCTAAGGATCTTGGAACACCACCTCTTGAAGCCAACGTGTCCGTTGTTATCAACATTAGAGACATTAATGATAATCCTCCTATTATTAAAGGTAACTTTTCGGGAAGGCTGACGTTACTGGAAAGCGTGCAGCAGGGAACATTTGTGATCAAAATCAATGCCACAGATGCAGATAGTGGGCAAAATTCGAATCTTTCCTTCTCAATCTTGGATGGAAATTTGAATGGTGCGTTCAACATAAACCCAACAATTGGCTTCATCACAACAGCTACATGGCTGGATTATGAGAAGATACAGATTTACGCATTAAATGTGACCGTACACGACCAAGGGACCCCTCCACTGTCAAGCAGTATTTTGGTTAAAATCCAAGTGATTGACGTGAATGACATGACACCTGTTATTAATCCGCTGTCTCCTTTGTATGTCAGGGAGAGCGTACCAGTTGGTACGATGATTGCACAAGTAAACGCCACCGACGGTGACTCGGGGACAAATGCAGTTCTCAACTACACTATAGTTTCGGGTGAGTGACTTTTACTTCTCACTTTATGCAATGACTTGCCCCTCTCTTCGCAGATCAGTTCCTCAGCGAGATCTGATGGAAGCGGTAGTGCCCAAACTTTGTAAGCAGTGAAAATTGAGGCCTCTAAATTGTCTTTGTGGGAATGCCAAACAGTTATGGTATCTTATTGTACAATCATTTAAAGTTGGTGTAAACTTAAGGCAAGAACCACAGTATCACTTTGGTCTCCATGTTGACATAGGAGGTTGGAGCTAAAATTTTTTGGATCGTATACTATTCATATAAATACGACGTGTGATAAAGTAAACACCTGATACAACGCAAGTCTTGAGAAAGCGCGTTTCCCTAAGGGCTATCGTCTGAAAACTCAATCATTTATATTCGTCGTTATCTTCCGTTTTAGGTAATAAGGCCGCCATCTTTGCTATCAACGAGGAAAATGGAGTTATAACTACAGCACATGCGCTGGATCATGAAAATGTTTCTCTGTATACTTTAAACATCTCAGTCACTGACAGAGGAATCCCACCTCAGTCGTCCGACACTCGAGTTATGATTCATGTTGTCGATGTAAACGATCACCGTCCAATATTCACTCAAGAGAGTTACCAAACCAGTGCCTACGAGAACTTAACAGTTAATTCAACTGTTCTGCGTGTACATGCAAGAGATTTAGACCTAAGTTCCGCAGGCGGAATCATTTACAGCATTCATAAAAGCAGCGATAACGAAACTTTTGTGATAGATGACTCGACAGGAGAAATCAAACTTATAAAGTCGTTAGATTTTGAGGAAACGAAGAAGTATAATCTTGTTGTTAAGGCAACCGACACATTTCTTCCTAACAATTCGCACACCATTATTGGTACCGTAAGTTCATCAGTCTCTTTCTTCAGCCTCGCAAACGTCACTCTATCTGTGTTAGACGTGAATGACAATCCTCCTGTATTTACGAAAAGTTTTTATTCCGTTTTAATCTCGGAGAACCTGCAGGCGGATTCAGTTGTTGCTCAAGTTAACGCAACCGATGAAGATTCAGGAAAGAATGCAGAGGTTATTTATGAAATGCTGTCATCTGATCAGGCCTCACAGCTATTCGTTATTGACTCCTTAACCGGCAAAGTGAAAACTATATCATCTCTAAGAGATGCAAATTATTTGACCTTAAACTTCTCGGTATTTGCTTTGAACATGGGCTCACCGTCCTTGAACAACACCGCTCTACTTCAAGTACATGTTAACTACAATGTTACGTTCAAGTACAACGAGACACATCCTTTCACTTATGCCATTCGGGGTGCGTTTCAGGTCGAGCCTGTGGTCATGTTGAGCAACGTTCATGCTGAGACTAGCCTTGGCTTATTTTCTGAGTTGTCAGGTGAATTGGAGGTCCACAGAGGGAGCATTCATTACGTAAGTACGTTCAAAGTGTTGGGAGAACTCGCTTTATACCTGCGAGCAATTGTTGTCAGCGGTTCGCCTGACTATCAGGTCATACGTGTAGCCATACAGGTATCTGATCGGAACTTTAATGTTAGAACCGCACCAACTGAAGTACATTTCAGGCTTATTAACCTAGATACTTACTCAGAGGAAAACACCAGCTGTATACCGTCAGCCAATACTGGAATATGTGTTGGAAGTTTGCACATCCCTCCGGAATGGCTCAACACCAGTGCATTCTCTCACAAAGCTTTGATGGAATATGGTCTGTCTCTTTCTAGTATGACAAAGCTAAAGCAGTTTGATCTCAGGAAAAGACAAGTGCCTCAAGTTGAGCAAAACTTTGTTATTATGGCACCGTTACATTTATTACATGTGGGTGATTCATTTGTTCTTAAGGTGTACGCTCAGTATACCAAACACGTGCAGTTCTTTACTTTGATCTTCACGTTGTCGTCTGGTTTAAAGATCACAGAAGTACAGGCCTCCTCTTCGTGGAGAATTCAATCTACTTTTAATGGTGCAAACGAATTCGTGGTATTTGGTGCTAGAAAGAATAGTTACGGCCATGAAACAACCTCTACCACCTTGTTCTTTACTATCGAAGCAGAGATCGCAGAAAATGCCATATCATCGAGTCCAGAATACATGGAATGTGTTGTGAGGCACGTTAGTGATCAGGGAGGTAATCAGCTCATTTCTGTGCCGGTGGGTGCTATTTTCGAAGACGGATTCGGAAGAAGTAAAAAAGGAGTTTTCGTTGTTGCTGAAGATGACTTTGCAGCGCTTTTTGTCGTCTCTGATTTGTCAGTTATTGTAAACACTGCCGTTCTGAATGGAAAGCGGGTTGAAGTTCCACTGACGGTTCTTGGGGTAACTGTGAAAGGACGAGTTTTGAATGTGACAAGTGTTGCTTGTAGAAGTCTTGATGTTGCTGTTTTAAAAGTTTCAAAAGACTGTTCCAGTGTTTATGTAAACGGAAGTGAAACGCAAGGATCATCCTCAGCCATTGTCGAGTTTTATTACAAGAATCTCTCCGCAAAATCTATTTTCGTTGTCTGGGCACCTACTATTCCTGTTACGTTGGATGTTAAACCAGCTAAGTTGAAGAGAATACTTGACTGGTACGATCCCAGTGACTCGTGTAAGTCACGCTATCAACATGCGCGCTTAACAGTTACGGCGAATTTTTCAAACGGGAAGCAGTTCTTCGCTGGAGTTGATGTCACACAGCACGTTAAAGACAACATGCAAAGTTCAAACAACAGTGTAGCTGAGCTTGTTGGTTTAAATGTTCATGGAAAAAGTGTCGGCAAGGTTACCATTAGAGTTTTTAACTATCTACTGGGTCGTACGTTCGGGAACGTAGATGTGGAAGTTCATAATGAAGACACCAGAATATATGTTCTGGACGCAGTCATTGCTACACGGGTTTTAGGTGTTTTTCCAAAGTTGTTAAACAGCTCCTTACGACATCCTTTAAGCTTAAGCATGGATCAAAGGTTTTTACTTCCACAGGATAAAGGTTCAGTTATATTGTCAGTACAATATAGTGACGGGGTTGTGAACACGTTTCAAAGCCTAGAGGGCTTCATCATCAACTCTTCAAACAACAGTCTGGTCACGGTAGAAGGTAACCGTATAACAGCGGTTGATAATAGTAGCGGTAATGTACTTCATGTCATCGCAGACTCCGGTCATTGCTCACAGAGACCAACCATTAGTTTACGTGCAAACCTCGATGTAATCTTCCAGGAACCCAGAGCAATTCTTGTCATTTTGAGCTCCAACGAGATAACTCCACGCGGGGATCCTGCAGAGGTGCTTAAGGTTCCTTTATATGCAGAGGTAAGAGTGACTCTTGTTTACAACATCAGTTGTCGTGAACACCGCGTGGATGTTTCAAACGACAATCGGACAATTTACTCCATAGAAAGTAATGGTGACTTGGTAAGCTTGGCTAAAACAGATCGCGCTGTCATTGTGGCTGCCTCTGGTGGTGGTTTTGGTCGAGTCCATATTTCCATCAAGTTCGCACATGTTCAGTCAAATGTTCAAGTCACAATTGATGTCATTGGTGCCCAAAAGCTCGAAGGTTTCGCGAGTCCGCACCCATTTTTTAACTCTTCAACAGTTGTTAACGTTACTCAGTTGAATCCGATCGGAAACTCGGGAGAGTACCAACGAGTCAGATTAAACTTGAATCTTAGGCTAACAAACGGAACATCAAGTGACATCACAATAAACAAGAGAACAGGATTTAAGGTTGTATCAGCCCAACCAGCTGAGCTTGCGAAGTACAGCTCCATTGAAGCGCTAGTTGATGGGTACCATGTGGTCTCAGTCCGGTGGAGTGGTGAGAGAGGTCAGCTGTCAATCAGTGGAAGTTTTTTGAACATGTCAAGTCATGTCTTGATCCTTTGGGTTGAGTCAACTCCTACAGTGGTAACATTTGTAGAATTTGCTACGTCACCAAACTTTACGCTCAGAGGTGTCCGGGATCGTTCAAATCTGCAACTATCTGTAAATCTTGGATTAAGCGATGACTCTAAATTTATAGGGCTCTTTCGCTCAGAAAACACGACTTTTTTTAATTTAGTTGCATTTAGAACTCAGGACACAACAAAAATATCACTGAATAAGACAAGCGGTTTTGTGATGCTGAGAGCCAATGCTCCACAGGAAGTACAAGTCACAGTATCTGCCTTACGATCTCTGTCCATATCAGATACTATCTCCTTTGCCTGCAACTTGGACCCAGATGTTGGCGATGTAGACATCGGTGACGTCACTGGCACTCCATTAAAACGGGTGCATGTCGGAGAAAGTTTTATAGCAGCTGTGCGTATTAACTCTGGAAATCTGGTGCTAGGTAGTTTCGATACAGAGATCGTGTTTGACAACGAGTTCTTGGAAGTGACTAGTGTCAGTGAAGGTGCTGACATGCTTGGTTATTTTGTTTCTGATAGGTCGAGTCTGACTAATCAAACTGGAAAAATAAGAATTGCTGGTGCACTCAGTGTGGACAGCCAGACTCATCACATCCGCCATGTCGCAGATATAACATTTCGAATTTTATCAAGCGGTGTTGCTGGTGTGAAAGGAACGGTCCTGATGATTGCTGCCAATGATCTTGTTGGTAGCGTGATCGGACCTCCCGTTCCTAGGACCATCGTGGCAGGAAGTGTTGAGGTTGCAATCGAAAGTTTACTTCGTCGACGGAAATCTCTTGCATCCCTCTCCTCAAGTAGCACTCGCATCAGACGGTCAGTCGTCGCTTGTCCCACTCCCCCTTGTAGTAATTGTCCAGAAGGGGAGAGAGAACCTGGAGATACTGACGGTAATTGTATTTTTGACATAAGAGATGTGAAGTTCACGTTGGATTACTTGACAGAGCAGCAGTTTAACTTCACCCGGGACAAGGGACAGCAGATACAGAACTCTATCGCAAATCATCAGTTGCAGGCTTTAGATGCCAACGGGGACGGTGCAGTAACGTTAAATGACGTAAATCTTTTATTGCGGGCGAATCTTAAGGTAGTTCCGTTTTTTCCAACTCTTACAGTTGTTCCAGTTGAAGACCCAAACTCGCATTGTCTACTCACAATCTCTGCAGCTATTTCGCAACTTGGTGTCGAACAAACAGATGCGAATCGAACATTTGTTTTCTTCGATATTTCTCACACGGAGCAAAATTTTTCTGGAATTCTACGCGACAGTGTGTTTGTAAGTGGGAGTGTAGTACTGGCAGAAAAGGGAATTCCCGGATACATGATTCGCGCAGAGTATGACTCAGTGGGTAGAAGATATGTGGTGTCATTGAATACTTCCCTCGTTTACTCTAGTGTTGGTTTGTCCCTGGTTCAGGTTCGCTTTGCTGATGACGGTTCAATTGACTTCACTCGAACTGTTTTGGTCAATGGTTTATATACACGTCCTCCACTTTATCAAGGTGTTCTAAACCTAACTCTCGACCTAGGAAGTGGAAGACGTTACAGTATTACTCGACCAAACGGTTATAATCCCTATACTGTCTTCAGTAATGCTTTAGCGACATCAAATTGCAGTGAAGACCCTCTTCTCGAGAAAGACATTATGGCGGAAGCGCTAGGCGCAAGGAAAGTTATGGCTTCTTGGAAACTGGCCAATGCTAGGCAAAAGTTAAACTTTTCATTTACTCTGTTTCTTCAGCAATGTGACCCAGCGCGAATAAACGAGCATTGTGAGATTCATAGGTTCCGAGTGGCTGGAACTAATCATACTGTTACAGGCCTTACACCTTATACCAACTACTCTGTTCAAGTGGCGACCACACGGAAACCACATAGGGAGACACACTGGGCAGCTGTACTGACTTTGGAGTCAGGTAAATAAATGTTTTGATTTTTTTAGAGTTCACAGGTATACTGGCTATTTTGTGTGAACCTTTGCGGATATTTACCTCAATCCTTGAAAAAACTATGAAATTAAATGAAAATACAATTTTGTTCTTTTTTACTCCCCCAGTACCTGAAGGAGTTGATGCTCCTGCCTTTGAGATCTCCAGTTTATCTTCAATGAACGTCACATGGACAAAGCCTCAGCATCCCAACGGAATTATCGTTAACTACTCCCTATACATGAGCAATTCGTCTCTTTTTTCTGTCCTTTATCAAGGCCTCAGCCTGTCGTATCACGTGACTGGACTCTCCTCTGGTCAAAATTACCTTTTTTACATCATGGCTAATACATCCGTTGGTGGAACCAAGAGTGCTGTTGTGAGTGCGTCAATTTCAGTTGAGAGTACTCCGAGTAAGTAACATGCCTCAGTGCGGGGAAACTGGTTTAGATTAGATGTGTTGATGTTGTAAATTTCTTAAAGCTGCAGGATAATCGATTTTAGTAGTGATAACTTCAAGTTAATATTCCTGTTTGCATGAAGTGGCCTTATTTATGAATATAATACAAAGAAAAGATGTTTTCAATGAGTCGTTAGAATCCATCAGTCTTCAGAGTTTGCAAAAGGATATTTAGGTGTGTAAGCCAGATACTGATGACTTGTTTGATTTGTTACCAGGTTCAGGCGCAGGACAAACTGGTCTGTCAGTTGGAGTTATAGTTGGAATCACCATTGCAAGCGCTGCTTTCCTTACCCTGTTGATTGTTCTTTTGGTTTGGGTCTTCAGGAAATGTGTTGAGCGAAAACAGCACCACATGCTGGATTATCAGTCACTTCACAAGTATAACTCCTTAGTAAGTTTTCTCAAGGCTCAGATTGTCCGACTGTTGTCGTCAAATGCGCGGAAGTCTTCTTAATTTGTATATTATAATGATGGTAGCCAAAAGCTAAGGATATGTTCTGAACGATGCACTGTTGTTTCCACTCATAGGATATCAACAACAGAGATAATGTTATGATGCAGTTAAGGTCAAGCTCAAGTCACCGTCACAACAGTCTGTCGAGAGGGCGACTATATGAACATCACGTCAGTATTGATGGACTGGAAAATCCCTGGAAGGAACAGGTACATACCACGACCACTAGGCTGTAAAGTGCTTTGTTCGCAAACGAATAAAGGTCTTAGGCCATCGTAGAATGTAGCTTTAACCTTTTGTCCTACTTTTGCCGGAAACGTTTTCTATGAACACGTGTAGTGTTACATGCAGCTAGAGTGTCAGCGCAGTCAAATCTACCCGCATGACGTAGCTTCTTTATCTATTTTCTCAGTTTTAAGCAAACCGTTTAACGGGTTTTCTCGTAATTTGCACCTAGCGATTTTTTTTCTAAAAAATAAATGAAAGTTTTCTAGAGTGAAGTCTTGCGTGGCCAAAATTTCAGGTGACATTTGTTGTTTCAATGCAGCTAATAGCTAAAGGAACTTGATGGAGACAATTCTTCTTTCTGTATTAGAAGACAGAAGAGGAATCCAGGCTGGACTCGTTTGCTATGGTAAACCACAAGCACTTTGAACCAAGCTCCGCACCCACTCACCACGGCTGGGACCCAGGTTACGAGGAGACAGTTCTCAAAGAAGCAGCACAAGAAATGAATGAGCTTGATGTAATAATGAGAGAGGTATAGTTTCACTATTTATCTCCGCCTACCACCTCCCCTTCTTCCGATGAAAATTGATTTTGAAGCTGCTTAATTAACATCAGGTTCTAATCAGACTCAATAAACTAAATTTAGTTATTGATGACGCTTATTTTTGACAGTAACTGCTTTGACGCAATGACCCCATCGATATCATTGAAAACAATTGGTTTTATCGTTGTTGAGAATTAAAAGGTTAAAGAACAACAATTTATTGTTAATTTTTTTTTTTTTTTTTTAATATTTTTCAATTTTTTGTCATATTATTATTTCTTCATTTCACGCTTAAGAGCTTGGACAATGAGGGACGTATTGTTGTTGGTCTACGGGAAGATAACCTCGTTCGTATGGCGGGGCAGTCTCACAGTCATTCTTCTTTGAGTCCAGAAAACATGGCCAAGAAGACATCCAAGAAGATGAAGGAACAAAAAAAAGGTAAGATGAATAAGGATTTTGCGTTAGAAGTATTTCCGTTAAAACTTGAGTTATTCGTAATAAGAGATGAGCATATAATTTGTATACCCTGATAAATTAATTTGTAAGCGTCAAAGTTGTGTTTGCAAAACCTAATTAAAATCTGTCAAATTTGATATTGACTGTACAAGCACATTCGTGAAAACATATTTGTTTTTGTAGAATCCATTGAGTGGGACTATTATTACGCCAAGAGTGCATTAGCCAGCGGTGATAACGGTTTGGAAGATACCAAGGTAAATTGTAGATGTGTTCATTTGACTGTTGTATGCTGTGTTCTTTGTTTAGTAGCGATGGCCGTACAATTTATTTTCAGTGTTCCTCTTTAAAAGTCGATAGTTCTCATAAATAACACTTGAGTGAATATGAATCAAATAGAGAACAGAATGTATATATTTCCTCTTCAAGGTTGAAAGGCTTTTATCTTTCTTTTATTTTTCCTTTTTTTCATTTCTTTAACTGCAGTGACTTTTCTCTTTTCAGCTCTAACTTTCAAAGGGATACAGTTGCAGTTATAAATAAGGAGGATGATATTATATGTTGTTATTTACTTAGACTTACACTCAACAAAACGAGCACTGCGATTGGTTGATTCTTGGTCACGTGCACCTCATCAAATTCAAATGTATCCCGACAGGGATACAGTTGCGCAGTTGTTGCCCGCGCGCCGAATAGAACAGCTCGTTTGTTTGTTTTTGCCACATGATTATTTAAGGAAAGTTTAAATATATAACAAAGCACTTAATTTATAGTCCCTCGAGAAACTAGTTAGTTTTGTTTTCCCTCGAGATAAATAGATAAATATCTATCATTTGGATAGCGCAGTACGTTTTGTTTTCACTTATTCCGTGGATAGCGATTTATCCGTTGTTAAAAGTGAAGCGGGTGAAAAAAAAACTGTAGGCCCAGGCCTACACAACCATAGGCTGGCTTCGCCCCAGATTGCCTACTTAGGATAAAAAAATCTTATAAATTTTACTATTGAGATAAACGATAAAATACATGAACAATTTCAATGCTAATGTTACCTCGAGTTTTGAGAATAAATGCCAAAGTAGAAATTCCGTTCAGCCTTAAAATCGCCAGGAAAACCCAATGAAGGTGTTTTTAATGTTTGCTTATTAAAACTTTTGATTTAAGAGTATAATATTATTTGCTTAAACTTAAATAGTGCATGTGATTTGTATTTTCAACAGAAATGTCTGAGATTTAAAAACTTTGTTAAAATGAAAAGTTTAATTCTAAACAATAAGATTCAATAAACCTGTAGTTAATGAAATAATGATTAAATAATAATGATAAAGGAAACAAAAATGAACGCAGAAAGTAAAAGCACACTAAAGCTCACCTGCCAATCGCGTAAATCTGAATTAACCCTGGATCAGTATGCAATGCTTAAGATTTTATTTGATTTTTTTATTTATTTTTAATTGACTATGATGAAATAAAATAATAACAATTTTTTATTAAATTTCTTTTGCGCAAATATTAATACAAAATTTTCATTTGCGTATTACAATATTGTTATATATCTATATACAAGATAAAAATACTGCATTTAAAACAAAAATACGATAAAAATTAAATAATAATTACAATAATATAATAAATTAATAATCGAATCTAAAAATTAAAATGAGAAATCACAACTTTCGTACAAAAAATGCCTCTTCAAATGAGTGAGTCAGTGTTTTTTTCTTTTTTTAAACTGATGAATGTTATTGGTGTTTTTTGTACTCTCTGGAAGGGCACTCCAGAGTCTTAGGGCCGCCACGCTAAAAGTCCCATTAATGGAACTCTTGAATAAATTATTAAATGATTTCCATGCTTAATTTCACCATTCTTAGAAAATGACTTGATTTTGAAATTAAAATTGCAGATTTTCATGGCTAACCTTTTCCATATAAAAATTTTCATGTATGTGGTGATCTTCCAAGACATCTTTTGGATGTGCTCTTTTTGTTAAGGGGGCATTGCAGTCATTGCCTTGAATATATTTAACATTATACTATCCCAAGTTAGACTTGAGAGATTTACTCCATTACCCACCAAGTTGATTTTTCATGAAGGAAGACTTCATTAACCGTGATTATGTCTCATGCTTTCAGAAGCGTGAGTCAGTCTTAACAATTTCTTGAAAAAGGGAAGTTTTCTGATTATTTGTTCTTGCTTAAAGTTTTTTCCTTGGATTACTCCTTGCAGTCACGTCTACGTATACAAAAGGCGCGATTGATGGCAGAGGAAATGCTCCAGCGGTTAGTAACTTGTGACGTCAATAGAGAGTTTCGCGAACTGTCGGCTGAAAAAGCAGAAGGAACTTATCAACGAGCGAAGTAAGTAGTTCTTTATGCGCCCATAACTTGGAGTCGTAACTTTTTTCATCCAACATTTGTGTGAAAATCAGTGAAGACTTTGCATCGGAAAGACATCACTAGCGCGGCGTTTGGTTTTCATTTCTTGGAAAGAATAAAGGCCAATTAAATAAAGATCTGCTTTTCGTTTTTAAAATGAACGTCAAAAATAGTAATTTAGTGCTAGGGTATTGTAAAGACGCTTCTTCATTACGAACCTAAATTTTAATGTATTTTTTAGCGGTGTTTGTATTGCCTCGGTCAAACAATAGGCGATGAAACATAGTTCGTTTCTCCTTTTCTCAGTGATCCAGTTAATCTGCCCAAGAACCGCTATAAGAACATCCTTCCGTTCGATCACTCCAATGTGACCCTACAGCAGGTGAAAGAGGGCGAAGGAGGGTCGGATTATATCAACGCGAATTTCCTAGACGGAAATAAGCTGAAGAATTCTTACATCGCAACTCAGGTAATTTTGGTTCAGATACAGTTTGTAATAAGCTAAGTTTCCACCTCATACCAACCAGTGATGTATCACAGCCAACAGAAATCTCTCTAACCGATCTTCTATCTCTGGTGTCATTCCAGGGCCCACTGGATAATACCGTTGCTGACTTTTGGCAGATGATTTGGGAACAGAACGTTCACGTGATCGTTATGTTAACAAGGCTGCAAGAGGGAAAGAAAGTCAAATGTGTCAAGTAAGAATCACGACATGTCCTTTGTTTGATATTACTTATGTAAGGTAAGTCACAATTAAATGTTTTTTTTTGTTTAAAGATATTGGCCTGACACTGACGAAGAAGTTACCTTTAAAGACTTTGTGATAACTTGCATTTACAAAAGGTAAGACCGAAAGCGCTATTGGAGATGTTCCTTGAAGTCTCAGTTTTGTTTAGCGTTTTATTCATAAGCATTTAATTTTGTTTACAGAAAACTCGACAGTCGTGTGGTTCGTCGTTTCCTTCTTGAAAATTCTGGTAGCGGTGAGTGTCGAGAACTCTTGTACTTTCAATTCACTGCTTGGCCTGACTTTGGTATCCCGTCATCCCCAGCGGATTTTCTTGAATTGTATTATGAAGTGATGAAAGAGTACAGATCACTTCCGTTGCCGGGGACCCCCATGTTGATACATTGCAGTGCGGGGGTAGGAAGATCTGGGGCTTTTTGCGCCATTAACAACTGTTTGCAGTCGTTCAGATCCACTGGCAGGATAGATGTGGCTGAAACTGTCCGGTCCTTGAGAAAACAGCGCGCTGGAATGGTGCAAACTTTGGAGCAATACGCCTTTTGTTACAAAAGTATTATTCTTGCCCTCCTGTACCAAATGAAATTAAAGAAATTGAAAGGGATTTCTCTTTTGAGCCATTCTGCAGCATCGTCAAGTGGTGTTTGGACCTCGGCTGAAAGATCACCAAGCCCCCAGGGAACAACTGATGAATGCATCAATTCAGGAAAACCCACAAGCCCCGGGTCCAAAAGAACAAAGGTGTCCTCACAAAATGCGCTGCCTTATTCACATTCTCAGCAGTTGTTTCCCCCATTGGAACGTTTAGAATGCAATGGAGACAGTCTTCCAGTAGTGATTGTTCATTCTACTCCAAAGAGACTTCGCGAAAAGCAAAACTCCCTCACTTCGAATCGGAGCAAGAGCGACGAACTTTATTCAAGGGAGACTTGCATCGATGAAAAACAGAATTTAGAGATACCCGTAGGAGATGTGGGTCGACGGAAGACGACTGGAAACATTCGAAAGCGTCCTAATCTTGGGGAGCCGCCACCACCACCCCCACCTCCTCCATCACGTGCCTTACCGCCCCTGTACCACAAGAAAATGGCCTCCGTGATGACGACTTAGCCCCTGAACTTCCTGAAGTTGATTACTCAGACTATGAGTTTTCCGAGGACGATGATGAGCCTTTCCCACCTCCCCCTGAGGCATTCTGTGTAGCTGCTGAAGGAGAACAGCTGAACCAATTTGATTCCACGGCCTAAAAAACAACTTGGATATTAAGAATGGTGTGAACGACGTTCTTAAAACCTTAGGAGGACGCAGATATTACCTTTAAGACCCTGTCATTACGTCGAAACTTGATGTCACTGAGTAGATTAGGTCCGCTAAAAATGATAATACAATTAGATACTCGATGAGTGACTGAGGTAGAGGAAGAAGTGACGCTGATACAATAACGATAGTTTACTTTTTTATGTCAGCAAAAGTAAAATTTAAAAACTGAAAAGTATTGAAACAAATGTGGGTATAGGTTTGTGGTAGGTATTTTTATATAAAGGTTTATTTTATGTGTAGAATTAATCCACTCATATTTAAGGACAACGAAAACCAAACTTTACAGCTTTTTATATTTAGTCTAGTTACTTCTTGTGGATAGGAATTGTATATTTTAGATAATATTTTTGAAGAGCATAAATTCTTTGTACTGTTGATTTTTCAAAATAAATCATGCTTTAAAAATTTACGGGTAGATTCCTTTGCGTTGATGTCAGTATCGGGGCACATGTACATAGTTAATTCCAGTTTTGCCTGCCCGACGTTATCTGCTCAGTTTTGTTCATTTGCAGTCAGTGATTCTCTCTAGATTTTTTTCCTTCAACTGTTACTGTATCAGCTTTGCGTTCTGGTCAGCAAACTGAGAGCCCAGAGCAGAATCGCCTCAGGGTTTCCCCTAGGTTTTTTGTCGTATCGTACAATAACCCCAATGTTTGAACGCTCTTTAGACTTGACTTACCAGGATTACACTAATTACAAAATGTTGCATTTTAAAAAATCCTTCAGTAGCCATCTCCTCTTCTTCATCCGTGTCCACAGTCTCGCTTACCGAGGAGCTTGAATTGACAGTAAATACCATGACGTCATGATATCCGTCTGAAGGGAAAAACGTGCTACGATTGTTGATCTCTTGTACAATGATAGGATTCGCTTGGCTGAATTCCTTGATGTAAGCTTTTTCTTTATGAGCTATTGCCATAACGAGATTTAGTTACAATCGGGCCATTTTGTTTATCTTCTGAAACAAAAGGGAAATGATTGATAGCGGTGCTTGATTTTGGAAGCGAATTGTTTGAGTTTCAGCGACTTAATAAAAGACGTGATCCCTAGAGGATAAATTCCCTTCAAATTAGAATACTTCAAGTTTGTTGTCAAAAGTTAAGAATACGCGACTTTGAGTACAGATCGCCTTGAAGTAATATACTGTGCGATGGCCACTGCTTTTACTTTAGCTGAGGTAAGTTTAAAAGAAGTTATCAATTTGAAGAAGATTTCACGACATTAAGTGAAAATAAAATATTATAAAGATTGGATCATCAGTGTTTACAATATGGTTATATGGCGGAAGAGTTGATTCACGAAAGTTGCATGAGATTGTTACCTTAATCTTCCCTTAGTTTTCGAAGAAAGATTTTTGATTTTAACATAAACTGAGTGGTACTTATAAAAAAAATTGGTAAACAAGCCGTAATAGGTGATCGAAAAACGTGTTTCCTTGTTTTAGTACCTGAATAACTCACTCAAATTCAGCGAAGGAAAACTTAATTCGTCAACTTATGTAAATAATTAGTTTTTAAGGCCACGAGGGTGTAGATTCGACTCGATGCACTTTCCAAACTGTCCACCTGTACAAAAAAAAAAAATGAAAGACGAATATAAACAGCTTGAAATGAAGGGAATTTCTCTTTTCATCGATATTGATACGAATTACTGTGTCTACTAACTGTCTAGTTTAAATTCAAGTTCAACTCGAAACATTCGCGAGTGAAAGTACGGCCGGGGAGATCTCTTGTATAACGTGAGATGTTGCTGAGGCGAAATAACTGATTCCTCTCTCGTAATACCTTAGCTGGAAGCCTCTGTCAGCTTTGTTAACTCTGTGATGGGTCAGGACAGGGATCTTGAATGCCTACCAATTAAACCTGCACAGAAGCTGTATCAAGCACAAAAAACCGGTGTTTTATTCTGGTAAGGGAAATGAAGTGTTGTCGGCGTGATTAATCGTATTTGAAGTAATCGTATTTTGGTCTCGTCCTATTTACTTAAAAACCATTTGTACTTCGGGAAACATCGTTCATGCAAGAATTAATCGCATCATGTAAACGTTCAAAACTTATCTTGCTTCGCTGAATCTTGCTTTACTTTGCTACGTGGGTTTCAGAACTATGTTTTATTGATTACGTTTCCCTGAATTCAACAAAGCAAGGGAGTGAAGGTGCTGATGGTTATTATTTTTTTCAGTGGAAGTGGGCCTTTCTTCGTAATTACATGATTCTGCGTTGTTTGAACTTTACATTGATGCAGTTCTCCAGGAATCAATTACAACCAGCCATACGATTTGACCTTATTTATTCTATCTTACCGAGTAAATTTTATTTTTCCCGATTTGTTGTCAGCAAATTATTAAACCGAGTCCGAAGAGGAACCGTGCCATGCTCCAGTATCCATAAGCAAGTGAGGAATATTCATCAGGCATTAGAGAATCAAAAGCTAGTGTTAGAGGGAACACAGCAACTGGGTATTGATGTGCACAACGTTACAGCTGAGGACCTCTGGAGTGGAAAGGTACCGTAACTTTTTTGTCTTACTGAAGTTTTGACTAAGTGAACGAAATATTGCCAATTTTTACTTCTCACTTTTTTGCACTAACGTCGGCAAGTTGTAACTAGTTTCATTTGACATTAACCCACCCTAACATCCGTATCAAGTATATTTTCCAAACTCTTCGCTACTGTAATTTTTTATTGACAAGGAGAATATGTTAAGCAATCAAAACTTCTCAGGATGGCAATCATTTCTTTTATTCTCATAATCTTGATGAATGATTCAGCATTATTACTGTAAGGAGAAATTAAACTCTTAGGTTTCAGAGGGTTAAAATCATCGATCTTTTCAATTTTGCCAGGAATACTTGGTTTTGGAAGTTCTGTGGAAAATCGTCCGGGTAAGTTATGTATTAAAGTCATTATAACAATTGCGCTTTTAAAAAGAAGAACAATTGTCATCTAGCTGCTACCCAAAGAGAGGAAAATTTGTGATAAAGTTGACGACTGAAATGTTACAGGTTGGCTTGCTGTCTCGTGTGAATGTGGAAAACCATCCAAATTTGGTATTGTTGCGCAGGTCAAATGAAAACTGGCCAAGGTTTGTTAAGGTATGTATATCAATTCTACTTGTTTTCATAGTATTATTTCACTATAAGAATGAAACTTTAAGTAATGAGAACTATCTTCCGATGTTTTGAATCATCGACTGTATTTCACTGCACTGAACTTTCCGAACGCAAGCACATCGTTGGCAACTGACATGCGTTCAACTGTTTAGCTTTCTGCAGAAGAGTTACTGATCAGATGGGTCAATTATCAACTGAGGCACACACTTTACAGGGGTCCAGAGATGACAGACTTCAGCTACAGTTTAAAGGTTCGTGACCACCTATTGATCAATAAGATCATAACTTCATCCACAAAACAATGTTAATATTTAAATGAAAACATTGCGGCTAACTCGAAATACTGCCTTTTTTGGAATAATTTACAAAGGCTTTTATCTCTTTTATCCACTTTTCCTTTTTCTCCCTTCCCAACTGTTTTTATACCTTTTATTATTTTCATTCGCTGCTTCCAGTTACAATGACTTAATTAAGTTTCTGTTTTGTTTGTTCTATGTAGGACTCTGTGATATACAGCTACCTTTTCACTCAGCTTTCCCCACAGAGGTATTGCTCTCTGAGTTATTTGCTGTTATGTTAATGAACCGAGAACAAGAAGTTATGCTTTATGAAGAAATGTCGTGCGCGCGCACTCAGCTAGTTTTTCAGCAGTTGGTCAGGAAATATTATGTTAAGAGAAGGCTTAAGATAAACATAGAATACATAATGAAGTCAATATAGATTGGTATGCCGATGGAATATTGATTCTAAGGGTGAAAAAGTCGGCATCACGTAATAGGAAATTGTTTTATTTCGCGTCAATAAATAACTTGAAGATTCTCACCATCTATATGTTGTGAAAAGGTGCAGTTTGTCTCCTTTGGATGAAGAAGACTTGTTCGTCAGAGCAAAGAAAATCTTATCCATGGCTGAGCTGATAGGATGTAATAAATACATAACGCCACATGAACTTGTTAAGGTATTTATACCGGGTTATTTTTCTTAACGTGGATCAGTTGATCTCCTTAACCGAGATTTTGTATCGTGAGAAAATTATTCAGAAAAACAAGGAACATTCAGCTCGCAAAAATCAGGAACAATGATTATTGTGAAAATTAGTCGTTATTTGGTTTCTTTTTTTTTCCAGGGAAATCCACGGCTAAACCTTGCTTTTTTGGCGAACTTATTCCATTGTAGTCCAGGACTTGAGTTCCATGCGACTGATATGGAAAGTGCTCGACTTACAGAAGAACTCAACACGGCTCACGTCAGGTACTGCCAGGAATTGAACTGATAACTTTTCCTGAAAAGTGTGTCTCAGTCTTACTCTCATGTTATGATTAGTAATAGACTTTGTGATTAGCTGTCAACCGGCTACATTATTACCAACAAGTGGTGACATGGACGTAGTTGGAATTTTAAGTTTTATTCGTTTGTGGCATTGTATTTCAGTTAAATTCTGAAAATCGTTGGAATGTCTCTTTGAGGTGTCGTTTGGTCGAAGAAGAGCGAAATCTTTTGATGGAAGTGAGACGAGAGATGTCTGGGGAGCTGAAAGACGTGCGTAAGAAACTGGAGGAAAGACTCAAAGAAATGGAGATTCTCAAGAGAAGAGCTTTGGGGCTTGAAGATGAAAATAAATATTTGGTAAGTATCCCAACTAAAGACAAAAAAAAAACACCCCATTCATTTCATTCTGTTGTTTTTCTTCGATTTTTCAGACTGACGTCGATGAGGCTGTTCGACGTCTAAAAGCAGAAAACTCGCTGCTTCAAATTCAGCTCACTGACTCGAAAGCCGTAGAGGATGATTCCCAAGCTACCATAGAGAATCAAGAAATAACAATTGATAGCTTGAAGAAAGAAAAAGAGGTTTGAACACATCATTTGTTTTTTCCTCAGTCAGTATTAATATGCACAACCGACTATCTCCGCTCTCCAGTCCTAAACGGAGAGCACCAGAAAGACGTTATATGTTACCTTAGTCCGGCCTAGGCTCGAGTACACGAGAGGACCCACTTTCAAATGCGACATTGTCAGTCTAGAGGGATTACATGGAACAGCAGCCCGCTTTTGTACAAACGAATACAACTGGTCGTCAAGGGTCATGTCCATACTAAAAAAATTTGAACTTTGCACCCCTGTAGAAAAGAGAAAAAGATCTCGCTTGATCTTATGTATAAAATTATTCATGATTTAGTTGATATTAAGATTAGCGTTTATTTAAATTTTAGTAATGCGACCTGTTCTAGGAGTAACCATGGGCTCAAGCTTCTTAAACCTCACTGTAAGAAAGAAGTGTTCGAATCTTATTTTTCCCAAGAACTACAAGAGACTGGAATCAGCTCCTCCCTGATGTGCCTCGTATTACGTCTCTTGCTGGATTTAAGAATCAACGGAGTTCACTAGTTTAATAAGTATCGTAATTATTGTAGCTTGTAATTTTTACTTTGCATTTTGTAAGTAGTTGGCGCGTTGCCTAACTGGCTTTTATTAACCTTATTGACATAATAATGATGATGACTTATAAGTAAATATTTCCTTACTCTAGGCACTGGTCAAAGAATATGAGGAAAAAATTAACGAACTAGAGAATAAACTCTCTGCAACCACTCGAAAACAAACAAAAATAGTTCTTCAGAAAGAAGCTATTATGCATGAGAGAGACGTAAGTAGTTTGAGCGTTATTACGCAATTAAGTGGATATATTTTAAAGTAACATTTTGTGCAAACTACAAGTAACTTCCTTTCTTCTGTGCTTTAATGCCAATATCACGGAATTGAGATGAAATTGAGATACTGAAAAGTGGTAATCGACCCTTTAGTTTGTAACCGACACTGTTTTGCTTTCTTTTGTTTCTAAATCCAGCTCTTAAAACGGAAACACGACAAATGCCAAGCAGAACTCAAAAGACTTCAAGCTCAGGTAAGTTGTAAGTCGCAGTTAAAGAAGAAAACTTTTCACCCAAGTAACTCTATATTGGATATTTTTTTCTTGAGTTATTGTTGTGGAAATAATAGCCAAGCTGTTACAGATATATCTTAGTAAAAAAAATTCTGTTCTGTGACATAGTCTGTTTTTGTCGATCTCCATCGAAACTTTGAATCATTAAGAATATTAATATCAACTTAATTATTATTTTATATGCTTAAAAGGATATGTGTGGATATTAAGTGTTTGCCGATTGATATGGAATGAATAATGAAGCCTATTCCCTTTATCAGTGATAAAAATTCTTCACAGTTGTTTTTTTAACTATATTTTGTTATCCAACAGATTGATCGTCGTCAACGACACGTCCATCAACTTCGTCAGCTTTTTAAATATTTTATTTCCGACAAAGGACTAGCAGAAAAACTTTATGGGGTAGGCACATCATAATCGGTGAACTACCCGACAGACCAACTGACAAGCCGACGAACTGACAGAATGGCCGACCGACAGACAGAGACAGACAGACAGACAGACAGACCGACTGACCGACCGGCCGATAGACAGATAGACCGACCGACCGAACAACAAGACTGACCGGCCAACTGAGCGATGGACCGACTCGCTGGTTGGCTGAATGACTTAACGACACACCGACTGACTGTCCAATACCGCTGACTGATCGACCTCGAGCGTCATTTTAACAATATTTACAATGGAACATTTTCAGACTAATTTTCTAAAAATTTTCATCAGAACTTGGACACGACATCTCTACAAAGCAGAAACGGCAAAAGCAAAATGACAAAATGTAAGTGATTTGATATTGTATTTAAATCAATAATTGAGTACTCTCCACTGTAGTCTCAAGTAGCTTTAGGATCATCGCTACATCGTGTTCGCTGTCCCCTTTGACGTGGAGAATGTGCCTTGTTGTCCAAGTTATTCTGTTCCTTATTCTCATCTCTTCCCTTCTTTGAGTTTTATTTGAACTGTCTCTCTTGTAATATCACCCTCTCTTCAACTTGTAATTTTCAGCTTCTACCATGGTCTAATCATTTCCATTGCCTAGTTAGTTTTATCTTATTACTATGTGATTTTGTTTTGTTGACGAACCTCTCATCTTGCAGTTTGCCAGGAAGGAGGTTGGTATTTACGAGAAACAGCTCCACAAATTTTCCTACTGAAGGATAATTTTTTGTTTGTGTTCGATCGCGAGGAGGTAGGTGTCATTGAACTCCGGAGCAGAGATTTTCTTTTCTTGTAGGAATGTCTTGAAACTAGACGATTACTTCAGTAAGGGATTAGCCAATCACACTTGCGTTCTTCTTCAGGAGGACGCCCCTTTACTTGTGCTGCGCTTGGATCAGGCCACAGTAAACAAACAAGAACATTGTGTGCTGCAATTGAAGTTCTCTCAGAAAGAAGTATGTTCACAGAATGACTCAGCTTCACTAAGCACGTGGTAGTTTTTTCTTTAGTAATCGATACCGGGAAGTGTTGAGGAAGTGCTTAAAGTCATATCCTGGGTCCAGTTGTATAAAGGGTGGATAACACTATCCTACGTACAAATCACTATCCAGCAGATAAGTGATAGTAAACGTACTGCGCTATCCAGTGAATAGAGATTTGTTCAGTTGTTAGAGTTAATCAACCTTTGAACAACCGAGGCCTGATTTTCTATCATTGAAGCGACGGCACTGTTAACTGGCACCATGAAAGTATTTGGTAATAAAGAGTTGAAGACAATGAAATTTTTAATTGCTGGTTCCAGTTTCGATTTTTTGACCGTGTTATTTTATCAGGGTAGTCGACTATTATTGGCTCCAACGATTCTTTTACGTTGGAATGACCAGGTTAAAGGAAGTATTTATCTCGTGTTTTCTCTTCTTGTTTAGTTTTCGTACTACATAAAAGTTTCGCCCGCCTCATATGTCAAAGATTTGCAACAAGAACTGGAAGTAGCCGCTGACTGGTGGACTGAAAGACAAAGGACTTCGCCTTGTTCCCGATTCAAAGAGATCGTTCAGTCGAACATGTTGACCAGCGGTGGTAACAGAAGAAAGCTGAACTTAAGACAAACTTCACTTATAACGGCAGACGTGTGACGCAACGGCCTCGATCCCAAGTAATTTGGTCATCAGAAAAGTAAGGAATGTTCATGGAAAAGACACTCAAGATTTCGCGACTCAAATTACGAGAACTGCCAAAATTTAGGGAATAATCATGGCTTTAGTCTGCGAACCACGAGTTCTCTTGATGTGTGATGAACTACACTTTAAATCATGTTTGATTTCACTTCTAGCAAAAAAGAAATTACATCAAAAACCTTAAAAAGGCCTTAATACTTCCTGGAGATATTCAACAATGCGTTTTTGCCAGTGAAGCGGTTGTGAGGTCGACAACGTTGAAATCTATCACGAGTCGATAAGAAATAGAGCTAATTCCTGTTTTTAGTCCAACATTTCACCGAAACTGGGCCTGTTTTGGACAGCACCTATAACCTTATTTTACATTCAAGATTTGCTCTCTGTTCCCACCTTCAACTCGCCAGCTCTAACATACTGTGCCATTTTCTCGAGTTTTATGCTGTGCGTTTTATTTAAAAGTCGACCTTCAAAACTTCTATTCATTAAACCTCTAATTTCTTCATTAACTTTAATTTTTTTCAATTATATATTTATTGTCCAATACATGTCTTTTAAAATACTATTCTTTAAATAATTTGCCCGAGGTTGTCCAAAGCTCTTATCAGTACAGACTGTATAAGGTTGAAATATTTCGATTTAACTTACCATATTCTATAATCCATATACATTACCTAAGAACTAATCTTATATCTACTATTTAGATAACTTAAGACATACAGCGTACGGTGTATTAATCTCACTAGCTAATTAAATTAAAATGTGTTTTTTTGAAAAATTTTGAATGCTATCTTTACTCTCCCAATAATCTGTATTTCGAGACCAAATTTTTTTGGGTGCTGTATAAAACACAAGAAACATTTTTGAAGTGATAGTCCCGTTGAAGATAAAATCTAGCGGCTATTCATTTAGCAGTGGCTGCTGTGTCTATAGACATCCAAGACTGCTCGCAAGTGAGCGACGTCTCCAGATACTGGTTATGAGTTTACTGTGAGAATCTATGTCTGTCGTGGTTGAATTTGTAAATATGGATTTCGTCCATTACGGCTTTTGATTTATTAAACATCGATTTTCCTTTGAAGAGAATAACTCTTTTATTAAGAAATTGGATCAATTTGTAAAGTTGAGAATGATCTCAACTGATCACAGTCTCTTCTGATTGCTTGTCAGGTGGGGCCTGAAAAAAAACATACATAGAAACAAATACATTTAATGTCTTAGTACCTGCTCTATTGTACACAGCCCTGCAAACAAGGTGAGGTAAAGGATGACTAACAAACAAACATGCACATCCACCCACCCTGAGTAGAGGGTTAGTTCATAATCATCATATTCCACCTTGGAGTGATATAACCTCCGCAGGACTAAAAAAATCAGCAGTACAAAAACCTCAGCAGTACTATAACCTCATCAGGACTATACTTTCAGCGGTACTATAACCTCATCAGTACTATAACCTCAGCAGGACACTAACCATAGCAGGACTATAACTTCATCAGTACTATAATCTCAGAAGTACATATGAAATGTGAAATACATCCATGTACCTGTGTCTGGTGTGTGTAAATTGACCTTTAACAAGCTAGGTTCTTGTAATCCGTTATCTATAAAGAGTAAAATCATGATTCACTTTCATTAGCTTCATTCATCTGGCTTTGCAGTCTCATAGAGGCATTGATTTACCTTACATGTAACCATATCCATGACGTATTTCACAGCAGTACCTGTAAACGCCTTATAAAACACAGAAATAAATGTTCGTGACAAATTTTTATCATTATTTTTTCGCTTCCATGTATGCATCATCTAAGGGTAATTTTCCCAATTCATCAAATGGATGACTATTAACTATGAATACCTCAGAGATGACCAAGTTTGACTTCTGACCACTAAACTGAGGTTCGTAACCTCACTGTGTGTCATGTAAATATGTTGTTTCATTTCACCATCAACATGTTCTACTTATGCATGATGATCATGGTGGTTAGGTTAGGTTAGGTTAGGTAAGGTGAAGTAAGGTAAATGCTAACAATTTCCGTTGTTATAATAACAGGTTTGCCCTCGCCTGAACCCGTGAGGAGCATAAGGAAAACGGATTCTAAGCAAAGAACCTGAGTGGAGCGTCTGAACTGAGAGAAGCCACAAAAGTCACAAAGAGCTGCAACATCTGCCGGCCTGTAGGGACCTTACTACCGTCAGGTTCTGTACTTAGCACAATGGACAGTGACGACAAAGAGAAAAGCTAATATGTTGATTAATAAATCACTAAGACAAATTAAAGTAACCACCCTTCCTTGACACAAACCTTGAAAGAATTTTCTTAACTGTGTATTCTGTTGAACTAACAGTTCTTCTCGTGTCTTTGCTCTCCTAAGCTCGATCTCTAGAGTTTGGAACTGCTCTTGTAACCCGTTCATGTTTCTCTCCAGAGTAGAACATCTGTCCTGAGATTTCTCCAGTTCACATGTTAACTTTAAACACTTGGATTTTGTTCCGTCTAACTCTTCTTTTAGCATGTAACACTGGTTCTGTAGTACATCCAGCATGTTACCTTGAGTAAAAATGTTTTTCTTGGAATTTTCCAGTTTAACTTGTAGTGCCTGGCACTGTTTCTTCCTCGCCTCTAGTTCACATTCCAGTTGTGTCATCTGTTCTCGGGTTGCATTCAGTTGATTTGTTAGTCGAACGCATCGTTTCTTGGTATTAATAAATTTCACTTTCTGTGTACAGTACTTGAGTCTAGCAGTGTTTAGTTCTTGTTGTAAGACACGACAATGCTCCTGAGAGCTCTCTATCTCATTACCCGTGCTTCGCTTTTCTTTTTTGGAGTTTTCTAGCTTTTCTTTCAGCGATTCACATCTTCTTTTCACGACATCAAGCTCGTTTTCCAGCTGATTGCATTGCTGTCGGTAAGCAGTGACCACTTTCTCAATTTCCTGATATTTAGTATTGGACTTGTTAAGTTCCTCTTCAAGAGAGAGGCACTGTGCTTTAGACTGCTCTACTTCCTCTTCCAAAGTATTCACTTTTTTCAATCCTTTGGATGTGCGACGCTTTTGCAGCCTAACTGTCTGTTCTCTAGAAATAATGTAAGTTTCATCTCGCTGGACAGCAGAGGTCTTTCCAATCAACCTCCACCGACGGGCGAGTCGCAACGCTTCGTAAGCTTTTTCTGTTAGGTCGGGAATAAGTCGTAACACGAGATCAAAGTCGTGTAATCGGTTTCGTATTCCTATAGGGTAAAGTCCTTCGGCACTAGTCGGGCTGAATAACCTCTCGTCGATAACACCAGACGTAAGAAGAAGATGCCATTGATTCAAAAGTTTCTCTAAGTCTCTGGGAACACTTTTAAGATGACAAAGTACTTTTTCATTTTGAAAAAAGTCAGAAAGTGGCTGATAGATGCCTTGTTTGAAACTTTCGAGGAGATTCTCGAAATGAACGCAGAGTTCATCAAACCGTGGAAGCACGTTGGAGTCGCGTGAATTTGATTGACTTTTAGGTACCAACACTCCACGAAGTTGAACATTCCTCTCCCAAGAGGCCAACTCAGACACATATCTGTCAAATGACATCATACACAATCACAGACCAATCAAAAGAAAGAACAAGGAAATCAATAAAGAAATAGGAAAATGAGCGCAATCACACTTATGATATACAAAGTAGTTTTTGAGGAGGTCACAGAAGCTGTCGAAACAAGTATGTGCCAATTTTAATGACGATGCAACTTCCTCTGATATACGTACCTCTTAATTTTAGTATAAAATAAAATGAAAAAAATTATGTCAAAGAAAAGCGTAACAAACCCCCTGGAAGTAACACCTCCAAAAGATTTATGATTCCACAACTGCCAACGGCGCGTCACTTGTTTCAGCTTGCGATAGAGCTCCTCAAGAAAATGGTCCTTTTCTCTTTCACGTGACAATTTCTGTATTTGTGTTTCAAAGGCTGAGCACTGTTCTGCTAACCACACTTCGCGAGCCGTGTGGGACAACACCTCCAAATCTTCAAACTAAAACAAACACAAATTAAACATTCCTAGGCCTTAATTTGCAATCAACACCACACAGTAGTGGTCGGTAAGACTCCATGTTACGCCATACTAGTATGCTGTACTATCTACAGCATGATAGAAATAATATTCAACAGTATGTTTCTCAATTATTCAACAAGCACACTTCGGATATGAGATAAAACGGGCCGATTTCATCTCATATCCAACAAACGCAAGCGGAAAAATGTTTTGTGATAACCCCCTAAAATATTGATAAATCTTCCCAACTTTACTAAGTAATAAATAGAATAAGAAAGATGGTAAGTTTTGAGCTCGGTAAGAAATAGTGAAAGATATTTTTCGTCTTGTCACGAGCATGGGACTAAGAAAAGATTCTGAGTCCCCATGAGGAATCGAGCTTCGGACCTTCGGATTCCGCGCTCCGATGCTTTACCACTGAGCCACAGAGACTTTACAGTAAGCGAGGTCTATTACGACGTTCATTTTCATGTACAGGACAAGACGAAAAATATCTTTCTGTTTAAAACATCTTAAAGTTCACATGGCAACCAGGTGGAGAACGAGACATGGTTTGATGCTACTCTGGTTTAAAGATTTAATGAATGTCACCGCGAAGTTAGTATACGCTCACTTATTAGCTGCATTTTTTCTGACGAGGTGTATATAGGCGTCAGGAAGTAAGCCGCCATCATCACGATTTAAAGGAGCGTGGGAGGAGTTAATATGCCGGGCTTCCAAACAAATTCGCAGGAATTTGTGGATTTTATTAGAGATAAAACTACTAACGCTTGTGAATTAGTATCTTTTGACGTTGTTTCGCTCTTCACAAAAAATCCCAGTTGATCTTGCCGTCAAGGTTGCGGAGGAGAGACTCAGAGAAGATGCATCCCTAGGACAAAGAACTTCTTTGCCTGTGGAGGATATTATTCATCTGCTGTCTTTTTGCCTTTAAACCACGCAATTTGCATGCATCAGCACCTACTATCAACAGGTTTTAGTACAGCTATGGGTTCGCCCGTCTTTGCTGACATTGCCAACATGGTTATGGAAGACGTCGAAGAAAGGGCCTTAGCCACTTCACCGGTTAAACCCTTTTTCTTTAAACGATATGTCGATGATGTTATTTCTGCGGTAGCCGGAAATGAAGCGGAACGCCTCGTATCGAATTTGAATTCAGTAGAGCCGTCTATCCAATTCACCCTTAAGCGTGAAAAGGATAGACATTTACCCTTTCTTGATTTAAATGTGTACAGAGGGGAACAGGGGAATTTAGAGACAAATGTCTATCGTAAACCTACCCACACCGACTAATATCTCGCTTTCGATTCTCACCACCCTATTTGCCATGAAAAGTTTGTAGCCAAAACTTTACTCAGTAGGCCTGACTGCCAAAAACTAGTTACAACTTGTAGCACTCCTAATGAGAGGGAACCAGCGACTGGTGTTGCTGTTATTCCTTACATTCAGGTTGTTACGGAACCTATCAAGAGAATTTTGAATAGCCACAACGTTAAAGTTGCTCAAATACCTTTTCAGACTTTGGGCATATCTTTACCAAACCTAAGAATCATGTTATGAAAGAACAACGAACCGACGCTAGTTATTCTATTCCTTACAATGCTATGATAACGAGTATATCGGACAGACCAAATGTCCGTTTGGTACACGTTTGAAAGAGCATCAAAAAGCGGTTTTCCTTTGCAAAAAAGAAAACTCAGCTTTACCGTAGCACACATGCCTAACCAGCCATACAACATAAATTGGGTGGGATAAGTCGAAAATTATCACCACTTATCGGCGTTACCACCAGCGCCTTTGTTTGGAGGCCTGGCATGTTAACTCCGCCCACGCTCCTTTAAATCGTGATGATGGCGGCTTACTTCCTGACGCCTATTTATACCCCGTCAGAAAAAAGGCAGCTAATTAGTGAGCGTATAAAAGGACCACTTGTTGCAGCGTTTAGATCACCCCTGATGAAGGCACTAGACAGGAGTGTCCAAACGTTGAGTCTATGAATTGTAACTTCTCAGTAACATTCATTAAATCTTTAAACCAGAGTAGCATCAAACCATGTCTGTTATCTTTCACTATTCACTTAGTAATGTTAGTGTGCAAAAACACTTAACTCGTCTTCATGCGCATGCATGCATAGTGTAATGGCTCATAACCCATGATGGCTGAGCCAGTGAAAACTCTGAAATTTAATTTTAATATTGTTCATTATATACTGATGTTGTTGCTAGCTTTTGACTTTTACTTGCCATATTACTAAAAACTAACCATAGACAATCTTTTGAAGTTAAAAATGTAAAATTAAAACAATGTGAATTAAGAAAAGTATTCAAAATGTATGATTTAACAGTGTGAACTCAAATATAAATTGGTAAAAATTGAACATTCTAATGAGGGGTTTCCATGGAGACTCCATATGAATTTCAATAATTGTTGGAACTATAATTATAGGTAATAAGTAAACATGATTTCAAGTGCAATTTGGTGTTAAGAAGCACAAGTAAATTTTTCAAAGACAACAAAATTGCACAAGTCCGTCTTTGAAAAATTTACAAGACTAGTGTTTTTTACCCTAAATTGCAAGAGAAGTCATGGTACTACTTGTTAATAATTTAGATGAAAAAACATCTCAGAGAAGACAAGACATACAAAATTTTGAAAGCATGCACATGCTATTTGTAATTTGCACTTGTGGTACAACTTTGCACTCATGTTACAACTTTGCACTTAGGGTGTTACAACTGTGCACTTGCGTTACATGAGAATGCACTTTTTTTCAACCAGTCAGATGCCTTTACCTTTTTTGTGTTCATTATCATTCACCTTAATCCTTCCAGGAACTGGCGCATGGTTTATAATTTCATATGTAAATGCTTGAACCTTTTTGAGATCCCAAGATATATTTAAGCCAGCAATCTCAACCTCCCCCAAAAAAAAAAAAAAAAACAAAACAAAACAAACAAAAAAACAAAAAACCAAACCTTCCCATGAGTGGGCAAATCAAACAACACTACTCTTTGATTAATGCTCTCACACAAATGCCCTTTGCACTTTTTTGCAGGCAAGAAATATATTATTAAAAAAATTTTTCACTTTAAAGCACACCTTTTTTCCCACGAACATGTTCAGACTGAAAAAAAAAATTATTCCAAACAAATCCAATACCACAGTGATTGAATCAATTTGGTCTTTAAGAAACTTGATGGAGAAACTGGAGGTAAATCTGGCTTTTTCCAATATCCAAGAATTTCTTTACACATTTAATTTTTTTTTTAACAACATTGGTTCTAAAGGTGTAGTCCAGAGGAAGGCTTAAAAATATAAATGTTTGGACTAAGTACAAACTTAAAGGCTAAGATCTTTATATTTTTATTGAGGCACTTTCATCAAGGGACTCTAGTAAAATGTTTTACACAATTTTGTTGTTCAACATAGAAGCTGCCTAATTAACAATAAATCACTTTTTCATCAGTTTACTTGACAAAGCATTGAAAGGAACTAACAAGTTATGTAATATTTTTTCCATTTCCTCCTTTTTCTTTTGTAGCTTTTGTAATTTAAAATGTGAATTTCTATCTTGTATTGAACTAAGACTTTATCATCTTAGTTTATCATTATTATCATTATTAAAGTTGGTATCATTAATATCGTAATATTTTTACTTACATAATAATCTTTCAGCATATTTGAGTTTCAATGACCACTTCTTTGTGGGTTATATTTTAACTTTCTGAAAGTAAATAAAAATATTATTTTCATTATTATTTTATAATCTAGAAGGAGAGCTTTGGGATAGATAAGAATTCCTCAACTTCCCCTCCCTCTATAAAAGAAATCAATTCACCCTAGCCATCCATAGAAGTATGATTATCAAATTTATGTTGTTCTTGTTCACATGCTCACTCTTTAATGTTCCATCTAAACCACTCATGATTAATTATTTGTCCGATGATAGATTTTATACTGTGGGAAAATTTCAAGACAGAGAAGTTTATATCACTTATCACATTTTGAAGTATGTCTCTTATACTTCCATAATTTATGACAAACTTTAGCAACATCCACCTGTTGCTTCATTTTGTAACAAAACAAAACCAAATCATTCAAAATTGAACCATTAAAACAATTCAATTTTCTATAATACAGAGCATTTCTTGGTAGCACTAAAGCATTCACTGTCTTTAATTTTAGACTGAACAGTTTTACTTAACTTAAGGGCAAATTACTGTAGAAATTATAGTTTGAACAAAATTTTCTTCACTTGTCCACACAACACCATTTTCTTTCAAGAAATATTCCTCTATACATATACTCTGTATACCACAAGACTGCTGAACAATTTTAATATTTTCATCCATCCCCTTGAAATAAGAGCTGATGTGGAGTCAGAAACTCAATATGCACTTCCTCTTGTAAATATTCAGTATTAGGTGGAGCTCTGCTTTTTGTTTATCAAAATTGACCCAATTTACTGCATGTTTCAGTCTCTCTCTAAAGGTAGCAAGAGCCTTTAACCCTGCAGTTATCTAAACAAGAGAAATTCATTCTGGAAAGCTGCTTTTTGTATCTCAGTTTCAGGTAGCTACATTCAACAGGTGTCAAAATTTAGGAATGAAGACAACAAAAGAAAACTCTCAAAACTGTAAAATGGAAAGAAGGAAACATGCCTCATGATCATTAAATCACAAGGCAGAAATATATTCTAGATTACTGTACCCAAATTGGACCAAATAAAACACACCAAAAATACTGAAAGCATTGCTAGCACCATTTTGAACAAAATGTGTGCACTGAAAATAAAACATGTTCACAGAGGTATCCTGAACTTAAACTTACATTTATCAAATTTTAAATAAAGTTCTCTCTTTCCTTTTTGCATGCAAGGTAGATCGAACATTTCCTTATCTAAGAAACAAACTTATGTTAAAAACTTTCTGCTTTGATATGTGCTAAGTTATAAAATTATGTTAATCAATATTTTAAGAAAGGTAGTTGATAATTAATACATATGTTGACAACATTTCAAGTATCCTTTACTTAAGTTCTCATTGGTTCTAAAAATAAACGAATTTTACGTGTTAAGTATAAATTTTCTACTCAAACTCTTACTTTGATGAGGGAAACAGAAAATGTATGTTGATGAAATCGGTTCAAGTCTCGTCTCATTGTCCCCTCGTGTTTTATCCAAGCATGTACATTCCAGATTGCACCTGTCAAAAGAAACGTATCTCGGCCTGAGTTTACCCAAAATTGGGAGATCTTATCCACTAAAAGGATGAAAACTTTTCGGCTATGGCTTCCAGATGTGCTGGATTACGATCCATTATCACATTAAGTGAACCGCAGTGCAATGTGCAAATCACATTTTCACTTTCGTGGCAGAACAACATAAATTTGACTTTCAGTGGCGCGAAAGTTTTTTCAAGTAACAAAAGAGATCGAGCCGACAAAGAAAGTGAAAGGAATATTTTGAACAGAAAGTATTATTTAAATGCACTATGTTTCACCAGACTGTCGAAAAAGGGAAAGGATTATTACCCGCAAGAAACATCGACCCCACGGACGATGACAAGGAAAAATTGACGTTAATCTTAGAGATAGGAAAACGGAAAGAAAAGAAGTCCCTGTTAACCTCCTTTCTGGCAAATGCAACAGACTATATAAATACTCTCGATGAATATCTACCGATAGCTTGTACACAACTCACACCACTTCCGCAAATGAAACGCCTTGCAAGACAGCCAACAAATCTTAGTAGATTCAAACTTCACAACTACATAATTCAAAGGTAACTTTTACATAAAATAATACCCGTACGATTTATGTTGTTTGCTCAGGTTTATGTTTAAAGTCGCCAAGAACGAGTTTACAGTCGTCCTGACCGACACACCTTTTACAAGCGTGTACAACAAAGCATTTAGTCAGGGAAAAACCATCTTAAGAAAAATAACGTCTAAACCGACAAACAACAAGCTTCGGCCGAAGAAATTTACACTACAACTAAATTTCCTATCATGAACTCACCTGAGAGCTCGAGAAAGTCGAGGATATAGTTGTCTTGGTTTGGTTTGTAACATTCATTCATTCGCGACCCATTCATGTCCAGAGCCGGCCGCACTAATGTATTCACACGTATCATGCAACAGGTGGTTGTTTATAATTGCTGACCACGTGGACATCCCAATGAGAGACAATTATTGTTCAAATCCGCTGGATAATTCCCTTCCGTTTGTAAACGTATCACATCTTTGCACAAAACAAACGCTCAAAACGTATCTTTTTGCTGGTGTAAAGTTTCTCGACAAACATATATGTCAGCACTAAGTCGAGCAACACACGTAAAAACGATCAAAAAGTGACTTTAACTGGTGCTACGCAGTTTTCCGCGTGCAAAGTACCCGTGCGTTCGTTGCAAGTCACTTTTGTCCAAAGATTGATCGCAAAATTTGAATAAGTACCTCTCATATGAATTCTTTGGCGCCACAAGCATATTGCAAGGCACTGAGTCACGCAGAGTTTACTGGTTAGCAGTGCTATGGCATTTCCGACGAGCCCGTAGGATTTCACAAAGGATCGTGGGAACCTGGGTAACACACGAATTCTGATTGGATAAACCTTCTTATTGGAAAATATGACCAATTAGAATTCGTGTTTTATTTCCCCAGGTTTCTGCTTGTTTCTATGCAACGAAAGCTGTAGTGTTAATCAAAATGGCGGCTAATTAAAGTTAAAGATAATATGAGTTGTAATGGGGAAATTTGTCTGTCTTGAGTGTATAATGAGTTGGAAAATACGATAGAATTTGAGTCAAGCCATAAGCTATGGAGGGAACTGTGGCAGGAGTACGAATTGTCCCCCCTGTGGTGGAATTTTTCGATGCTGAATCGGACGTTGTTCACCAGATGACACTGACAGTTCAAAACTTGAGCAAGACATCGAAGAGCCTCCGATTTCACGGGCCTGCGTCAAATGTAAGAGACTGGTCAAATTTTGGATAATAGAGACGAGAGGAAAAATTTTGCAAAAACTAGATATTCATTTTGAGGCAATAATAAAGCGCAATTTTGTGTACGAAATGTAGATTGTGGTACTTTTCAGAACTTGTTTTGTCGTTTTGGTAGCAGCTTACATTTAAGGTTAAATCACATGGTGCATTTCTTTCTGGTCAGTTTTTCCATCCGCGGAAGGTGAGGGGATAGTATTGAAAATAATGGCTCATCTAAATATAGGTTCAAACATAATTATTATCATCCTTGTAAATAATGACGACGATGAGGGTACAACTGATTTTTGATAATTTTTACGGTTGTCATCATCACCGATATGGAACTGATCGTTCATTATTGTCTCTCTTTTATCATTTAAAAGAGTTTCAGATTAAAAGTAAGGAATCCAGACCATGCCATTGCACCAGGGCTAGAAGTATCAGCTTTGGTTGAATACTACACTACTAAAGGTGAAGATGCACAGGACAGAGTTATACTAGTGGTTGATAATGATGTTGTGGAGATTCCTCTTGTTGCGTGAGTATTTCATCAAGATTAGTATGCACATTTTAATTTGTTAATTTATGGAAACAATTGACTTTAGGACCACTGATGATGTAGATGCTATTCTGAGAGTGACAAATTGTATATTTCTTAAAATAAGCACCCACACCCTAATAAGCACCCTTCCCCAAATTAGTGCCCTCTCCTTGTATAAGTGCCCAGCCCTGAGGCCACAATGTCAAACAAGTACCTCCCCTACAAATAAATGTCCCCTCCTCCCTCACCATTTTAAGTAGTGGGGATGCAAGGAAAACCTGTTTCTATTGCCACATAATTTACAACTATTAAACTTCAAACGGTGCAGATGAATAGTTTCTTTTCCATCCCAATTATTTCTCTCTCCATGTGCTTGCAGAGTTCCTTTTTGTGCAGTGACTGTTCTTTTAATCTTTGTCCTATAGCTCTGCGAACTATATAAGCACCTCCCATCGATCAAGTGCTCTCCTTAAACTAAGCACCCCTTCTTTTTAGCTCATTCGATGGTACATACCAGTGCATCACACTTTTTCTCAAAGTACTTTTTATTTTTTATAACAACTTTATTTAAATAATAACATATATAATATATTATTATTATTCAAAAGGTTTATAGAAGGAAGGAACTTAATCCTCATAATAAACTATGCCCCAGATATAAATATTTAATAGCGGAGCTCACAGAGCATAGCCCCATAATTATACAAAATAGTAGTAACCCATCAAGCCGAGAAAATTTGGATGTACGACTGTACGACTGTACGACTGTACGACCATACAACTGCACAAGGTGCTACTTTTGACATGATCAACTGTACCGCGGGCACGCCAACACCACGGCTTTGTTCAGTAGTCCAGTGGTCAGTGCACTGGGCTCCGAGTCAGGCGACCTGGGTTCTAGTCCTGGCCGGGACAAGTTGTGTGGGAAAAAAAAAATGCAAGCTCCGCTTTTAGGCTTGGCTAAATCTATATATTACTATGCAATATAAATATACCTACTGAAACATTTTACACACAAGCATATATCTATGTACTAAGTATAAAATCTAAGTAAAGAAGATATATCTAAGATAATAATTCTGTTGAAATGATGAATAATTAAATGATGTATAATATATAGAATGATATAATTTCATACTTATCGGCTTAGTTATTAAATAATGTTGATTTTAGAGCTTTCTTAAAAGTATTTATCTAGTCAAGTTCAACTACTGATGACAGTAAACTGTTACAATTGTGTCAATATATCTGTGCCAAAAAGAATACTTAAAGATATCTGTATGGCAAAATGGTTTATAGAGTTTAAACTGATGACTTTTCCTTGATTGCCTGTGACTAAATGATATGTAATCATTAGTGTTTACAGTAGAGTGTCCTTTATTGAACTTAAAAAGCTGAACCAAACTAATATTACATATTTCAAAGTGTATTTTTTATATTTTGGTGTCACACATAATTAAGGTTACTGTTTCCCACAGTAGAGACTTGGAACTTTTATGTGAATTTTCATTGTTGCAGTTGGTTGAGTGTGACTTCCTATTGCTGACAGGGTATTAATTTATTATCGATCATAGATATACACCTGGTCCACAGCTGGAACTGAGTGGTCCAGCAGATTTTGGTGTGACAGTAGCTGATGGTAAAGTCTTAATGCGTGAAATTTATATAACAAATGAGGGATCATTGACAGGAGAGTTTAAAATAAGGTACAGTGGCAACCAGCCAATCACAATTATGCCATCAGGTGGCATCATTAAGCCAGGAGCAAGACAGTTTGTCAAGGTGAGTTTAACCATTAAATATAGAGTCACTAAAAGTATTTTGGAACAGGAAAATGGACTTAGCTAAAAGAGTTCAAGGAATAACTGAACAGAGCACTGCCAGATTTGATGTTCAATAGAATTAAATCGCAATAATACTTGATTATGGTCAGGTATCATATGATCATTGTCTTTGTTCTTTTTCTCCTTAGCAGAGAATAGGGCTGCTTTCCCTTCTCTTCAGGATTCCCTCTATTGCACAGATAAAGCTATTTCAGTTGTGGTTCTTAACCTATCTCCTTCAGCTCACTTTAAACCATTTTTAGCTCGATCTTGTTTGTACCTAATTATAGTTCATTTTGCTAAGGTTGAATTTATAAGCAAGACTCCAGGGGAGCTAAATGAAGAAGCACAGTAAGTGAATACTAACAGCTTTTTTATTGTTTTGCATCAAATGATTATCATTAGTTAGAGACCTTTAAACAAAGTGTAAGGAGCCAACCAAAGAACATATTAACTTATTTCACAACTCATTGCATCAAACCTCTAGCGATCAGTCAAAAATTTGCTTTTACTCTGCAGAGTCAAACTGGAAGGCCAATCTCCAACAACTCTTCAAATCATTGGGAATGTAATGGAGCGGTCTCTGGAGTTGTTGACTTTGGATACAGAAGAAAAAATTGAAACAATAAACTTTGGCTCAACATATTATGGGACAGACCAGACTCAGTCATTTCTTATTTATAACAATGGACCAGATGTTGCTAATTTTGTTGTTATATTGGAAGAGGGTGGAGAGGGACAGGAATTGGTATGTGATACCCTTTTGGGAGTGGTGACAGAAAGAACCACTATCCATGAGGGGATGTGCAGTTAATAATACACATTAGTAAATAGAGAGATAAATATGAAGTACTATCATGAGCTAGAAGTAAAAGATGGATAGCAATGTGAATGCATATACTTTGATAAACTTCAATTTTTTTGGGTGGAGTGGGTGTGAGGAGGAAGTCATTATTAGTGGATATGACATTGGTTGAGTGGACAGCACATGGAGAATTAGGGAAGTTTTTTTCCTTGTATTTGATAAGAGAGGAGTGTGAACTTTCAAGAAGTTTTACAGAAAAATTCAATGTTTCTTATATTGGTATACTGTCTGGCATCATTCTACATGTCTGTCTTTCAGGGGGTGGACTTGACCAAGAGTGCTACAGCAATGTTACTTTCTCAAACAAGTGCTCAAGAACTGGGAAATGCTAATGACTTGACAACACTGGTGACTGCCTTACCGAGCCAGGGGATCCTTTATCCACAAGAAAAAAGAGAGATTCACTTCAGATTTAGTCCAAGATACACAAAATCCAGGGAAGGATGGAAGGCTAGTGATCAACCTCCCCCAAGGAAAGATTACACTCTTTTTATGCATATAGAGACTGTTGGCAGTGTTTCTGGAGGTGGTAGTGGCAATGGAGGTGAGAAGAATGAATTAAAAATCATAGGTTTAATATTGCCAGGATTGAAAAGTTTATTGTTAAAAAAAAAACTTGTCTTGATTGGCTGTTCACTTGTTTCTTGTATGGCATTTGTTTGGTGTCCTGTTTTTGGTTTTTTTAGCACCTGCATTACATATCATTTTTGCCTACTATACATATTGATAATTTATTGCACTCTAAATCCTTGGATTAGAATCTCCACTCAAATTAGTGTCATCTCTTTGATTACATGCCCCTCCCATTTTGGCCAAAATTTATATCAAGTGCCCCTTCTCCTTTCTCTGTTTATGAGTGATCGCATTTGCCAAAGTTGTTAATTGTCTAATTTTTGTAAACTCCTACTCATTTTTCATCACAATGATTTTCAGGATCTAGAGTTGAAGTTGCTGTCTTAGGAACAGCTTTGCCTGTGCTGCTCTCTATCTCACCCAGTCCTGTGTTCAAGTTTGGAGAATGTTCAGTTGGTGAACAAGTTGATGCACTGTGCACTGTAAACAATGAATCAGCCAGCTTGCCATTGATATTTTCCCTACACTCAACAGCACACTTCCATTCTTCACCATCACAAGCTCATATTAATCCAGGAAAGTCGTTAGATGTGCTGTTAACTTTCAGGCCCAATCAGATGGGATCATTTAAGCCAGTTGTTCCTCTGGAGGTTTTAGGAGGCACTGTTGAGCAGTTTTCATTTGATGGGGATCCTACTGTAGTGAGGTTAATGGGCTCAATATTTCATAACCTGTAAAGTCAAGGATATATATTTTTGCCTGCTCCTGTATAGTTTTAGAGCAAAGAAATGCAAAATTTACACAGCCATTGCTGTTTTTGTTTCCTTCTTTTTATTTTGTTGGTTTTAAATGTGTGAATAAGATCCCAGTGAACAACAAGACTATTGATGTATGGTTTATGTGCTCGCTTTTGTTTTGTACTTTATGTCTTTAAGTTATTGATTTATTCTGTCAGGCTGGTACCAATATATACCACTCCAATCACTCTTCATGGTACTGGAACCAGAACAACCAATAAACTCAAAACACAACCAGCACCTGGAGTTCCACAGATTGCCCATCCAAATGATCGTGCAACCAGTGTCCGGCCAGCAAAGAGAAATGAAAATGTCAAGTGAGTAACAAAGTGTATCTATACAAAATTACAATTCCTGCATCAAACAACCACATTTGGAGAGGTAATTAAGCATACAAATCCTGATTTAAAAATAACTTTGTTTTTCTCCTTACCTGCAGCTAAAATGACTGATCCTTTTATTCCAATATTTTTATTTTGCAATTGTGCAGCTATGTGTAGTTAATAGAACATTTTTTTACAAAAAGATAGAAGTTGAATGAAAACTTTGTTTTCAAGGACATTATTCACAGGTATTGAGAGGTATACCTATGTAGACCCTGATTATGCCTTCACTGAGGAGGAAGAACAACTCAGATTGCAACATAAGCAACAATATTTGGACTATATTAAATCTTTGAGGAAAAGTAGACAAGCTGACAGTAAGAGAAGGTAAATAAATGGCATTAAATCCAGCATTCTGTTTGACTTTATATCTGACTCCGTAAATCAAGAAGGGGAGCATCTCACCAGTATGACAGATGTGTACAGATGTGGGACCTGATGTAAAGTAGATACCTGACAGTGTTAAATATCAATGTTAATCAGAAGGGTAATTAGTATCTAGAGAAAAACTTGAGATGATTTCTAGGGAACTTAACATGAACCCCTTCAGTGTTAAATTGACAGTAGTCTGGCTAGTTGGTGTGGACTGATGTTAGGTGCCCAAAGCCAGATCTGACCTTAAAGAAAACCAGATGCCATTTTCTTTAAAAGTGGAAAGTGCATATGGTGCAGTTTCACAGAAATTTAGTTTTGTGAATACATACTTGAAAACCTGGAAATCTGCTGCAATTGAATTGTTGTATTTGGGAGTAACAAGTGAAGCTGGTGCAGACAGTAGTCTGGCTAGTTGGTGTGGACTGATGTTTGGTGCCCAAAGCCAGATCTGACCTTAAAGAAAACCAGATGCCATTTTCTTTAAAAGTGGTTATATGGTGCAGTTTCACAGAAATTTAGTTTTGTGAATACAGAATCTACATTGAATTGTTGTATTTGACATGTCTTGTCCTATTATAATTTACAGAATCTACATTAAGTGTGACATGTCTTGTCCTATTATAATTTGCAGTGACTTTCATCAGTTAAATAATGACACTGATTTAGGAATGAAAAGCACCATAGGATTAAAACCTCCCAAGATCTCAGCAAAAGAGCTTACATCCCCAGTCAAAGGTAAATATTTAATATCTTTCTCTGAATTCTCCCCCAAGAAGCCTTACCAGAGATAGATTCCAAGTAAATAATTTTCTTGAATGAAGTGGTTAAATTACAACTGTCAGGAGGCAGACCAGTCTACTTTTCACAATGAATGAGTTGCCAGTAATTAGATCCTTGTGTTTGCGAACAGATCTCTGGGATTGCCATAGGGCAAACATCGTAACTCACAAGAAAAAATTGTACAGTGAAAGGTTGTTCTGATGTCCAAAAAAAACTATTTTAGAGATTATCACTTTTTTGCTGCTGTTTTATCAGAAATGGATATGGGTCATGCATTTTGATATAAGGGAAGCATGAGTTTTTGTTTGAAGAACCATAAAATATGTAATAAAATCTACAGATTAACTTGTGTCCTTAGGCAAAGGTTATTGTGAATTTGACATAGCATAATGGTCTCAAAATTTAGAAAAACCAATAATAAATTGCCAAGGAATAACTCAACAAAGTCTTTTCAGTTTTTTTGGAGGTGTTTTAAGTCTATACTTCTAGCTTTTTTGGAAGCTTAAGGAAGTACAAAAGAGCACCACAAAAGTTACCTCAAGGCAGCAGGAGATTGATATGGTGTGTTCAAGCATACATTAAAGTGATAAAACACCAGTCCTACACTGCTTCTTTGATGTGATCAATAAGAACGAATCAGTGTTGATAATTGGCTCAAACTGAAACCTCTCTTCTGTGACAATGAGTGATACAAATTGGTCTCTTAAGGAGTGATGCACAACTGGTGATATGTCTACAGTTTCTGCTAGAGTTCCCATGATCTTGCTTTTCCTGACAATATCCTTCAAGTGGTTCGAGAAGAAAAATTGCTGTTCAAAGACCGTTGAAATTTTTCTCAAACAAACTATCACTTGACATAGTGATTTCCTCATGTTTTTCATAGCTTATTTTATGTTTTCAGAGAGCAACAGCTGGGTAAAAATAATTTAATTTCCATCTCTGCTGACAACGACTTCCCTCCTTTGAGGAGGTACATTTCCAAATGTCGTAATTTGTTTACTATATGTTAACAAGTATCAGAAAACAGTCTGTACTTATATAAATACAACTGAAAGACTTAAATGAGTTATTTCCCAGCTATTTATGGCTAAAATATTTCAAGACCATTACATGATGACGATTTCACAATAGACCTTACACAAGGAGAGAAGTTTTACAGTATTTTTATAACATATTTCGTGGTAATTCCAACAAAAACTAACACTTCCCTGGTATTAACATTATCTTTATCCATTTATGATAAAACTGTGGCAAAAAAGCCAAAATCACTTTTTTGGACCTTCAACCAAACTTTTGCCATACGTTCCTTTCTAGCGAGTTACAATGTTTGCCCCATGGCAATTCCAGAAATCTGTGCACAGACACAAGGATCCAATTACTGGCAACTCATTCATTCAAAGAAAAGAAGTTGAATTTTGAATAACTTGAAACAATTCTAGTGACTATCAGGGCACCCCAATCTTTTCATCTTTCTTAGTTCTTCTCTAGCATTTTTTTCTAAAAACTGACAGTCTGGTAGACCTGATGAAGTGGTCCATGAGCCAGACTATAAATTATTCTATGGATCAGTCTACGGACTGTGCTGTGGGCTAGCACAGGTTTTCAGAACGCCTGCCAGGAAGTGGATAGGTACTCAAGTTTAAGGATCATTAGTAGTGACTGTTTCTTACATTATTATACAGCTCCTTCTCCAGTTAGTGATGAAGTGAAGTTATTGAGTTCCATGGCACTTGCAGATGAAAAGTCAAAGACCCTTTCAAAAAAAGTGAGGAAATTTACAAATAATCTGTTGTGGTAATTAAGTTATTGATTATTCTTTAAAAGTTGCTTAGAAAAATGATATTGGGGAACCAACAAGAGCTTCAAAATTTGTTGAAGTAGGCATCAGACTCTGCAAAAGCAGATGACTGTGAAAAGTTCCTTGTGGGCCAAAAGGTAATTATTTTTACCAAAGCAACTAGCAACATTTTATCAAACTCCAGCAGTTGCCAGCTCATTTTGAAACCCCTGGAATCAATTAAATGTGCTTTTGAAATTAGTTTAATATCTCTTGGTGTCAACATACATGTACATTCACACACTTTATGGTTTTCATGTTTCCCTTGTAGTTGAGTGATGGCTTGAATGCTGTGCCAATGACAGAAAGGGAGAAGCATGACTGCTCCTCAGTACTTTCTCCACAGGAATTAAAACTTGTAGATATTGGTAAGTTGGATGGAATATAACAGAAGTCACTATTTGTGAAATGATAAGTTGAATTAAAAGTACCTTACACTTTTCTGTCACCAAATGACTCATTCCTACCCTTCTTTTTTTTCATAATTTTTTCATATTTTCAGGTCCTTCTCTGATGGACTTTGGACAAGTCTGTCTACGTTCTGCTAGCAGTAAAGATCTAATGATTGTTAACAACTTGAATAGTTTCATTCATGTTGTTGTTGAGGTAAGAAAAGTGTATTCTTTCTTTGCTTGACTTTCTGAATATCTTAAATCCAGCCCAAGATGGTTTGTGGTCTTGGTAAGCTTAACCTTGACTAGATTTTTCAGTATATTCCATTGGGGATCACTTTACTTAGTCAACATGATGGGACCATAACACCATAGACAAAAGCAATATTAAGGTTATCACTTTTGTCTGAATCAAGGATTTCAGAGTTTCTTATGCTTAGATAAAATCTTTTTTTTTTGTAGATTGACTGTCGTGAACTTCGTCAAACATCTCCATTGTCACAAGTAATTCCCCCAAACTCAGTTGCAAAGCTGGCAATGATGTTTGAATCAAATGTAAGGGGCAGGTTTGAAAGGTAAGAGAAATATTTGCTGATATCCAGCAAAGGTTTGAAATCTGTTTTTTTAATCATTTAAAATCTATTTCATTTGTAGGAGCATTAATTATAGCATTAATGGCTATCACCGTCAGCACATTGTTGTCTTGGCAGAAGTTGTTTCAGTAGCTTTGGAACTGTCAGGTGATAAAGTTCTGCTTAGACCCTGTCCAGGCTTATTGGCTGATTCAGGTGGGTGGAGTTTTTTAAACATTATTTTCCTGGATGAAATTGCTCACCATAATTGTAAAATACACATTTTCAAATAGCTGGAGGTACTTTAATTTCAGTGTTTGTGACTTGATTCTTGTGAGTTTTTTTTGCAGGTCTTAGAGGTTCCATCACATTGATAAATAAAAGAAACTACCCAGCTGAATTTTCTTGGTCCCCTGTTGTAAATGAAAGGGGCACAGCATTCTCCATAAGACCATCAATAGGTATACTGTTTTACTTACAGAGCAAATAGAGATTTACCTTTTAGCTATAACAGTGTTTTCCATTTCTTTCTTTATAGTTACTGAATAATACAATTTGTTTCAGAAGCATCATACTACAGTCTTCCCTGTTTTAAGAAGGCAAATCCTATGTTTGCCATGTACAGGTGCCTAAATTCCTTGTACAAGAAGACTATGTTGTATTTGTGAGATCTCTTTGCCTAATGCTGATGTTGCTTTGTTGAGCTTCAACAGAGAAAAAATATATTAAGGAAACTGTGATATAAAAAATTTATGAATTGTAAGAATTGAACTAAAAAGCATAAATCACACAGTTGAAACAATATTATCAAAAAATACTCAGTGAAGAGTCACACAAATGAATAATTTGATTTTAAAAATATGTTTTTTAGGCACTGTTGATGCATTTACTAGCCTGGAATGTGAGGTTGTCTATCAACCAACATTTTCTGCTCCTGAGGAAACAGATTTCCTCGTTCATGTGACTGGAGGAAGTGATTTGAAGCTGACCTGTGTAGCTAAGGTAATTGTACATTGATGTACACATACGGAATGCCAGTTGATATCACTAATTTGCTGCTTCTGTTCATGTTCCACCAGAATAGTGCTTAAAGTGCATTTTAATTGTGCAGTTCTAGATTTGCTACCAGTATACTCCCAATTGTTTGGAAGGGGGCAATGGTGATTAGTTTAGATCAGCTAAATCCAAATGTTGTTTATGTTGTAGCTTAGCTCTACTCACTGCACATTTGTGGAAAGAAGGCTTTTGTTTGGCTCAGTGCCACTTCATTTAACAACAGTGAAGTCTGTGTCACTTCAAAACACAAGTCAGAACCATGCTTACTTTGAGGTTTGTCAGTTCTCTTTAAACATCTAATACTTTAGATATATAAGGCAGTTGAAAAGGCACATATGGAATAACATACTTGAAGATGTATCAGGGCTTTTAGGAGAGCAACAATGAAAGTGAGCAATTTTTTTTCTAAAAGTTTGATTAGATACTAATCTAGCTGCAAGTTGTTGAGTTTGAGTGTATTGAAGTAATGTGTATGTATGACAGATTGTTTTGTTGCAGATGGTTAACTCTAAATTTTATTTACTATAAATTAGGTGATTGACACTTGTCCTATCCCAGGCATGATTATCTCTCCAAAGGAAGGAGTTGTTCCAGTTGGGGGAACAGCAGAACTCCAGGTAATTTCCATGCCATTTCTTTTTGTGTAATCTCAGTGTATGGTTACTGGTCCCTCTCAATTAGGTTCAAAACGGTTTTAAGGAATACCGGTAATTTGGACATGAGTTTATTTAATCAGTTTTCTATCAGGAATTATGGAGACAGATGTATTTTGTGTGAAGAAAGTTCAAATAAAAGGAAAAACTCTATACATTGCCTCAATTGGTTCATTAGCTTTTAATTTACAACACCTACATGCATCTTCTTAATCCTCAGGTGGAATTTACCCCTAATAGTATCCACAAGTTTGATACTCACATTCAGGTGAATGTGCGAGGCTGGAAGACCATCTCACTAAGGGTGGGAGGCACAGTAGAACCTCCTTGTGTGGACATCGATGTGGTAAGTTCACAGAACTGTTGTTAATATGCTGGTGATCTTTCCATATTACTCTCTCTCTTGTTTTTGTTGTTATGGCATCACAATTTACACCTGAGTCATCTTACTCCTGACTAGTATAGACAAAACTGATTGAAATTCCAAAGACTGATTTCTTTAAATTGAGTCATTGACTGCATGGTTCACATGATTCTTCATACTTGTTTCAAAGTGCTCATGGATTACTTTGTTTTGCAGAATTTATTTCAGTTTGGTGGAGTCCACTGTGGTGCATTGGCAACTATTAAATTTCTCTTGACCAACAAGGTATATTGAACAAAATATTTTTGCTACAACTTAAGTCACATATCAATGTGGTAATGACAGTTTTTAATGTTTAGACTCGCACTCAAGCCAACATGGTATTTGACCTGAGCAGATACCTGGACTTTTCACTCAAGTTTCTGGACAATGATATTGAGGGTATGTATCTACCTTCCATACAATTGGTAGCTCTGACTTGCTTGAAATTCATTAGACCAAGATTTTTTGTTTGTTCTGTTGTTTTCACCAGATAATCAGTCTGTCTGACTTGCCATCTCTAACATTCAGCAGAATTTTTATTTGTTTTTGTCTTTTAATTTCACAGATGATCCAGTGGATGATGGCAATGGTGTTTACTATGTCTCATTAAAAAGTCAGAAAGTCTTGGAATGTGCTCTAGAATTCCAACCTTCGGAGGTACATAGTTACTTATGTAATGTTTTGAATGAAAGGATTTTTCTGCCATCACATATTTTTTTCACAACTCTGCATATTAATTATAATTAATATTTAAGTTGATAAAGATTGTTATCGTTTTTTCAGGTTGCATCTTATGATTTTATTATCCCTGTCAGCATCAATCACACTGTAGCTCCCACCCCAGCACCTTCAACCTTTCCTCCAACACCTGCTCCCTCACACATGAACTGGACCATATCTGAGCTCATAACCCCAGTACCATCCCTAGCTGGCGTGGCCACTCCCAGTCGACGCATAGTGGCAACAGCTCTGCGTCCCCCACTACAGATTTCACACTCTGTTTTGGAGTTCCATCTTCCATCTGGTTACTTTGAACTTGGCATTGAATCTGGGGCAGGACGTGCTCAGGTGAGTTGTGGATTGGACAACATAAAACTAGAGTTTTATTATTGGGCTTACTAATATGTAATTAATGATTAAATGATAGTCTTTTTACTGATGATGATGATTACAATAACAGTGATCAGTCAGATATATTTTCATATTCAGCAATAGGTATTTTGTCTTTTCTTGTCAAAGTGTTAATGAACAATGTGTTTCTGATTATCAGGGCTGTTTGTTTGTAAACAACAGTGACAAACCCCTGTCTTGGACTTTACACACTAAAGCTGCAGGACCCTTATTGGAGGATGGAATCTTTAAATTTCTTCATAGAACAGGGTCACCGTTTACACCATCCTCAGCAGGGAAGAAAAGTGTTATTCCTGATATTACCTTGGAAAGTGGAGAGACATTTCAGTTGGGAGTTCTGTTCACTCCACGTAAGCAAGCCTTGTGGTGCTTTTTCATAAGTTAAGTCAGTTATGATGCTGTTGTTGTCATCTCTGACCAATAGCTAACTAAGAAACATTTTAAGCCACCATTAGGCCATTGGGACAAAAGTCTACATGTATCAATATTACCACAGGGCATACTCTTTCCCCTCGGATGATAACTCTTATGTTGATAAACAAAAGTCTACATGTATCAATATTACCACAGGGCATACTCTTTCCCCTCGGATGATAACTCTTATGTTGATAAACAAAAGTCTACATGTATCAATATTACCACAGGGCATACTCTTTCCCCTCGGATGATAACTCTTATGTTGATAAACAAAAGTCTACATGTATCAATATTACCACAGGGCATACTCTTTCCCCTCGGATGATAACTCTTATGTTGATAAACAAAAGTCTACATGTATCAATATTACCACAGGGCATACTCTTTCCCCTCGGATGATAACTCTTATGTTGATAAACAAAAGTCTACATGTATCAATATTACCACAGGGCATACTCTTTCCCCTCGGATGATAACTCTTATGTTGATAAACAAAAGTCTACATGTATCAATATTACCACAGGGCATACTCTTTCCCCTCGGATGATAACTCTTATGTTGATAAACGTTCTCACTTTGACTTTCACTTCCTTTTAGAAATGTGAAGTTTAATATTCAAGTATGCTCATGCTAAAGAAAGTGACAAATATTTCAGGCCAAAATTGTATTTGAAAAATATGATGGAAACATTTAGCTGTTGAGGAAGTGTCTCCTAGTGATGGGATTAAAAAAAAAAAAAAAAGCTCTCTGAGATTACTAAGAGATATCATCCTTGATGTAAGCTTCTGTTTAATCTCCACAGAAAGCCCAGGGTTATTTGTGGCACATGTTCCTGTAATATTAAATGGCAATAGAGAAATGCCGTATCGGACATTGACCCTCAGAGGAGAACTGCTGGCTCCAAGCCTCACTTTTGATCCTGACAGTATTCGGCTAATGCCTGTTCCTCTTAGTACCAAAGTGTCAGTGAACTTCAACATTACTGCAAGGGGATACAGAAGGTATAGTACACACAGGATTATTATTCAATTTGTTTTCTTTTCCTACAGTTATAGCTTCTTTCCTATTGTTTCTTCTACTTACTGTTACAATTTTTCAGCTAAGGGGCCTACCAGTTTATAAGTTTGCTTGTCGTCAAGTCTTATTGAAGGTCGTAAAGATTATCTTCATTTTTGTTCCTTAGACCATTGTTTTTGTGTTAATTTGGCTATGTATTATTGGTTACCTATTTCCATCAGAAGCATGTAACCTACTTCTAGATTATATGCTCCTGATTTCAGGTAATTCTACTTTTGTCATTTCAGAGCTTCAGTGTTAGACTGTGAAATCCCACAAGTAGAATTAGAGGATGGCAGCTTGCAATCGGTGCTGGAAATAACATTTCCTGGTGGACAGTCAATTCAGCCCTGTTGTACTAACGATGACAACACACAACCTTGCGTGATTCCTTGTACTGTAACATTCCAGTCCCCCAGCCCTGTTACTTGCAACACAGCTATCGTCTTCACAGATGGAAAGGAAAAGTATGACGATAAATTGAAGGAGCTTACCTTGGATCCTTAGCTTGCTAAGCAATACTCAATTTCCATGTAATCCATATCTGATTAACCTGACCTTAAGCACGACAAAGTGCAATAGCATTTTTTTACCTGTGACAACCATACTTGATTCTCGTCTCACATTCGTTTGTACTGACGTAAAGTATTTTCATCTGTGTCTTCTGCATTTTAGGTACGAGCTGCCTGTGACTGCCACTGCTGATAACTGTTTGTTCTCCTGTTATCCCTTCCTGGCTGCTCATCAAACTGATTTTCATATCGTCTGTGAACAAAAGGCAATATCCATTAAAAATAAACAAACAGACACCCAAGACTTCCCACCTGGGGAACCTGTGTTCATGCCGTGCATAACCCCCAACCGTCCCCCCACAGTAGCCTCAACAAGTGCAACAAGCACTAGCTTTGGTATTAGCACGTCAACATATCCCGAGTCAAGTAATGAAGCCACGTCATCAACCTACCCGTCAACGCCACATCACGGGGAATCCCAACCAGAGGGCCCTGTTCGGGGGCCGTCTGACGGGTCTGAAACAAATGGGACCTTTGTCTTGGGGCCTGGAGTTGAGAGTGATGAGAGAAAGTTCATGAGGAAAGTTGTTGGTGCAGTGCAGAGGTGAGCGAAATTATAACCGCATAAAGTGCTTTTACCGTTTTTGCGTCTGCGTCATCATAGCACAACTTGATTAGTTTCTCTCTCGCATATATTTTCCAGATACTTCTCTGGACAGGGCTGGTCTGGTGGGCCCTACCCAATATCGATACCTCAGACTCTGCGATCGGCCCTCCAGGACACAAGTGATCCTCAAGTTGGTGGCACTGGGGCTGCAAGGACTTCAAACTGGGATAATAATTCCAAAATAGAGCTGAGATCAGCATTTGATCTGATCAGTCATATGTGTGGTCGTCCTGTCCCAGGAATTCCACTGGCATCTACTCTTCCAACTTGTCCAATTGATCGTGTGCGACAGGTTCACTGGATGTACAGCACACTTCTTACGTTTTTGAGGTACTCTTGTCATCAATTTCTTTGTTAAGTGTTTTGTGGGAAACGAAAGAGGGAGAATTTTTCTTGGGACCTCCTACAATGTACATTTGTTTTTATTCAGTCAAATCCATTTGCTAATTGTGCAATTCTTGGTGTACTTACTACTTGTTCTGTGCAATGCACACTTGTCACTCGGGAGTTATTACAGTTAAATGTATACTGATGATAATTTCTTTCCCAATTGTGTGTTTGACTGTCATGCAGGACTCAGGGTGCAATGGTGTCTCATGTTAAACCAGAAGACTTGTTAGATACCGCTGACTATATCCGCTGGCACAAAATCCATGGAAAACTCAAAAGAATGGATAAAGAAGATTCCAGCAAGGAAAGAGGGATAAGCAAGTTGGAAGTAGCACAGTTTGAGACTAGCTCTACCCAGGCATGGACTCATATCCTGCTACAACTCGTTAAGGTAATATTTGATAACCTTTTTTACTTGCAACTTCTTTATTAAGAGTTTTTAGTTGAATTATTTCCTGAATTTTCACTTACCCTCTCATATTTCACTTTAGGTTTTAATACTGAGCCGTATCACCCCGCATCAGTTCAAGAAGCTTCAGTTTCCAAACAAGAATATTCCACTGCCTGAAGTGAATCCCGATCCACTGACTAGCAATGTTTATAGTGTGGGAGAGCGGATCTTGTTAGCGTGGATCAACCATCATTATAATGTCCAGAGAAACATCAGTTGGCCTGCTGCTATTGGTGGTGAGTCCTGCTCCGTCAGACACTCTGCTGTTGACTGTTATTACGGTCTTTACCTGATAATGTTATCTAAATGCCAGAGGGTGGTGTTTTTTAAACCCCAAACCTAAACCTAAATTTGTTTTGATGGACGAGTAACGTTTCGTAATTATTTCTCAGACCACCTTTGATGTGAGTGTTATTTATCACCTCTCATTAGAATTTCCTCTACCCCTGCAGGATCCAGTCCTCCGTGCCGGTGGATTGTGAACTTCGATGTCGATTTCATGGATGGACTGGTTTTGGCAACTCTTGTAAGCGCTCATGTGCCGTTTGCGGTAAGATGTCGTTCATGTACTATGTGCTTTTATCTCTACGAGTGATTTTGTTTTATTCTCAACACTTAATAACATTTATTACCTGTTGTGAGAACATAACAGCGGCGACGAGCCTTGATCATGGCTTATGCTTGTTGGTGAATGGGAGGGTACTTATGTCTCTGAGCTAATGACTTATTATGTTCGCAGATTTCAACCCATCTTCATTCCATGTACACTCGGCCCAGCAAGGCTGAACAGTGCCTGCATAATGTGATCAAGGTTGTTGAGGCTCTCAGGCACATTGGTTTGGACTATGATATTCAGGTTAGAAATTAATGACTTCATAAGTTATCGTATTCCACATTGCAAAACCTTCATTACCAAACAGAGCGCGGGATTGATTTTTTTTACAATTTCTATCTTACGTCTTTTTCTCTGTCGAAACTTGACACCATAAAAGCTTTCAAAGCTTCTTTTAACTAGTTTTGATAGGATGTGTTCTTGTCGTTGATCAATCAACTTTTCATTCACCACGTATATTGTAAACTTGCGATGTGTATCCTGTCAATAACATAACCATTGGTTGACTGGTTTGTTGGTTATTTTTGCTGTTATTGCAGCCAACAGACCTAACGGAGCCGAACCCTATCGCAGTTGTCCTGCTGTGCATTCATCTGTACCAGCGCTTACCTCATTACTTGCCACGCGCCACGGTCACCTTTGAAGGATCACTGCATAATACAGTAACAAAACATGTAAGGCTTTGTGTTTGTTTATTCTAGCCCTGTAAATAAACCTCGCTTTCTTTAGGCTGCCATTAGAGAGGCTTAACCAGTCGTTTTCTTACAATAGGTTCGACTTCAAAATCCTAGCACCAAACCCCTCGTGTATCAAGCTCTTTTGGCGGGGAAGGACGCGGCGGACTTTTGGTTACCAATGGGAGACACAATTCAGGTGAGTGATGATAACCTTAACGATAATGTCAGGCAATTTTATTTAGTGAGGTAATTTAAAGTGATTGTATTTTCTACGTTAGGTGTCACCTAAAGGCCAGCTACAGATGCCAGTTGAGTTCAAGAGCCGTTTTCTCAGACCGTGTAATGCAACTCTGGTTCTAGTTGGAAAACGTGAAGGAAGTCCATGTGGTAATACATTGGTGTTTACTTTGAACACCTGTATCAACAACATTTTGCCTGTGGTAAGGACATTTCATATCTGACTGCCTAATACTGAGTAGTTCACATTGTGATTTTTGGCAAACAGTTTGTGATATATAGGGTTAAACTATATTTTGTATGGTATAATCTTCCGGATGAGGATATTCATGAAATGAACTGTTGTCCAGACTATTACTGGCCCCATACAAATGACTTCTACAAGACATGAACCCAGCAAAGGAACCAAACAGAACAATCTAACCTTACTAACTGATTGAAAGTGACCAATCACGACTGACTTACGTTACTTGATTTTTACAGCCAGCTACTTAACGGCCAATAACTAATGAATCAGTTTACACGAACCAGACTCACAGGAGTCAACAGACAAACAACTCCTCAGTTTACACCTCACCATTATTAACAACTCCACTTTTCTGAAACACTTTCATCCGGATGATCATACTACACTATCATCTTTCACTCTTAAGTTGAAAACATTCACCGCGTTATTATTATTATTGTTATTATTATTAATATTGATAGCCGTTATTACTATTATTAGTAGTATTACTCATTATAACATTTCTTTTGAAGGCAACAATCACAAGTGAGTCACCATGCTACCAAATTCAGAAGGTAAACTTTGACATCACCAACCCATTTCCGTCGACCGGAGAGTTTCGTATTGTACTGGTAGAAGCTCGGAATTCGTTCTTAGGAACATCACCGCCCAAAGTGAAGGCCTCAAAATCCAGCAAGAGTTTAAAGAAGGTTGGGTCAAGGACTGATCACGGGTATGTAATGGTTTAGACGTTGTTTCTTTTATTTATGGGAATGAATATCTACTACATTCGATTGTGTCGATACACAAACAAACTGACACTGTTGTGTTGACTGTGGATATATGAAAATCATATACGTGAACTGCGGATTAAGAAATGAATTTGAAAGCGATCTTAGTAGTAATGAACACTGCTTAAGCAGTAATGAAAATAAGGCCTAAAAAAAATTCAGGCCTGTACGTGATATGAAACCATAACCTTTACGATACCGGTGTAGTGCTCTACCAACTGAGCTACTTAGCCAACCGGGAGTTGGTCGTTAAGTTGATTTGTAGTAAACCCGTGAAGTGATAGATAGATGACTACTGCTTAAGTAGTGTTCATTACTGTCAAGATGGCTTTCATATTCAATAGTTTTTTGTTCACAGGCAAATGAACAAATCACCAAGAAGAGAATTTGCTCCCAAAATAGAACAACATAAGATGGAGACAGTCACAGGTGAGTCTCTCGACTCTACTCTACTAGTTTTAAAAAGATCGCCATGGCATATCCTGGCTAAGCTGGGTGTGGACCTGTCTTCAACTTGCTGGGATCTTAATTTACATGGCCAGGGATCTTGATCATGAGTCAATGGCGGACGTCTCCTAATAGGCCGTTGTTGGATACGAGAGAGAACGACAGGGTAAATATTGAAAGTAGGGATTCCATCTTGATCTATGCACAAAAAGAGGATCCTTACTAGAACCATGTCGAAAAAAATCTGCTTATACCTTAGCTTTCTGGTTTCAGTAACACCTCTTACTATGTGGTTCACTTAATATACGATAGTTCTTTTTAAAGTCGGTGGTTTGCTTTTTTATCATTTTTTGAACCACCCGTGGTGTACAATGTTGTTCAGTTGTTTCGTGTATCACTCTAACCGTTTTTTGTTGTATTCAACAGCTCCTTCATCACCTCCTACACTAAGTGCTTTTTGGTCACCCATCAAAAACATTTACCTTGAGGCTAACAGCAGCGCCACAGCAGAAATTCACTTCTTACCTTTTGATGTTGGCTTCAGGCAGTGCTCAATCCTCTTTATTAATGAGAAGATTGGCGAGTTTCTCTACTGCATTGAGGCGACTGCCACCCCTCCACTGCCTTCCCCCATGCCGGTGGTCGCCTCCCCGCACAGTGTCCGGATCAGCAGCGCTGCAGCAGCTAGGGCTGGTAGGGGGGCATTCGGTGGGGACGAGAGGGTGGTGTACTGGAAATGTGATAATGACGAGTCTTTTACAGAGGACTTGTACATCCCACTTGTTAATGAGGCGAGAGAAAATGCTTTAGGTGAGTTATCAGGATTTAATCACATTAACTTATATTTAGACTATTTCTTGTCTGTTGTAAGTTTGTTGGAATTAGAGTTGTCGTTTATTTTGTGAACCTCAGCAATTACCGCTCAGCAGCGCATGTCAGAACGGGAGTTCCAGCGCCGAATGATGACAGGTACCTTGACCAGCTGTTCTGTCACCGCAAGTGTGGCTGCGCTGGGCCTGGGAGGCTTCAAATTCTTGCATCCTGGGGATCTTAAAATGAAGAGAGCGCTTGAAAGAGAGGTCACTGAGTTCCACACAGAGGTGAGCTCCAAGTATTTCCAGGCTCCCTCCAAGGTCATCATACCGGCGAGTATCGACAAAAAGAGTGGTAAGTTATTAAACTGTGCGACTTCTTCTTAGTTGGGCTTCTTTTTTATTGGACTTTATCTCAACAATCAAAACTGCAAAATAGAGTTTATTTTTCAGTTTTGATTGTTGAAAATTTTTGCACTTGATGTGCTGCTCTAGTTTGTATAGACTGTTTTAACGTTAGTAGTTGCTTTTAAAAAATTTTCCTTTTGAAAATAAGGAGTTCTATAGAACTTTGTTTATTGAGTTACAAGGTTAATCTCACTTCAGTTCAGTTAACCTCTGCCACATTTGAGTCCGGACCCTTGAGGAATACAGTCCCATTGCCAGTGACTTTCCAACCCAGTGGACCTGGGCACTACCCATGTCGAATTGTTCTTAAATCAGCGCATGATATGAGAGTATATCAGCTGGAATGTACTGTGACTTCCGCGGGCTCAGCTCTTGAGTTGGAGTTCACATCACCAACACATCAATCAGTTACTCAGGACATACCTGTGGTGAGTGTCGCTGTCACTAAACTGTGAAGAAACAGCAGGATGCTGGATCACAGATAGTTATTGGCAGAGGCCAATTTTTCGTGTGGAACAAAGAAATTAGGAGAGATCTGTATCCAGGGTTTGCGTTCAGACAAAAATCTCTCTCAGATTAAACTGAGAGTAGTTGGTACCGGCCATTCTTGGTTAGGGTTAGGGTTTAAAATGTCGATAATGTAGAGAATAGACGAACTTGATATTATGATATACAGTAGTAAGAAATGAAAAATCTGAGTCTTTTGTGACTAAGTCGATGGGTGAACAATAATAATAATACTTAACGATTGGTTTACTAGAATTTTTCTTCTCACTGCTCTTCCGGTAAAAACTCAAATTTTGTTCTAGAGGAGGTCTGATTGGAAGCTTGGAGCACTATTTAATTGATTCATAAGAAATGATAACAAGCCTTAATAATTACTGCGGTTCTTTTCACTACAGCGTCAATAAGTTAACTTGAATTTGAATTTACAGGTGAACCAAAGTAATCAGGACTGGCAGTTGGCAGCAAGCCTGGAGGGAGAGGGGTTCTATGGACCCCCTTTCATGGTAGCAAAATCTCGGCTCACCACCAACTACCCCTTGATGTTTAAACCCTGTTACGAAGGACATGTGGAGGTAAGCAGTAATACATAAAGTTCTACAGCCCTAAGAACTGTGACGTGAATGTATCTATAATATCTTTGAAACTATTTACGGTGGCCAATTTGCCTTGTCAACTCGATTGATAAACCAAAGTATCTTGTTATACTCCCCCACCGACGCAGCACCACTGTTTCTTCAGAAACTTACCCTCTTTATTCATTTGTCTTCAAACGTTTGTTGTCTCATAGGGAAAGCTTGTGTTGACGAACACTTTAGACGGCGCAGAGCAGGTCTACAGGCTACTGGGAACAGGGCAAAAGCCGCATCCACTGGATCACATCTTGATAGAGTGTCCTGCTAAACAAAGGTGAGTATTCTTTGTATTAACTGGAGTGTATATTTTTAGTTCTGTCATTCGCTCAAAAGCTCTTGTTATCAATAAGTGGAATTAGATTCAAACTAAAACCTTTATAGGCTATTTGTATTCTTTTTTTGTGATTGTCGCTGGCTGTGTGTTTTTCCTTGTTAATTACTTGTCTGTTCACATCCTTATTCGATTTTTCCTCGCTCTTCTCCTTTGTTCGCCCCATTTAACCATCAATCTGACCCTGAAATTCCAGAAAATCACTTGATATTTTTACTTGTCTTTTTACTTTAGTGCAACCTATAGCTTGCAAGTGCCAAATGTGACGAAAAATAAACTTATATTCCAGGTAAGCAGATATTTGATTGAACGTCAGTTTGTAACGAGTTCTCAGCCTTCAGACGGAAACTTCAATAATTTGTTTACGTATTTTCAGGTCAAGACTGACCTAGATATTGTTAGCGGCCCATCAGCAGTTACGGTCCTTCCAAGCAAGACCGCAGAACACGTGATCACGGTCTCACCTTGGAAACGAGGCACATTCAAGGGAATCGTTTCCTTTATATCATCCGGAAAGTATTCTGGCAGCCTTGATACTGCAAGGTGATGACGAAGGAATCGATAGATCTTTCTAGTCATTTATCCGAGACGAGTAATTAAGTCCTAAGCTTCGCTTTATTATGGATGTTTTATTCTATGGATGCTTCATTCTGATCGCAATGCAACTACCTTATGTTTTTTTGTTGTTTTTAGAGTTGAAGATGACGAGAAACAGGACGGCTTTATGGATTACAGGAAGGCTCCTAACGATGACGTTGAGGAACTCTTATCACAGGAGCTTATGGATGATCCTAAACTTCGACCCTACCGCTTGTGGTACACTCTAGAAGTTCAAGCCTCGAGACCGCAGCCTGAGAGAACCCTAGAAGTGACATGCGCAGCACATTCAGCAGTTGCAGTTGAAATAGCAGTAACTAACCCAACCCGAGATAGAATTGTTATGGACGTACTTATTGACGGCGTGGCTTTGTCTGGTGAACCCACAATCGTCTTGCAACCCCTACAGCAAGTCAGATATCAAGTGACGTTTGCCCCAACTGTGATTGGTGAATATACAGGCAGGTAAGGAAGTATCTCTCACTTTCAGTTTGTTTGATAGAGCGTACGTATAATACTTACCACATAATATACTTTGGTTTTGTTTCTGTTTTCAGTGTAATCTTCCAACATGAAGCAGTGGGAGAGTTTTGGTACAATCTTATGCTCAAGGCAACCACTCCTCATCCTTCACATCTTCCCCCAATTCATTGCGAGATTGGCAAGTGAGTTACAAACTTTCCAGCTGGAATAACTATCAAGTAAACTGCTCTTCTTGTGTTGTTGTAATAGCCGCGGTTACGGCTACTTTTTTGGTCAAATTACTTCTTCAGGTCGTGTCACCTCTTTAGAATATATTGTGCGATGCTTATCAAAATTTTTCACATCGTTTTACTCTTAATCTCTTAATTACTTAATTACTCTTAATTTAATCGTTTTTACACAAAGTTTTTTAACGCTTATCACCAAAAATCCTGATTGTCATACGCCAACGTTATAAAGTGACTAATGATTGATTTATTTCAGGTCCACTTATCAGATGATTCGCCTCCTCAATCCAACAGACGAGTCTCTTGTCCTCACACCTCACAGCTCAAACACAGCTAACTTCAATCTGGAACTGGGTGACACAAAACAGATCTTATTGGCCGCAAGTGGTTTGCTTGAAGTACCAGTCAAATTTACACCATCGGCTATCGGACAACTGCACTCCGCGGAGATTTCCTTTCACTGTCCTCAGGTGATTCATTTCTTGAAGATATTTTAGCGATTTGTGGTATCTCAAGCTTCAGGAAAGGATAATAATAATTTCACAGATAATACTTTCACAGCTGGAATTATTTGTGCTATTTTTCAGCTTGGCAGTTGGATTTTTCTGGCCTCTGGTACTGGAATGATGCCAGGACCTGTGGATCCAGTCAACATCTACTCACAACTTGGAGGCAATTCGTCTGTTATTATTCCGTTCGAAAACCCTACGGAACGTCAAGTCATCGTAGACGTTGTAATGAAGGAGCAGCTACCATCACGGAGTGGTAAGTTCAGTCTGTAAACAGAACTTCTGTCCGATTCTGATTAATATCAGAAGTCCCCTAAATTTTCCTCGGCCATGTGAGGCATAGCAGTAATCCTCATCATAATTTGACTTCAGATCCAGCCCTCCCTGGCTTTAAAATACAGTTTTGCAAGGAATGTGTCTCATTATGACTACCATTATTACCATAACTGTTGTTATGATTATATATTTTTTTATTATCACTATTGTTTGTCCATATTTTTCACTATATTACATGATGTGTTGCATGTTGTCGTAGTAATGCACTTTTCCGTACCAACCCTTTTCCAAACGCTAACCCTATTTCTTGTGTTTAGGCTCGTTGTTCACAAGCCTGCGTAGCGACACTCAGCCCAAAGACTCAGTGTTCTGTCTCCTGCTCAAACGAGCTAAAGGGATAATTCTAGAACCAGGGGCTACCCTGGATATACCAATCTCCTTTGCACCAGACACCATGCAGCTACACGAGGCTACAATAACTGTGACCATGCACAGAGACACTGAGGACACTTGGAATGGGAACTATCCAAGCGTGATGAGCACGCGTATGGTGAATGAACTTCACTGGATAATTCCTGTCCGAGGTATCCCAGAATCATATCCTATCAAGGAATCCCAGGCCCCGTGTATTGAGTGTAAGGCTCGGAGCCGAGTGGAAGAGAGACTGGAAGTAACGCTTACCGGATTGGCCCCTAATAACGCCACTTCAGGTTTAGGGCGTTACCCTACCATCACTCCCATCAATTTGCTAGGGCGCCACCTACCTGGAGAAATGGAATATGGAGTGGACTACTTGAATGTGCCTGAGGAATTCAGGTGATTACTCTAATAATTATGGGTAGTCTTTTCTTCTTTGTGGGAATTTTGCAGTTTTCATAAGACCTTAGCAAACTGGCAAAATGCGACATTTCTAGCTGATGGTTTCAAAGGTTTTTTTTCCAAGATATTGAGGCATTGAAAAGCGACGACTATGAGAGTATTTTTCCTGTTAGAGGGTTGAACTCGTTTTGGTTTAAGACGATGATTAGCCTAGATGAGCGAATTCGAAACTTATGATCGGAATGTCATATTACAGATCACCCAAATTCCCTTCAGTCCTTTGTAAGGAAGTTGGTCGCTCTTTCCCTATAAACGCCAGCTGACTCAGTGCGTAATGTATCTTTTTTATTGTTTTACTGGAGCCAGTCACCATAAAAGCATTCCATTCTGTAGTCGTGTGTTTCTAATGCATAAAAGTCATTCGGTAGTTTGACATGTGGTTCTCGCGGATATTTGGCGAGTTCCGTCGGAGCGAGGAAAATAACCAGCATTGAGTCCAAAGAGACCCCTGGAAGGCACATGTAGGTGAAATAAAAGATCTTTTGTATGACGTGGTAAAGTTTTATGTTTAATTGTTAAAAGAAATCCTCCTAAAACACCTATAGGTATGAACTAATTTATGATGATGCAGAATGTCAGACATGTCTTGAACGATCGCTGGGCGTGAGTCTCATGAGGAAGATCAAGAATCAAGTGTCAGGAGTGGTCATTCTTGTGTTTAACTTTGTATTCTCACCATTTAAGCCATTCAGGTAAGTAGGTGATGAATGTAAACAGAATCAGTAAATCAAATGCACGTTGACAAAGAGCAGCGACCTGCCGACCACACACCAACGCTATACCGTGTAGGGATTGTCTGAACTTTGCCTCCTAGTAGTTTCCACTTACCGCCTTCCTCCTCCACACACTTTGATTTTTTTACCGAAATATTCAGATATTCAAAGCCTGTTTTTTCAAGGAAAAGTTCGAACTTCTGACTTTATCTTAAATTACATGGGTTTTTTTAGATATAAGAGGCGGTCGTTATGACCGTGATTGTGATGTAGAGTAACTAACATCCCTTGCTAGTGTGTTGTGGCTGTTTTTGTCTTCAGCCACAAGACTCAGTTAATGATATCAGCAGCTTCCGGTGGGGTTTGGAGATTTCCTCTGAGGGTACTTGCCACTGAACCGGAAGTCGACGATACGATTACTATCGACTCTGTTGGACTGAACAAGGAGTCAGTTGTGGGTTTCAGAATGACGAGTCAAATGAGGTAGGTTGATTGAGCAGAGAGGGATTTGCTAAACTGCATCAGAAGAGAAAGTTGGTCAAGTTTGAACAATTCACTTAGAAGATATGGACAGTTTTGGAAGCATGTACCTAGTGCGCTGCTTTTCCTTTACAGTCATTCAAGCCAGACGTGTAAACAAATGTTAAGCGTTTTTTCATCTTAAAATTTATGTCCGTTCTCTCTATTAGACACACCCTTCCGTTTGAAGCGTTTTTCGCTCCTAATTCTGACCCGGAGTTCACAGTAGCCCCAACATCCGGTGAACTAACTCCTGCAGGTACCGAAGGAACACTTATCAAGGTTTCGTATAAGCCCCAAATTTACGGCAAAACGCACATGGCCAAACTGGTAGTTCAGGTGAGCAAATAAACTAGTCAGTCTGATCAAGTGATACTTATAAATGATATTTTCTTTCTCTCAGGTTTTACTGATCAGTTCCAATACATGAATTTGCTAATCGTTGCAAGGGTACATCAACTTTACCCAGCTCGCCTTCCCGCCATAAACCAGCATGTTTCCTCTTTCCCTTTCCCTCACACGGAACCGCATAAAAAGAAAAACAACTTGCTAATGTTCATAACGTACGTTGATGAAAGAATGCAAGACTAAGTGAACACCTTCTGCGAAGAGATTTAGCTTCTGTTTTCGATGTATTTCCTTTTCGTGGTTTGTTCTATTTGTAATACTTGTTCATGCATTCAAACAGCAGCAAAATGTAACGATATCAAACTTGTGATTACTTGTAACAGCTGTTACTCCCCGTGCCCACCAAATTCACCGTCACTATTTGCATTGAAATAATTCGACGAGTGTAAGTATGTTCCCTCTATTCATGATCATTCAACTCTGCCCCTCGTTTGGTTTTACGAAATTTTGGAAATTGCTGGTTTATTTTGAAGCTATTGCCGCCATTTTCCTTAAATGGTCAATGGCCATACAGGGTCATTGATAGAGCATATAGTTCTCGCAATTGATATGCCTATGTGCATTGGTAACAATGCGTTGCGTATTTGGTCCACAGACCTCTGATATGCAGTGGACCTATGATGTCATCGGTACAACTGCTGACTATAGCCCTCCAAATGTGCGATCGAAAATCGTGTCTAATAGCGCCAACTTACGTAGGACAGTAAAGCAAAAGAAGAACTACGTACTGGACAACTTGAAGCTCCAAAGTACCGCAGTGTCATCTCCGTACAAAGGTGTTCCACTAGTGCCTCGATCAGCCAGATAAAATGCACACCAGACGGGTTTAACCATTTATATTATCATATGTACATACTATTTTCTAATGTGACATGCTCATTTCCACTTGCGAAAAATGCTTAACGTGTTGTAAGTTTGTTGGTTGTTTCTTTTCAAGTATAATATATCGTTTTGTATCTGGTTTACAGTAAACCATCTAACACTATAATAAAAGCATTTCTCAATTGAGTAGCCCCTCTTTACGAGTAGAAAATTGTTCCTTGGAATCATCTCTCAAAAGTGAAAATTAATTGCAGACTCTCTGCCTTTTGGCATTGATGGGAAAAGTAAGAGCTACTTTCCCTTCAAGTCGTTTGAATTAAATTAAAAATAATAAACTTGATGGAAATGTTTTTTGAAGATAGCCAAACCATTGAAATTAGAGAAAGTTGTTCTTCAATTGTGCCTAAGAAAAATGTTACTACCACATTTAACGTAAAAACCTTCCCCTGGGAAATAATCAGCTTGACCCGCACTCTGCTTCGGAGCCGGTGTCCCAGCGGATTTGGACCCCCCTAGAATTGGACCCCCCGGTCCAAATCCGCTAGCGGATTTGGACTCCCCCGCGGATTTGGACCCCTTTAACAAAACTGAGTAAAAACATTACCATACATAACTTCCTAATAGAAATAATAAAAATTTAGAAAGTAGGCTTTCAAAGAAAGTTTTTTTTTTCAGAAAGTAGGTTTTTATTTTAAAACATTCTCGTAGACGTGATCTTTTTCTCAGCATTGCGTCTCAATTTAAGATTTTCGTTTAATTAACCTGCAGCTGTAAGTCTGTTGTTTACCTCTGGAATGAAAATGAAACGTAAATTTTGAAATCATTTGTTTGCTTGCCAGTTCTCTTGAAAAAGTGTGAAATATAAAATAATAACAACCGTTGAATGCGTGAAAGCTTCAATTATGATTGTTTTTTTTTTTTTTGGTTTTGTGAAATACCGATTGCTCAAATCTCGACTTCTAAACTTCCGACAACTTCAACAAAAAGCCTTTAGTCAACGCAATTTCTCGAATTAAGCTTTTATTTTCACGAAGGTTCGAAAGAATCGGGAATTCGCTGTTCGTTTTCCTCAACTGATATGCGTTGCTCCGCCTACTTTAATTTTATACGGTTGAACAATTTACTTCTTTATTAAGTTATTCTGTTATGATGTTATTTTTAGGCGCACCGTTAAATAAACATCGCGTTGCGTTTGTGCTACTTGCTACTTACCTCTTGAATGAAAGTAATTAAGTTAAACTTCAAGTCTTTTTAGCGCTCTTGTCAAGTTAAAAACAGAGTGTTTGGTAGGGTGAATTAACAAAAAGTAGATGATAGACAATAAGACACCGCTATATTCTAATTACATTGTTTTCTTTCCTTTTCTTTTTAATCTTTTTCTCGTCTAGATTCTTTTCTTTTTGAAATCTAGCGCTTTTCACCAGAAGCCTTGAAAAGCGTGTCTTTATGTACCGCAAGTGTGTAACTTTGAATCAAACGTTCTCATAATACTCTTTAACGCGTAAAAGTTATAGTTAGTGTTGCGCTTGGTCTGTTAAGCACCGACCTAAAAAGTTATTTTCAGTGCGGTTATAAAATGTTTCACAACTTACTAACTGATAGAGCAAATATAAAAACGGTTTAACTCATTTAGTTAAACTTATTTATTGATATTGTTTTTTGTCTAGTCGAATGTTAACAAATTATCGGTATGAAGTGATAAACATGTACTAGACAATAGGTCGCTTTTAGACGATAATTACATTGTCTTGATATATAGAAATGTTAATAAGCGTGGAACGTGTTACAGCAATTATTCATTTATGTTATTGTTACTGTGTGCAGCACAATAAAGTTTAGTTTCTCCGCCTACTGCAAAGGTTTTATTTTACTTTTATTGTCTTCGCTATGTATAAAAGGGCACTCAATTCCACAAGTGTTATCATTACTTTTATGATTCATTCCATGAACGATGGCCGAAACGAAAACGTACAACGAAGTCTTTAACTATCTCCGCGATAACGAATATCCGATCGATTTTTCGAAAGACAAAAGAGAAACTTGCGCAAGAAAGCGCTAAAATATGTTCTTGAAGATGGTGCGCTTTATTTCATTGGCCAGAAAAAAAGGTGAGCCTAAAAGATGGGTTCATTGCCAAGACGAGCAGCAGAAGATACTGAGAGCTTGTCACTCTGACAAACTTGCTGGGCACTTCGGCCGTGACAAGACGAGAGAAAAGGTTTGTACAAAATTCAATGCTACTTGTCTTGAACTTTTAAATTGTGGAGACGATTTACTTTGTCAGTTATTAACTGTTGTGCTCCTGTTGTTCTTCCAGGTTACATCTCGGTATTATTGGGCTAGAGTGTTAGAAGACTGCGATGAAACTGTCAAGCGTTGTGATGTTTGCCAGCGTACCTCAAAGAAATTCGAAAAACTTTCTGCCCAGCTACATCCGATTAAAGTAAAGGACACCGTGTGGCATCGGATTGGTATCGATCTGGTAGGACCTCTGCCCGAGACGTCCCGTGGCAATAAGTACTTGATCACCTGTACCTGCTATTTCAGCAAGTGGCCAGAGGCAGCTCCTCTCAAAAGCAAATCGGCTGAAGGTATGTGGTATCCGATATTAAAATTAGTTGTAACGAACTGAGATTTGTGAACTCGAAAAAAGAAAAAGGAAAAGTACAATCTTTTTGCCTAGTATCTTAACTCTGCTGTTAATAAATTGTTCAGAATTTATTTTCTAAGGAAATTATTCGCCGTCAGATTCCCATACAAACACAGTAAATTTGGGGCTGACATGTCAATCTACCCTAGAATGCAACGTGTGGCGCCATCTTTTTACGTATCGTGAAGGCTTTAAACCATAGAGTAGTCTTTTTTGTTTACACTTATTTCAAATTAAGACTTAACAAGAGTCATTACCTTATTACATTAACAGAGTTAGCAAACTATTTGAGTTAACACTCACGCAAACGGTAAACGTTTTTTTTTTTTTTGTCTGCCATTAAGCGTGTGTGTGAGAGAAATGTAAAGGGTTCGCGTTTGTTATTAATTAATTTTTTTTTTTTCTCTTTTACTATTTTCTGTGAGATTTTCTTAAGAATTCGATACAAATACACAAAAAAAATAAGCACAGCTCAAGTTTACTATGTTTATTCTTTCGGTTGTCATTACTGGTTGAAACGTCGCAATTCACAAGGGCCAAAATGAAATAACAATTTGTCTAGAGTCGAGTTTAAAAAGTTCTGCATTTGACTTAGCGTGTGTTCACTAACTGAAGTTAGATTGCTTAAGGGAATTCCCTTGAAATAAAACTGCTCCTAGACTTCATTCAAACTTTACCTATTGATTGTTAATATCGAGAAATTTTACCAAGAAGGTGTTACTTTTGAAAACATAAAATAAGCTTGGGCCTCAAGAACTTAAAACACGCGACACGCAACCATTAGGGAAACGACAGTCGATATATTTACAAACGAATCCGAAGCAAGGCCTCGAGTCAAAATTCAAACTCCGTTTGAACTCGACTTGCTTTAAGGGAGGCTCGAAAGGGTTTTTAGCGCGCGCGCTCGCTTTTACTGCTCGCGTCAGCTTGGAATCAAATTGCCATAAAAATCGAAGAAACCGGAAATGAAACGTGCGAAAAACATTTCTTTTTATTTCGAAAATTAACTCGGTGACTTACCTTGATTTTTTTGCATGCGATTAACAATTAACATGCTAATTCAAATAAAAAAAAAGTCAGCTTGGGCAGAAACTCTATTGTGGACTTCCTATTAAATTAATAAACGCCTTTTTCAATATAATTATATTTCCACAATACAGAATTTTCTAATATTCGCAGACAAAATTCAGAGCCAAGGAAGCTTTCACATAACGAAATAAAAATGGCAGGTCACCGACTTAGTTTTACAGATGAATGGCCAAATGATCTTAATCACTTTTCTGTAATCTTGTATCGTTTAACAAGCACTATAATAGCGAGAAACTCTTTCGAGCCTCCTTAATTGGCAAATATTTATCGGTCCTCTAGGTGTGGCGGATTTCTTGTACGACCTGATCACCAGATACGGAGTGGCGGAAATTGTGATGTCTGACCAGGGCCGAGAATTCGTTAACAAGGTTAACGAGGAGCTGTTTAAGTTGTGTGGCACGGACCACAGGATCAGTTCAGCGTACCAC